CTTTGTGAAACACCCCCTGGCCTTCTTGCGAACAGCCAATGATGTTGGGAATGGTATACTCTGTTCACATCTTCAGTAGATGGCTCTTTAGGTTCACTCTTGGCATTTATCTTAACATTTAAAGCCTGTCTGTACTAGTTTGGCCAGGAGGGATTAGACCACCCAGCATGGTTACTGACAGGTGGCTATCTCATCGACTCAGCTCGCGATTAACATAAGAAAAAGAGGATCAATGGTCACCGATTAGGCATTGTTTTCTATATAGAGGGAGCAAGTAGCTTCAAGTAGTACAGTGGGGCTTTGAGGTTCACTCTTGGCATTTATCTTGGCATTGAAGATTCATCATGCAAACTACTTCAATCTTTTCAAACAAACTCTCAGTTCTTAGTTCTTAAATTGTTACCTTAACCTTGTTTTCTTATGTTTGATAATTTCACGTTTGTTCTCCCGTCATTTTTCTGTTTATTTTTAATTGCATCAATATTGTAAAGCGCCTTGATATAAATCTTATTATTATTATTATTATTAATGACATGATGGTGAAGGCATTGTTTTTGTTTAAACATATAATGTTATATTGAAATAATATTTTGAAACAAAGCATTGATATCGGGTGTCATCTTTTAATCGAGTCTGTGTCCATCACTAATACCCTGTGACATAATGTGTCTGGTTTAAATGTAAATGTTATATTTAAATAATGTTTTGAAACAAAGCATTGATATCAGGTTTCTCTTTTTAATTGGGTCTGTGCAATCCTTGTCCATTACTAATACCCTGTGACATATTATGTGTCCACATTGGTCTTGACTGGGAGGAGTGTTGTCTTACCTGTCACAATCTGTTAACATCATGACTCAATGTGTTGGTTAGGAAGGAAACAAACCCGAAATGAGAAACATTCATGCTCGCATATCAAAACAAAACTCCACTCCCCCCAAGGAGCTACCCATGGAAATACAATATTATTGGTATTTATGGAATATTAAATGCAACTCTTGAGGGAGGGTGGTGTTTGTTATATAGTGTCCCAGGTCGAAAGCGAGGCAGGGTGCGTAGCTTGGCCACGAAACGGTGTTTGCATTTGTAATGTGGAGTGCCCAATAGGGTAGCGTAGGTGACTACTCTGGTGCAAGCAGTCTAATGCTCGTGAAATAATTCATGCGTAATGTTCCTGCATGCACCAAAGATAAGCAGCCTGGAGGGCATCTACTCTACTCGCTCTTCTTCTCTCATACTTTTCATAAATCTAGTGCTGAGAGAGAGAGGGAGGGAGAGAGAGATAGAGAGTGAGATATATATATATATATATATATATAGAGAGAGAGAGAGAGAGAGAGAGAGAGAGAGAGAGAGAGAGAGAGAGAGAGAGAGGGAGAGGGGGGAGAATGAGAGAGAGAGAGAGAGAGAGAGAGAGAGAGGAGAGAGATATATAGAGATATGATAGAGTGAGAGAGAGAGAGAGATATATAGAGGGGGAGAGAATGAGAGATAGAGAGAGAGAGAGAGAGAGATAAGAGAAAGGGAGGGAGAAATTGAGAAAGAGAGAGAGAAAAGAGAGAATGGAAGGGGCAGAGTGAGATTTAGTAAGATGGAAATAGATTGAAATCATATTTAGAGACAATTTTTCAAAATCATTTTGACCACTCTTTTTAACAAGAAAGATTTTCATGTAGGTCTACATGTAGCTTATTAAATCATAATTTTGTTCACCTACCCCCCCCCCTCCCCCCTCCTCTCTCTCTCTCTCTCTCTCTCTCTCTCTCTTTTTCTCTTTTTCTCTCTCTCTCTCTCTCTCTCTCTCTCTCTCTCTCTCTCTTTCTCTGTCCTCATAAACTATGCTATGTTTTACATAGGTCTTTTTTTTCATCCTTTCCTCTCTACTTGCTAAATAACTTAGTCTTTCTGTAAATCTTCTGTTCAGAATCAGAAGGTTGTGTTTACTCTTTGTTAAGTATGAGTCAATGTTCTTTCATTTATTTTTTGGAGCAGATGAAATGCCTCCTTCTTTTAACACACGGTCATGTAGGAGTCAAGGGTTTCTCGGCACATGTTCATAGCTTGTTTTGTTTTTTTGTGAGAGAAAGCAGAGAGAATGCCTTATCAAGACGGACCTGGAATGAAAAGAGAAACCACGGTCGAATGTGATATATATGGAATAAGAGAAGGAGAGAAAACATGAGTGGAGCATTAAAATATGCAAACACCTGTTGTGGCTTGCAGTGCAGTGCATCATAAAGGGGCAAGAGACGGTGAAGAAATGAAAATCAATTCTGCTGTTCGTTCAAATCATACGACGGACGACGGGAACCCTGAGACAGTAAGCTTCACCCGAATGAGCCGCATTAGCCCCAGTCAGTGAACCTCGAGCAAGCACTTACCTTTACCCAACCCCTTTATCGTTCAAACGTGTCCCTCGTCAAAACACGCTCACCGAATGAGAGGGTTCAGCAAAACACCCCTATGTAGAATTCATGAGATGTTAAAACCACTTCCCTTTTTTTTCAGTTTCAGAAAGAGGGATTTAAAATTTTCCAGCATGATTCTGATAGTAGGTGGATGGAGGTGGTTATTTAAAGGCATTGAGATGCATGGCCCTACGTGTTATCAGTGTCTGTGATATGGTGTAATATTGAAGAAGAAAAAAAATTGCGCTTCAAAATGATCATGAAGTGCCTCAAAAAAGTAAAAATCTTTGAGTGACCAGTTTTACCATACTCATTTTCCCCATAGTCTCTAGTGTTTTAAAAACCATTAAGAAAACAAAATATGAAATTCTGATTTCCAATCATAAATATCTTGAATCAGACAGGCGATCGGCTTGTATAGTTCATGGGATAACTGATGTATACCTAAAGGTTTATAATTATGATTGCAGCATGAGCTAAATCCAGGATTTTGTTTCGGAATCTGAGACAAAGATACCGAGTTACTTTAAGGGAGGATGTACAAGACGTGGTCATGTTTTCCTACCGATCAACGTACAAGTATTGCTTTTTAAATAGGCAACAATTTTGATGTTGCTTTTAGTATTCATAGAATGGGAGAGAAGAACTTGTAAAAAATGTAATAAGGTGTTTGGGCTTAGAACCAAGGGAGTGGTAGCATTTGTCCTTACATTCACCCCAAGAAGTTCATGAGACAATCAACTTGGAGAGGCCATTAAGAATTCATCGTGTGTCGGCATGGTGGCGTGAAGCTCGTTTGCTGCACAAAACGTAGCCCCAGATAATCGTAAATATAATTTCAATATTCACACCTCGAGCAGAGGCTCTAGCTATTCCTCTGACGTTGAAGTGTTGCTATTTTGGGGGTTGAGCAAGGAACTTGAAGAATCTGATGGGATATATCTTGAAGAATCCGTTGGGATTCTACAAATAGCGTTGTAGAGAGAAAATATCTAGCTTCTTAATTTGACTTGTCATATTGTTGTTTCTTCAAGGAACTTGAAGAAGATGGGATATATCTGAAAGAATCCGATGGGATTCTACAAATAGCGTTGCAGAAAGGAAATATCTAGTTTCTTAATTTGTCTTGTCAAGTTGTCATATTGGTGTTTCTTTGAGTGGTGGATGTTGTCTTGGTTTATACAGCCCTTCTTGGTCATAAGATACACACAAGCCCAAATAGAGTATTGGCTTTAGGTCACAAACATGAGGAAGTATGAAAGGATGCTGTTTAACCCTGCTCAGGAAAAAGATGCTAACAAAAATTAAATACCTCTATGTATAGATATGATTTAAGTTACAAAACCAAGGTAAATGTAAGGCATTTTAGAAAGTGACCAGAAATTTGCATCACTTTCGCTTGCTTTTTGTTTGATAGTCTACTCTTCTTACAGAGAACAAATAACTACAGGCTAGTATGGTGATAATCTTGTTTACTTATCAACTAAAATCAAAGGAGGAAAAAAAAACACTGTGTTCATTAATGAGTACCAGATTGCATTACACATCGTAGCAATATAGTATCATGACTTTCATTCATGCTGTCATGGATTCACACCCCTACCTGGTGCTTTGTTCCCAGCATCCTTTTCAATGTAGGATTGTTAGGTAAAGGCTGTCTTGACTATTTCCTCATTCAATATGGGGTTCTGTCATAAATAATTCTTGACTTACGTTGTACTTAGCGTAGATGATTTCTACTTTGGTTATTCTCGATTTCTGTTTTGCGCCATCTGTGCCTCAAGGGACAAGGAATTTTAAGTACACTGTCCGAATTCACACCTACGCAGTCCCATGTACCCACTTGCGCGTCGGCCCCTTGAGTGGCCCTGCTTTTCTTCACTAGAAAACAGAAGTAGAGAGAGAGAGAGGAGAGTATTTCAAGTACAGAATATGAAAACACTCACAGAGGGATGCTCAAATAACTTTCAATATTTATCTCCTACTTCTTTCTGCATCTCTCCAGACTTGTTCATTTGTTATCGTATAAATGTTGATTCAAGGCTAAAGTATTTTCTTGTTGGCTTCCAGATTCCAGGGAGAATAGCTATGAATAGCAGATAGTTCATGAATTTTAAAAAGCCAGCAGGCTTGTTCAGTCAAAACACCCTCCAACTTTGTTCTGCTCTTGATATTGCATCCTGTAGATCACACAGAGTCGGTTGTTCAGTGGATTCTTATGACCTGCATGTACTTAATGAAGAAATTCAAATGGTTGAATCCATTTTGTATGTGCTTGATAAATGTTTCAGGCAGATAATAGAATTGTTCGATGTGTTAAGAAAGAAATTTGCCTTTTTCTAATTGCTGCCTCATTTTCTCCCTGGTACCTGCCAAGAAGAATACCTAATGACAGACTGTGACCAAATAAAAAATTCCTCTTATCAAATGAACAGAAATCATACGATCACTTTGTGTGTTTTAAGCACTGAAATGACAATTAAAATGTTTTGTTGACCATTATTGTTCTAAATAATTCCTGCTTTAAGTAGTTGACTCTATAAATTCAGATTCAGTTGAATTTCATAAAATTCTTGTTTTTATATCTTTCAGATGTACAAGATTAGACAATGCTAAGTGCCCAGGCTCCAGGAACCTTGCAACTCGTCGCTGGTTAGGTTGGAATGACCAATGTATTGATATCAAGGAAGTGGATCCCCCTAGTACTCCTACAGATACAAGGAAAGAGGTAAGACCATACCCACCCCCCCCCCCCATCCCACTCCTTTAGTACCCCTATAGATGCAATAAAGAGAGGCATGTAAGATTGTGTTACCTTCACAACCTCCGTGTCTCTCGACCCCCATCCCTTTCCTTTACACTCTTATAGATTCCAGGAAAGAGGTAAGATCATTATTCATTTATCACCCCTCCTGCTTCCCTCAGTACTCCCATAGATACTACAACAAGTTAAGATGATTAGCTACCCCCACCTCCCCTTCCCCTCCCCCTCCCAGACCCAATGGGGAACAAGTACTATCATTAGCTACCCCTACCTTCCCCCTTCCTCTCTCCCTCCCTCTCTCCCTCCCTCCTTTTAAAAGTACTTAAATAGAAATGAGATGGATTATCATCTCTTATCTACATGCCCTTCTGTTCCCTATTACTCCGAAATATGCCAGGTAATTAACTCCTTAGAATAGATGCCTAGGTACCCTAGGGGGTGTTTCACAAAGACTAAGATCGACTTAAGTTGGACTTTAACCATGGCAGGCCATTCATGCCACTGGTTGCTCTCACTGTTGGTCTCTCAAGGGACGTCACAAATCTACAGAATTTACATTTTTGATAGCTCATTGTTGAAGATAAAAAGTAACTTACATTGTAAACTTAAGTTATATTTAAGACTGGGATTTATACTATGATTTGCGATTCATGCACTTTAAAAAGTCTTGAACCAGATGTAAAATTAGAGGAAAAAAAACTTTAAAATTATGATCTTTAGATAATGTTTTGTCCTTCAATAATGAACTATCAAAAAATGTAAATTCTGTAGGTTTGAGACCATGATCTATCTGTACGTCCCTTGATAAACCAATGCCAGGACTGGTTAGAGGAACTAGTCTTTGTGAAACCAGGCATTCCTATTTTACACCTAAGAAAAGAATACAAACATATTGATGGACAAGCCAACACGGATACGAATAATCAATCACTCTTTACATATTTATTTGAGATTTTTAAAATGTATATATTTGAACCAGGATGAAAATGAGAAATTATTGCTCATTCTCAATTTAAGAAAGGATTATCAAGTTAAATACTCAGGGGAAATCATGTGCAAGTACAATTCTAACAACATGTTGATAAAAGTTAAGGTTAAATGGAGGCGGAGGGAAATTTAAACTTGTCCTGAGATAGATCTATTTGTATAATTGGTAAACTTGTAGTTTAAACATCAGTAAACATCGGTATGGCTTATGAGATAGATATACCTTAAGACTTTGATTGAATGATGATATGAATCACATCAGCTGAAAGAAGATCCAGAACTGTCTTTTATTTCTTACCTTTTTTTTGTTTGTTGCTGTACACCTAGATTGATTGATGAGATAACTTTGTCACCAAGCAACGAGGCAATACGTGTAATGATTGATTTGTATCACTGTAATTTGCTCTGAAATTTTACTCCGAAAAATTATATTTGTAAACCTATCTCAGGTTTAATGTATCGGATTGATGTAGCTTCATGTATATACTTAGGAATTAATTTCCAATATGCCCTGGAGTCAATTATAGTAGAATTTATGAAATATAGTGTTACTTTTACTGTCACTTCTGTTGTAGTTGTTGTTTCATTTCATTTCATTTATTTTATTTTTCCACATTCCAGTTAAGAAAACCTGGAAATACAAAATAATGTACATTATGAAATGTAAAACAAAAGAATACAAACATAACAAGAAAAACATGTAAGTGACAGAGGGGGAATTAAGATGATAAACAAGTATGCAGTGGGGGGGGGGGGGGATTAATCCCTAAAACAACCATTGTAAACATTGTAAAACATAGTAAAACATAGTAAAACATAGTAAAACATAGTAAAACATAGTAAAACATAGTAAACGTAGTAAAACATAGTAAACATAGTAAAAAAAAAATTGATGTTTTCATCATCTTTATTAATTATTATTTAGGTTTGATTTTTTTTTTCTCCTATAAAAATGTGTTCATTTGAAGCCAAAGGTGATACCGATAGCCTAACAAATATTGTTCGAAACTGATGTTGTATGAAAGAATTAAAATTCACTGTACATTCTTGTCTTTTGTTTAAATGCACAGCTTGCTTTAAATGTGACTAGCCTACCACAGCTAAAGGCAGGAGAGTACTACAGCTGTCTATTTGATGACTTTGGTAAGGAGCATGCGTTCGTGGACCAAGCGGTTATCAACAACTCATCCATCCTACGATGCAACACGCCAAGAATTTTCGATGTACCAGACAGACCACAGGGTAACTATTTTGTTTGTTTGTTAGTAAAGCAAGGAATTAAATATATTTATTATCATTTGACCTTAAACAAAATTGTTGATTCACTTTAAGTACTGTTTAAATTTTTATTGATTTTATCAATTTTAATAACTTTTACAAAATTTATGGACACTTCATCAATTTTTTTCTGTAATAAGAAAATAAAAGAAGTGATAAACAGCTCTTACACATAATTTTATAGCAAAGATATACGTAAAAATTACAAGTACATGTATTATAATAATATAATAATAATAGTTAGTTCTTATATAGCGTTTTTCAAGACCGAAGGCCCTCTCAAAGCGCTTTACAGATATATATTATTACCCCGGTCATCGGATTCAGGTTTACCCGCACACAATGCTTGCACATTCTCCACTCCCTGGGGAGCATTCCAGCCAGGCGTCATTTTTACAAGCGCACACTTGCTAATCTAAGCACATTAGCTTTCGCATCCTACCGGGTACCCATTTAACACCTGGGTGGAGAGTGGCAAATGTAGATCAATGTCTTGCCAAAGGACATTAGTGCCGCGGTGGGACTTGAACCGCGGACCTTGTGATCCACAGTCCGTTGACATATCCACTCGTCCACGACACCTCTGCGTATGTATACATATGGGCCTGTTTTATAAAAGAGTTGTGATTGATTGATTCAAATCAATCGCAACTGTGTACTTAAGTGATAGGAGTTGTCATTCAAATGGACCGGAACTCTTTATAAGACGGGGCCCAGAGCTACTGTACAACATTTGTTTTCTCAGCTCACCAACCAGCTAAGCCCTTCTACAGCTCGATCCATACTCACTTTTTGTTTTAATGTACCAAAATATTAATGGATTTTTGTCTGCATCTCTCTCATTTTCCCAAAATATATATCCTTTAATAGATGAAGTCACTAATTTCTCTGTTTGGCTTAAAATTGTTCATGATGAAAATTAAGTAATTTTATTAACTTTTTTTCTAATATAAATGTAAAAGATGGCCATGTGAAACTTTTTTCCTTTCTTCCTCGCAGGTTCCCAAATTGTGACGTTATCCATCCAATCGGCGGAGACGGGCGTCGAGATTGCCGAGACGGAGTTTGTCTTCTACAAATGTTCAGCTTTCACAGGCTGTATGGAGTGTGTGGACAATCATTTTGAATGTGAATGGTGCGTCTATGACAACGTATGTCACAGCAAAACAGAGGAATGTACAACATCTCAACTTACAGGCAGAGTGGTAAGATTTCTATCCCATCTTCAAATCTACCTGTGTGATGTATGTTTGGTGAGGCAGTGCAAGAGATGGTAGCATTTTTTCGGAAATTCAATTCTTGAATCCCTTTCTCACTTCTCGCACTGTTCACCATAAATGCATCCTTAAAAAGCTGGCTGAAATTCTTCTCACAGACATACGGGGGTTTAAGTTTCACAAGATTTATCACCTGAAACAGTCATTCCCTTGAAATTGCCTCTAACGATGTATCACATGAATAGTGGATGTAACCGTTGTACGGCAATATATCGGCTTCTCATAAGGAATACGTGTGTAGCAGGACAAATCATTGCATTTCACTGTCACGTACAGAGCAGTTCCCCTTCAAATCTTTTGATCCAATGTAATACATTTTTTCTTCATTAATGGCCTTTCATGACTTCTAGTTCCAACGTCAATTAAGTTTGCATAATCCATTCCCAAGTAATCTATTGTCAACACTGTCATTCCCTTAACATGCAATTACCCTAGTTGTTTAATGGACTTATAAAGTGGTATAGTTTTTTTACAACCCATCCTCTCCAACCGGCTCTATAGTTCTTATAAGCTCAAGAAAGTTTACCAACAGTCATTTTTCAGGACTACACACACACACTCAAAAAAAAGAAGATTACGGACCGTCCTTCTTCTAGATGAGTTCATGTCACCTTTAGGTGTATTCTCATACTGTCGTACTTTTTTATATGCTATGTGATTTCTTGGATGGTAATTGTATATATCGGGAGATTTGTAATTAGATATGGGATTACTGAGTGAGGGAGGCAAAGAATAGGATGGATTGAAAGCAGTAAGATATAGACAAATTAGGGCGAGAAATAATGACCTGGATATAGTTTGAACCAGGGTTCACACAGATCAGAGTTTTGAGATGACTTAAAGGAGATCCAACTAAAAACTGTAAATTATTAAACATTTTACTACAAACTTCACCTTCAAAATGATAGACTTTTTCAATATGAAATTTTCCGCCTGTAATCTGTTTGGCTGTCAACTCAAATAGTTGTGTAGGTGGGTGAAATGTGAGCAAATCTCTACGGCTTAGCATAAAAAATGAGAGGCAGGCAGTGTTGCTAAGTCCTCCGGGAGAATTGAATCAGTCACTGTATATATATCTGCAAATAGTACCTAGTCAATTCGAAACGCCATGGCCAGGCTTGTTTCAAACATACAAGCAATTTCAGAAATGTCATCTTCCCACGTTCCCGGCCGGTAGCAAACTAAGCATGCTCAATTGCGTCATTACGGATTAAACGATAACGTTTGCGTACTGAGATCCGGGATAGCTGTAACCGCATAAAGAAAAGGAGCATCTTTAAGTTGTGCTTAGGTGCCTTGGTACTAACCAGGGTGGTAGGATTAGAGGCAATTTCCATTTACACAAGATCCATGTTGATATCAGACGTAGGAAGGGATTTCTTTGATGCTTAAGATACCTGCGGGCCCTTTATCAGTAAATTGCATTTTGTTTGCATCGATCTTCAACGATACAATTTATCTATCATAGATGAGAGAACATCTTTTAAGTTTTCATGCATGTTTTGATTGTGAATGCTACAGATTATATTCATGTAGAAAAATTTGCTGCATGAATTGTTTCCTGGGCTATTGTATTACAAAATGTGATGTTTACATAATTAATTTTTCTGGTAAAACTCATAAAATAAAAAAGGCATTGAAAATGTAGTCATATGCAATGTTATTGTCCCCTTTCCCTCAAAGAAAGATTTATTTTTTTGATTGCCAATCATCCTTTGTTTCAACTATTTTGGACATGAACATGATGAAGGGATATGTTATTTAGATTCATGTGTAAAAGAATTGAGGCAGTTTTTTTTAAGAATATTTTTTCCCTTAGAGATCAAATATTGATGATTTTGAGAGAGAAATGAAGTTGATGACCTGAAGAGGACACTTATTCATATGAGACTCTATAATGAGCTTGATATCTCCAAGAAAAGAGATTTGAAGATGGTAAAATTTACTCCCCAATCAGAGGTGGAAAACTGTAAGATATTTATTACAAAATCTCTCTTGCTATACCAAATAAAGAATCTCTTAGTGAACGTAAAGGAAGATTGTCTTACAAATATCTCCTAAAATGTCAAAGCTCGATACATTGCATTGTGCAAAAGAAGTTTTGGCATTGTTTTTATTGGGGTGCTGTTCATGGCATTTCTTTACATGGTTTCTATTACGTGCGCTTGTCCCGTTCACTTTGCAGTTGTTGTTGTGGCCTGCTTGATACAAAATATTCCAGTTTGGCTTAAATGTAATACTTTTTTGCCTTTCCAGTCCCCCATATAAATGATAAGAGATTGATAAGGTATAGCGGAAGCAGTAGAAATAGATCTTTGTAATGTGTAATCAAATTATTGGAGAAATATGTAGAGAAATACTGTCTTATCTGTGAAGTATTGGTACAGATATGAAGATGGAAGATGATTGAAGTAATCAGGCCAGCCATATCTATACCATTTCATGAATAATCCGATTAACTTGATTTCCAAATAACCTTTTCGTGATAAGCTGGGCGTAGATTTGATGTGCAATTCACCATCCCAGTTTCCCAGTATTTTTATTTTCAAACTCAGAATGAATGAACAAAAATTTGAAAACAAGTTGAGGAATGCAGTGGTTGTATTAACATCTATCCAATCCTTAGATTAACTTTACAAGGTACGTAGGGGGGAAATGGAATCCTTGGTTTTATGTACAAATGCTCTTCAGCTCATAGTATGTAAGCTTGAGACAGAAGACTGTTCATCCAGTATCAATTTCCTATTTATTAACCGCATCCTTTATTTTGACTAAACATTCTTCAAATGAAGGCCAACGTTGATGTGCATTGCCCATGAGAATATATCAAATGGAAAACATTGATAGAATGAGAATGTTTTTAGTGTAGAATGTTCCAGTGTAGATGCCAACACTGTAGGATGGGGAAGGAAATTTCAAATTTTACTCCGAAATCAAGCTTGCCAGCCCTCGTTACAAAATAGGAAGTATATATACTTGAATATCTTGAAACTTGAAAGTAATTCTCTTATAAATATGTCTCATTGTTAAACATAGAAAACATTTTCTATTGTACTGTGCTTTGCCTCTGTCTTTGTCACAAACTTTGTTCTTCACCTTTTTATTTACTAATCTGAAACATTCTTAACCAAAATGGCAAATAATTTATTATATTATTTTTGTTTTTGGCAAATACCATTACTCAATCAGGTCGATTCTTGGAAGGTCATATAAAAAGGAAAGAAATGAATAATGTTTATTTTAAGATTCCAAGATTATCTTTAAAAGACAATTCATAGAATACTTGTTTCCCCCATGATTACAATTTGATGTGGGGGTGGGATCGTTCCCCTGTTATGCTCTGCTCTATAATAGCAGACTTCCGCTGAGGCTGTACTGGGGACAGGCTTGGCTTGTATTTCAAAGCATTAATACACACAATATTACATGACTTATAATCAATCTTGGCAAGCTCTCCCATGTTTTTTTGGAAAGTAATCTAAAATGGGGAAAAAAGTATATCCTGCTTTCCAGCAACTACTTGTACACAGACCGTGATCGTTATTGAAACCGAAGCCATACCATTTCAAAGGGATCTTTGAAAGAAGTTGACTAAATGATAGGTATTGTTTTTTAATTATGCAATTGCAAGACTTAAAAGTATAATCAGGTAATAGAAAGTCAAATCCAAATAAACAATTTACTTTTTTGTGTGGTGTAAAAAAAAAAGGTTATTAGTGATACAGAGATGCCAACCAGTACGATTAAATCGTATTTAGTACCATAATAAGAGTGAAATACGATCTTATTATCTTAAATTCTAAATACGATTTTTCATCTTTTTTTTTAAACCCATAAAAACAGCGGAATCGCATAGAAACATGTTCAAGTAAACCCCCGCAACCCCAACAAAAACTTTGCTTTACAATTTTCTCATTAAATTTTAATGAAAGAGCAAACATTTTTCTGAAATTTTACTGGCCCGGGGCCGACGGGCCAGTGGTAGTGTCAAGTTTTTGTGAAAATCTGATTTTTCTTTCCAAAATTTGATTTTTATTTTTTTTTAGGATACTCAGTCTGTTTTTTTTTGTGTCAATAGGTTGGCATCTCTGTTGATAATGGTGTTGATTGGTACTCTACAAAGTACACATAGGTTTCAAGTACTTTTTGCATGCAAATTGGACAAGGAAGAAGCAGGGGAAAGTACAAAAGCATGACGCATGATGTGGTGTTTTATTTGTTTTTAGATCGAGGTCAAAACAATAATAGAATTTCAAACTGATAAGAACAAATAAGTCATTCTTCTATCGCTGCTGTATCTTCTCAGACTGATCAGGTGTAGTTGCCTTTGGGAGTTCAAAGAATAATGCTGTTATGAAGTGTCGTGTCAGGAAGTGAATTCTGATTATATCGTGCTTGCATGGGAGCGTCATGGGACGAACATTGGCATTATTAGCCAATTTTAGTTCGTGATTATTCTTTGATGACTACCATAACATTGGAAACGACGGTATCATGAGCCATCATCACACCTATGATAAGACGGAGAGATTCTCGCTCTTTTATGATGCACCACTGTGGCAGGTAGCCTCCATCTGTCACACCCAATCAGAATTATGTTTTTAATCAAAACAGCAGAAGAAACTGTGGACAATAGCCTGGGGCTTCATATTTGATATTTCACTCTCACCATCTCTCTCTCTCTGACTCTCTCTCTCTCTCTCTCTCTCTCTCTTTCCCTCTCTCTCTCTCTCCCTCTCTCTCACTCTCATCATCTCTTTCTATCTCTCTCTCTCTCTCTCTCACTCTCACCATCTCTTTCTCTCTGACTCTCTCTCTCTCCCTCTCTTTCCCTCTCTCTCTCGTCCTCTCTCTCACTCTCATCATCTCTTTCTATCTCTCTCTCTCTCTCTCCTACTCTCCCTCTCTCTCCCCCTCTCTTCCCCTCTCTCCCCCTCTCTCCCCCTCTCTCCATCGACTCGAAATTAGGGCCTAAGTGAGTGATAACACGACATTCTGATCCAGACTTGGGTATGAATCATGTAAATCTAAGCACTAGGGAAGTGATTCTTAAAGGACTCCTTTCACACTAGCATTTTTTACGAGACCTACTTAGAAGAGAGTGTCTGGGATGCAAGGGCTATATTAAGAGGTCGATAAATGAATTTATTGGATAGATGAAAGCTACCAAGGTACTATTTAGGTTAAAGCAATAGACAAAATAATCCACATTTGGGAATCGTTTCTTTAACCTGCGTATGTTGAAGTTCCTCATTGTATATTGCATAGTATAGATGCATAGATCAGATCAAAAGAAAAAATTGCAAGATGTATACAAAGACAGTCAAAAGTATAGAGAGACAAATAGTTAAATATTTGTAGATGAATATATAGAGATTGATAAAAGATAGACAATCGTATGTACCTATAGGTGGATCAAAATGCATGGAGAAAAAAATAAACAGATTTAAACTATTGAAAAATACATGGTATACAGATACATGTAGATAGATATGACAACAATTATGTTATTATTTTGTTCTTGTAAGCGCATGTCATACTTGTAGTATTGTTTGTATACCGGTACATGTGCTTCCAAAGAGCTTTTAAAATTATTATCCAAACTTTACTCAAACAACCTTACCTATGTAAAAATAAAAAAAGAGGGTTTTAACCACACCTACCTGATACTCCCTTAACACCTGGGTTAAGGGTGGCACAAATGGATTAATGTTTTGCCTAAGATATTAGTCTTGTGCTGGGGTTTGAAAAGACAATTGTAATATATTTACGAATAGAAAAAACACAGTTGCATGACATTTATGTTGTGCCTTCTTTTAAAAATCAATTCAACAGCCATATTTCAGAAAAAACACAAGAAGCGATGTGCATATCACACATGTATGCAACATCAAATGTAACATCAGGGATCTAGAACTAACCCGTCTTTAACCTTCGTGTATGATTAAAAAGGAACAATAAAAACATTTTGTTCCATCTATCTACATGACTCGGGGTTTCTTGTTAACCCTGATGTCGTGATGAGATAATTGGTATGATCCGACCGCATCCCAGAGGAGGATCATGGGTATTCCTTGTGCCGCCATCCATCCTGTAGAAGACATCTATCTTCTCTTCATCAATCACTTGTTCTTTTCTTTGTTACCTCTCTCCGAGGAGTTTGCCTAATTGTGCAACCCTGGAGGGTAAAGCAGCAAAAGAAACATGGATGGTGGGTGGATGGGTGGAAAGGCAAAGTGAGAAACAAAATTAAGAGATGAAGCAATTTTACATTACAGCTTTTTTGTTCTATTAATCTTGTCGGCATGACAGTCTAGCGTAAAGGGCTGCTGGGACGAGGGGAGCTTATAAGACGTGACCTGAAATTAAAAAGCATGGAAGCTCATCTCAACTAATGATTCCTACATGAATGAAGCGCTACCCCCATTCTTTTTATCAAAATGAGAGAAAAGAATGAAGTTCTCATTTCATCCTGATCTCATGACAAACGATGGACATTAATATTAGACAGAGGTAAAAAGTTCAATAAATGAATTAGCACTTGAACCACGTCTGTGCACAAGATGTCTATGGTCAACATTGATCAACATTATAGTGATATAATTATAAAAACATTGAAACTTTTTTTTCAAATGAGGTTTGAATGCACTAAGTTAAATATAAAAATGTTGCAGGATTGTTTTTGACTGTAAGACTGCCAAAGAGAAAACCCTAGTGTACCGTTTGCCATAAAATTGTAATTCATCAGCAGTTACGGTTTGTTTCACACCATTTTATGTAGTAGAAGATCCACTGTCCATAAATGGGAACGCAACTAGTGACTCACGGAGTGCTATTTTCTGCACAATGACCCCGGATATAAAGATAGTCAATTTCCCCTCTCCCAAATTGATGACTTTTTCCCCCCCAAATGGGAAGGGGTCCCAACCAAATTTAGCATCAAGGCAGGCACACTCATGCTTTGACTACAATGAAGGAGGGAACGTGGAAAAATTGCTTCCACATGTAGAATTTGGCTTTATTAATCCTAGTTTAGGGTATGATAATGGGATGGGTGTCCGGAGGCCTCTGGTTTTCTTCTCATTACTTGTTGGTATGATGAGAGACATGTGCGATGAATCTCTTTTTTAGAAACAACATGTCCGCGGTGCTTTGATGATAATCAAGTGTCAAAATGGGACTGACATCGGCGATAGAGAGGAGTAGCTGAAGGTTCCAGGAGGGAGGGAAAGAATTACAGATGACTATTCCATAGAATAATTAGATTAGTTCCTTTTAAGAAATCTTGAGTATTTTTAGCTGGGGCAGAATATGATACTGGGATGAAATGGCAAAAACTATTATTATTTTGAAAGATTATTCATAGTAAATTTCTTTATAACTTTGACTCTGTGGGCCTTGACTCAAGAAATCCTTCTTTCATAACGTCTATGGTCAATTATTCATGTACCCGAAGTTTAAAAGGCATAACATTACTCAATGTCTGGTTGGTTGTTTAAACAACAGCATTTTTTTTTAATGTCACTTTAGTTTTCTCATGATACAAGTATGTTACCCAGCAATGGCTTAACTCTTTACTTGCTTCATTCGACTAATAGAACAAAACCATGGATTGCCACAGTCAACTTTTGTGACACATGTATAGAACACAATGCTCAAACGACAAGGCATTCAGTGTGTAGTAAACAAAGAATGGACAGCAATTTCATTTACATCCAATTGCCGGATCAAGTATAACAGACAAATTAAAAAAGACATTAATGATAATAAAAATAATAATAAATAAATAAAAGATAATTAAAAAGTATTATTTGTTATTATTCTTTTCAGACTGGACCTGAGACATGCCCATGTATCCTGAATAATACAGAGGTTCTAATCCCTGTTGGCGTCGAGCAAAGCTTCCAAGTAGCAGCAGCTAATCTGCCTGGTGATGAGGTGAATATTAGCAATTTTTTAAAATTATTTATAGAAACATGAATATATGTATTTAGGTATACTAGATCAGTTCTTTCAAAGTTTTTATATTGAATCATTTATTTGATGGTCTTTTGAAGCCAGAATGGCATTAATTGATCAATTTATACAGAGTGAATGCACTTCTCACTTCAAACAGATGAATCGCTTCGAGAATACTAAAATTTGAAATAGACCATACCCTATTCTTTAGGATATTATTGAAGTATTATCTTATCAAGCTTTTTTTTATTGTATAATTTGTATTGTTTCTTTATCAACAAAAATAATTGATTGTGTAGAAAATCTGTGAAATAACCAAAGCATTACATAATCATGTGAGTTGTATCAGAAATCATTGCGAATTGAAAAATGATAGAGCTCTAAGAAGTGAATATGAGGATTTAATACGAGCTAGGTATACAAACAATCATTCTGGTGCTAAAACACGTTCTGTTTTGTTGTTGTTTGCAGAGTTTACCTGACGGAAGACCAGTAACCTACAAGTGTGTGTTAGACTATGAAGGCAGAGAGCTCTCCATACCGGCTACAAGACTCAGTAACAGCCTCTTAGAATGTCATTCTTCAACTGTAAGTTCATTATGTTATTCCATCGTCTCTTTTTAACCAATTCCCTGCTTCGAGCAGTAAAGCTCACCCAAGAATTTCAACGGTGTACCATGCAATAGTATGTTTAGAATGAGTGTTTAGGAAGCTAGAGTTTTGTCATTGAAACAAAAATGGGCGTATGCATTGTAAAGTTTGTTTCAATAAAAGTTATTATGATATGCTCGATTAGACAGTTAATATTCAATTCAATTCAATTTATTATTTCCACAATTTGATAACAATTACAACCTAAACATACAAAACAATTAACAACCAATAATCATCGCAATGCAGTTATTAAAAAATTCAATAACAATAAACAGTACAGTACAAAATTACAAAAGACTGAAATAACAAACAGAAAGAGGGGAGCAAGGGGGAAAAATAAAATATGGAGGGACAAACAAAAGCCAAAGGCCTATCGCAGGCTTTAATACCAAAATTTATAATACATAATGATGTACTGAAGAGAATTAAGAATAGTTTAAATACACATACACCCATGAGTGCACACACAGAAAAGAAAAAGAATAACTGTTTGTAAACTTAGTGTCATTGCATGGGTTATTGTTTGCCAAACAATGATAAAGCATTAGTCAAGCTCTGTGTTCTATCGTTGTGGTACATTTTGAGAACTGTATTCACAGCTTACTTCATTTATTATGAAATGTATTTTTGTTCTGTATACTATTATATCAGAAACTGTTGTGTGCATGAACCGTTTGCAATATGCAAAATTTCCACGAAAATAGTCATCATCCGGAACTGACAAAAGTTTCTGGTTTGACACGCATGGTCAAGTTTTATGTTCGAGAGATCTAGTGAATGTTCCTTGAGATCTATAGAGCTCTCTGAACATCTGATGTCAAGTTCACACAATGACAAGGTTTTGAAATATAAAAATGATGAGACTGTCGACATCTTGTCTGAGTGGCGAGAAGGCAGACACATTAAAAGGTTGATAGCTGGTCAGATTGTTAGTTTATTCATGACCAGACACTTTTAGAGAGCTCGCTTCTATAAATATTAAATGTATATACGGAGGTCCAAGGAAGGTCCAAGGGTGGTTAATATTAAATTCCTGCTGTCTTAGTTCCTCTTTAATATTTGATTGTCTGTTTCTTGAGAGATTGACCTGTGTGGTGTTACTTTGCGCCGTTGCTTGTCTCTACTTTAATGGTCGTAGGACGACTGCGATGAATCGCTCTCGGTTAAATGCTTTCCAAAGTGGCAAAAATCTTGATTGTTTGTGGTTTCCAAAGTTGAGATATTAGATTTTCATGATGTGACAACATACAAGGGCACATGGTCATTACTGCGAAAAGGGAAGATGAAACTTTGTCAAGCCATTGCTGAAGGAACTCCTAACTTCATGAGATAGTTCAGAACTATACTTAAATCACTTTATTAAGCTCTGAATACATGAAGTCAACCAACAATGAGTTTGAACCAAGCACAATTCAAAGATAATCAACTTGAGATTGAAAATATCTATTTTCATCAATATCATTTAGTATAAAGATTCCCTTAGTAAACCAATATTTAAAATACAATGTTTTATTACAAGTGTTTCATTGCTATTGTACCATAATACTTCATTTCGAACATTTTTTACTTGCAAAAAAATTCAACGTGTCTAAGTTCACTCCAGGATATATGGCAATTAATATAAAAATCAGGTATTTTGTGTTCTGAACATAACATCAGCATATCTTTGCAGGAACAGTTTGTTTCTAATATATCAAGGGGGCAACAGATATATATTTTTCAATCCAGTATTTAAACATGAATATGCACAGTGCATCATGGATATTTTCAAAGGATCTTGTAAACCATACTGTAGCGGTTTAATCTTGGAATTGCTAGTAACTCACTTTATTGATACTTCAGCAAAAAAGGAACAGAGACATTAGGACAAACTCATGCCAAGAAAAGGAGTAAAAATCAGAAAAGCCCTGGACGTGACCTGATTAATGGTAAATTGCAGATAATATAGATTGCATAAGATTGTCTGTAAGGATGCAGTGTCACTTTAAGGGAAGGAGTGAAGTGGCTAACTGATCCGGTAGGCTCCTCCGGTAGACAGAGACCATTAGGCCTGACTTGAGCTAATTTAGGCATTGAGATGTCCTGTCTTCTTGGTGGATAAAAGGATTTGATCATAGGTCATATTAGACACCGTTTCCTAAAGGGACACATTAGTTCTACCCCATTGAACCCCAGGTCAATCTAGAGAGAACTCTCAATCAATTCAGTCTATTTACTTATCTTACTTATTTAGTTTCTGTCCCTTCCTTTCTCTCCTTACCTTCTCTCTTTCTCTGTTACTTTTCTTCCCTTCTTTTATTTTATCTCTCCCTTTCTTTTTCTTTCTTTCTTTTGCTGTCTGTTTCTCTTTCTTTCTTTCTCTTTCTTTCTTTCCCTCTTTCTTTCTTTCTCTCTGTCTATTTTGTTTCTTCAGCCCTTTCTCTTTTTTCATCTTTCATCCTATCTTTCTATTTTGTTTCTTCATCCCATCTTTCTATTTTGTTTCTTCGTCCCCATCTCTTTTTTCATCTTTCATCCTATATTTCTTTCTTTCTCTTTCTTTCTTTCTTTCCCTCTTTCTTTATTTCTCTCTTTTTTTTCTTTCTTTCTCTCTTTCTATTTTGTTTCTTCTTCCCCTTGTCTTTTTTTTCATCTTTCGTCCTATCTTTCCGTTCTCCCCCATTCACCATTTCTTTGTTTTCCTCTTCCTCTTTTTCCCCCTTTCTCTGTGAGAATTGCACTGAGGGCAGATGCATAATTGTAGACTGCGTACAATCGAAAAGCCCTCGTTTTCTTTTACATCCATGAATCATTCTGTCCTTGTAGAGTTCCAGTCATCATAAAAGTTTTCTTGCTAGTTTAATATCTGTAATTATCTAGGCATCATATCAAGAGTATTGCTCTGAAGTGCTATCAAGAATGGTAGTTAAATCATTTGTAAATGTTTTTCTTTCTCCAGTACTCATTTGAGACGGAAGTAGACCAACTCTCTGTGGTTCTCAGTGTGCAGTGGAACGACAACATACGCATTGATAACCCTTCGCATGCCTCAGGTAAGTACATACACCTTTATTGAAATTTCTCTCATATTGATGTTAATGGACTTGTCAATAAAGTTCACCACACACTTTATAACCCACCTACGACAGGATTTGTAGTTAAAGGCAGTAGGAATAGAAGGAATACTCTAAAGTAAGCAGTAAGAAAAAAAACAAAAACAAAAAAAACAAATTAAGTGTTCATATGAATATCTATATTGAAATTGCAGGGTTTCGTAAGCCTTCCGTTTGGAAAACATTGAATTACTGTATGTTGGGATTAAATATGCCTTCTCAGCCCCATGTCTTCATCTTAATTCAAGCAAACTTTGCTTTGTTTTATTTTCAGTGATTCTGTACAAGTGCAATATGAGGAGACCTAACTGTGGTGTCTGTATCAGCGCTGATGCAAAGTACCAGTGTGGATGGTGTGAAAGCACTCAACAATGCTCCATCGATGATCAGTGTAGTAATTGGTATTCGGGAGGAGACCTCTGCCCAACCCCTATGATTACCAGTGTGAGTACAATCTACATTATCACAATGCTTATCTTGGGCATGACATGCTTGCTGATTATACAGTGACTGATGATTTATATTGTCTGCGTACTTCGGAACTTAATGAGTTCTTGTAACAACAAATATATTATTAATATACAACAAATACCTTATTAATGTACAACAAATACATTATTAATATACAACAATTATATTATCAATATTCAACAATTATGCATAATATTTTGTTAGGTGCCAAATCCACTTGAATCAATTTCTCAAGGTACACTAGTGCAAAGGATGAAATCGCATAATTGCCTGTCTGCTGTGGTTACACTTTTAACAACAGCTATTAGTTGTAAAGCCAGCGTATATACTTGTGTAAGCAGTTAAAGAGAAGGTTGAGTTTTGGGGAGAGGTGAACAATAATTTGTGAGTGATATCATTGTTGCTAAATATATTACTCATTGCGGATGTAGTATCAAAAATAATATCGCTAATGATATTCGTTTGTCTCGCAATGTATGGTCAACAAGGGATCTAAAAGATCACAACGTTTCATGTGCCACTGCAACCCTTCGTCACCTTGTTATTATGCAAGTGTGGAAGAACATCTGAGAAAACATGTTCTCTGAAAAGCATGGCTCTTCAAATGCCTTCATATTCTGAATATGACAAGTAACAGCTTAAAAATGAAAGGTGCCTATGGTTTTAAGTCCAATCTAACTATGCCTTTTCTGGTTTTTATGAATTGGACTTATCTTCTTGTCTCTTGTCCTGAGCAGTTCACCCCTAGAGCTGGACCTGTGGAGGGTAAGACCAACCTGACGATCAGAGGAATCAATCTCGGTCAGACTGCTTCTAATATCTATAACATCACAGTAGCAGGCCATCCATGTGATCCATACCCAGAGACATACATCACAGCTACAGAGTGAGTATATACATTAAACAGTATTATATATTATCTTTAATTCTTGTAAGAATTACATTTCATGGTAGATCTTCGCTTCTTCTCTCTGATTTTTGTTTCTCTTTGGCTCATTGCTAGAATCAGCAAAAGGATGTAGCATTTAGACTGTCCTGTATTAAAAACCATTTTCTTTTTTAGAATCTGTACGACCAGGCAAAACATAGTTATTTTGGTATTTGTAAACAAGGCGGAAAAAGATAGTTATGTAGTCACTGCAATGTCTAAATGATCATTTAACTATTTGTTAATCCTATACCCTTTGCGTTATTAATATATTATTAAAATGTTTCAAGTCATAGTGTTTGACTTTGAATAAATGATTTCAATTTCTTCTCATTCTTTTTACCTACTATTTATAAAGATATGCCTGTATCAGGATTTTAACATCCACTTGAAATTTGTTAATTCCTGTGTTTCACAAAGACTAAGATCGACTTTAAGTTGGACTTAAATATGGCAGGCCGTTCATGCCACTGTTTGCTCTCACCATTATGATCTTTAGATAATATTTTTTCCTTCAATAATGAATTATAACAAAATGTGGATTCGTGACCACAAATTGTACATCCCTTGAGAGACTGATTCCAGTAAATGGTGAGGGCTAACAGTGGCATGAATGGCCTGCCATAGTTAAGTCCAACTTAAAGTCGATCTTAATCTTTCTGAAACACTCCCCAGGAGTATCCAACCCACTGAGCACACATACAATACCTGACAAATCCATTGAGCAGTCCTATCATTGTTAGACTAACCAGTGATAAACTTTGATTTGATATTAATTGATTTGATATGAATTGTTTTCTATCAGGATTGTATGCATGACTCAAGGAGTATCCAACCCATTGAGTGGTCCCATCATCGTGAGACTAGCCAGCGACAACAAGACAGAGGAAGGGCACTCGGAACAAGACTTCAGATTTGTGGTACGTTCACATCTAGACAAAAAAAGAATCATCAACTTGATCGTTTGAATGTGTATTAATATCTGCATGGAGAGACCAGAAGCAAGGCTTGAAAAGCCAGAGAGAGAGAGAGAGAGAGAGAGAGTTTTGTAGGTGCAAAAAATTTAAAATTATATATAAATATATATATATATTTTAATTCTTCATAGAATATCCTTAAAAAGGCGCACCTCATCCTCAGCACAATGATGGACCTTATCATTATCAAGAAACAAACATAAATAGTATGGCTGCAACAACTGGATGGAACTGCTGTACTCTTTTGATACACTTTGTGATAAAAGACAGAATAAGTTTCTTAAAACACAAAGAAGAACATACACATATTTCAACAGATTATATTTACAAAGTGTGTTCAATAATGTGTTTTTTGAAGAAAAAGAAGGGTTTGTATCATTTCTAGAACAAAGGAATAAAAAAAAAAACTGGGAAATTTGGTTAACCAAATTTTTAGTTTGCAAGTTGCTTTACAACTCTCTGCCATGCATGTTGAATAGGATGCATCTGTAAGCCAAAATCTTGACAAAAAAATTTCAACCAAGTATGCAGACCTGCTTGTAATACAGTACAGCTCTTTCACGATAACCCTCGATTGCCAACGACATGATCTTGTTCTGATTTCAGGTACCCAAGATCATCTCCCATGATCCTATCCTTGGCCCGGCATCAGGAGGTACCAGAGTGACCATCACAGGACATGATCTGGACGCTGCTAGCTCCATCAGAGCCGTAGTTGCTAATCGGGATTGTAGTGTGGATAGGTAAGACCAAATTGATGTGATGGTTTCAGGATTCAATGCATTCTCAGGGCTCTCACTTAACTTTTTTCTTTGTTGCCAGCCTGGCAGCAAAGACTGGACATTTAGGTTGCCCAGTGTTAAGTGGTCAATGGCACTCAGGCAACCACTAATTTCGAGCCTTAATTCATTATGTAGAAAAATTTTGAATGGATGTCAAATCATGTTCTGTATTCATTTTCCAATGGTCTGTTTTCAGAAATGATATTATTCTGTCCCTTTTTCACATTTACTGTTCAAAAGTATTTTAAAACTCTGAAATAGTTTTGTATAAGATGGATACTATCATGCTTTTTAGTAACAAGTTTTACTTTTCTTTATTACATTTATCATTACTTACTATTAAAGTAACAATATGATATATTTGATGGAATGCTAACAGATATCAAAGAGATCAAAGAACATTTCAAAGGAGACTACTATGTTCCATTGACAGTGGACATTCACACCTGTATACCAAGACTAATCAAGGGAGACATGAGAAGTGGTCTCTCTTGAAGGTGGTCACTAATGCAGGTTGGACTGAATTTCTATTTTTATCTTTCCGTCATGACAGTGTATCTCAAGACTCTATAGTGTGTGTGACATCACGTGCCATGCCCGGTGATCATGGCTACGTCGGGATGAGATTCGACGGTCGCTATGTGGAGGGTACCCTGCAATTCACCTACAATCCTGATCCCAGCATTCTTAGCATCAAGAGATTCCGCTCAATCAGAAGGTAAGATGCCAGTTCTTTCCATTTTGATTTTCATAATGTTTTTGAGATTTTGGGGGTCATTGCCGTCGAATTGAAGGCCGGCAAGTAAAACGATGACTAATTTCAATATTGTTGTTGGGTGTTGTCATTCGATACGTTTGCGTTCCATGTATCTTGTATTGTCAGTAAGTATGATGGTTGTATATCTCATGTTACAGAGGTACTGTTTTATCAAATTTATGGAAAATGTAGTTCAGAACTTAGATAATTTACGAAAAGTAGCAGTTCTGACCTCAGAAGTCATCATTTTCAAACAGGCTGGCTAAATTTGGCAGAACATGCAACTTTGAATGTTTGTTTCCCAATGTGCCAGTTGAATAAAAAATAGTTTATTTGTCAATTTTTTTTTTGCTTCTTTTTTCTAGTGGTGGTGTACGAGTTCGTGTGGAAGGTACCAACCTGAACGTGATACAGATGCCCCAGATGATATTTAGACTACCGGACAAAAACTTCACAGTTGTGAGTATACTATTGTATACTGTTCACCATACACATTTGTAATGACTAGGACTTGGTTTTATATGGGTTTGAATTATGCAACATTTATGTCGCTGAATATTACGAGTGATACAAATTTTACCAAGTCCGAAGTAAATTTTAAAAAAATTATTTAAAAAAAAACAGTGCTTATAAAGCACTTTTCACAAAGTCTCTAAGCGCTATAACAAACAAAATACAATGATAAAAATATTAAACAAAGCAAACAATTACAAATAAACCTACAAATTACAATACATATGAAATATACATCAATGTGAACAGAGTAAGTTAATCATCAAAAGCAATTTTGAATAAATATGTCATAAGACAAGTTTTGAATGATCCTGATTGGTTTAAAGTGGGCCGAGCATGGGCCGTAAGAAGAGCTTTTTATGACAAGATGAACGAGTCTAGGGCCAACTCCCAACTAAGTTCAATCAGAAAAACAAAGACCACTGGATCGATGATAAATGCTGCTCATTGATATCGAAACTTGCATTTCCCCATTGATTAGATTATGAAGTAGTACCTGGGGGGTGTTTCACAAAGATCCCAAGTTGGACTTAAAAATTATGGATAGCCCTTAGCATCTTTGAAAATATTTTGTAAAAGTTATTTTAAAAGGCATAAAATGTTAATTCAAATCATACATATTTTCTATTATCAAGGAGATTTCATGTTCTTGATGTGAAATTTATGAAAAGTCTAAAATACTTGAATTTTTGATTTTTGAATATATTTCATTTTAAGGCTACAAATGGCTCTCCATAATATTTAAGTTCGACTTAAGATCTTTGTGAAACACACCCCTGGTTTGTTTATCTAATACTTGGATCATTTTTGCATATTGCGTCTTACAGAACTGCTCAGTGAGCAGCCCAGAGACCATGGTCTGCCGGACCCCTAACGTATCGGCCAGCAGTGTCTCTCTACCGTTTGAGACGCGTCAAGCTCAATACGGTTTGATCTTGGACGGGGTCCAGAACTTCACCAGTCTAGAAGGTCTGTCCGGAGTGCAACCGTTTGAGTTTGTCTCTGATCCGTACTATCAGAAGTTCCGTGAGCAGGATCACATCAAGAAGCTCTCCTATGGACAACCCAAGCTGCTTACTATCCTGGTAAATATGTGTACTTTGTGGTACAGATGTTAGATGTTAAAGGTATAGACCACTTTTGGAAACGCCCCCTGTCAAAAATGAAATGGAAGCTCATATTACCAATCATGTGAAAGAATATGTTTTGACTAATACGTGATGATACAAATTTTGCCAGGAAACCGCCTACTAATTGATATATTTGGTAAATTATCATATGGATCCGGCCTGGATAGAAATCGCGCCATCCCATATACATCTTTCTGTGTACAGTGTTTGTAACTTTACCAAGACTGGGCCAAATTTCTTACCATTTTGATGATTCCAGAACCTTGCAGTACACACCAATACTTATATGCTAGATGATCAACCTTTTCTGATTGATTCCACAACGTTTCTCTCACAATGCAATCGCAAGACCAGAACTGGTTGATACCTTTAACATAATATATTGATGGGATTTAACATTGGTCAGAACACTCTAAAAGAATTATATGAAGATTTATGATAAAAATCATGTCCAGGCACCAACCTCTAATATCTTGTTCATCTCCTCTCCTTTATCCGTCTTTTTCATACTCTTTCTTGTCAACGTTCTTGAAAGGTTTCTTTACACATTTATGTTCTGGAATTGTTTAAATACCATTATCACATCAATCCAAATTTGTAAGAAAAATGTTATCATAGACTTTGACTTTGCATGTTTCTAAGAATATATTCAAGTGAATTTAATCAATACAATTTATGTAAGTATCTTTATACATGTTCTTTATTCTTTGTTGCTGCTATGAGTTTATGTTCATGATTTTGTTATTATTATTATTATTTTTTTTTTTTTTTGACAGGGCCTCATAAAAGACCACCATTGTTGGTGATAATAAGTCACCCTGTCTAAATATCAGAAATAAATAAATAAATAAAATTTTTATTTTGGATCAGTCATACAATCTCTTGTTCACTCCTGTCCCCCTAGGGTGAGAATCTGACGTTGGGCTATGAGGAGAAGGATGTAGAAGTCTTGATTGGTACTTTCCGCTGTCAGAAGATTCTCTTAGCTGCATCCAAGCTATCGTGTGACCTACCGGATGAGCAACCACAAAGCAGAAGTGGTGATCTCTACCCAAATGTCATGGTAACGTAACATCAATATACTGGATATCGTTGCTCTTATCAAAATTCTGGGATTAAGTAGATAAACAAAACTGATGTTCCTTATAGACCAGTATATGTACATTATTTTGAATCTCTATTGTTGCTTCATTTGTATCACGTTGGCTTTAGAAAAGTAGAGATAGATAGATATATGCATTCCTAAGGGTGTAAGCTCCTGGTTGTGATTGTACCCCCCCCCCCCCCCCCCAAAAAAAAAAAAAAAAAAAAAGTTTCTCATAGTCAGTAAATTTACTTGCACCCCAATGTTAGATTGCTTTTAATGTTATGTGATTTTGTGTAGATTTGAAGTATATATGTTTTATTAATTCATTCTGTATGCAAAAATTTCCATTGAGATATATGGTACCATTTAGAGAGTCAGAGAGAGGGAGAGTCAGAGGCAGACTCAATTTCTGTTTATGATGAGATGGTAACTCTTCATATCTTGTTTACAGGTTCATCATGGTAACCTTGAGTTCTATGTTGGAAAGCTTCACTACAAGCCTAAGGAGATCCCATGGATTCTCATCATCGGCGTAGCGGCAGGTTCCCTTCTGGCAATCATCATCTTCATGATGACCCTGGTGGTGTACTGTCGTAAGGCCAACGCCAACGAACGACTGGTGAAACAGCTGGAGCAACAGAGAGACACGCTGGAGATGAAAGTAGCCAAGGAGTGCAAAGAAGGTGAGTGAACTACCCCCCTTCCCCATGCCTGGTCCAGCTTGAGGTTAACTCACTGCCTACAAGAACCAAGTTGTTCCTGTATTAAACCAAGCAGGAATATAAGATGAGAATGATAATGAAGTAAACAGGTTATAAGAATGAGCATCTGTGAAGTGTTGTACATGTATATCATCTAGGGAATCTAGTTTTAGTTGGTATGTAAAGCAAGTGCTTATTTGTATTAAAAGCATTTAAAAGCAATTAAGGATGTCTTCCTAACGTATACAATTCCATGCACCTGGGCTAGTAGAGAGACGATATATCCTTTCTAGCAGCATTAACACTGGGTTGGGATTTGAACCTCATAATATGTCATTGAAGGTCAAGATTATGTACTATTTTTTTCTCAACCCTCCTGGCTTAGTATAGATATGAACCATTTGGCTATTCCCATTTCAATTTGTGGATAGTTTCTATAGGGTTATATTCTAAAGGGTAAAAACTCTTCCATCGATCAGGAGGGCGTTTCACAAAGCCTTTTTTTCAATGACAAATGACAAAAATCAGTGACAAATCTGTTGATAACCAATCAGAAGCAAGGATTTCAGTAGCTTATAACAAAAACTGTCATTTATCACTGCATGATGACAAGTTTTGTGAAACGCCTCCAGGAGTGTCTGAGAAATAATGACCTAATTGTGTTTTTATTCACAGCTTTTGCCGAGTTACAGACCAGTGTGAATAATGTGACCAGTGATCTTGGTTGTGGAATACCTTTCCATAGCTACCACATCTACGCTATGAAGACCATGTTTCCTGATCAACCCAACCATCCTGTCCTCAGAGAACTACCGGTAAGTTTGAAAAGTTGTTTCGTTATTACTCTAAAAGGGACCAGTTCAACCAAATTTCATTGCTGAACCCTTTAGATAGGAAGCCCAAGATACTCTGGCTCGAGTTTGTAGGAAAGATTCTTCTTCTTCTTTTTCCAGTATATAGAGATGCCAACCAGTACGATTAAATCGTATTTAGTACGATAATAAGAGTGAAATACGATCTTGAGATCTTAAAATACGATTTTTCATCTTTTTTTCCACAAAAACATAAAAACAGCGGAATCCCATAGAAACATGAACAAGTAAACCCTCGCAACCCCAACAAAAACTTTGCCTTTAATGAAAGAGCAAATATTTTTCTGAAATTTTACTGGCCCCGGTGGCAACGGCCAGTGGTAGTGTCAAGTTTTCGTGAAAATCTGATTTTCCTCTCCAAAAAATCAGATTTTTTAGGATACTCAGTCTGTTTTTTTGTGTCAAGAGGTTGGCATCTCTGAGTATAGTACAGACTGCCGTTGGTGTATTATCGTACCCTGTGCCTGTCAAGTGCCCAGTGTTCAGGTTAAATACCAAAATCAAACGGTAGCAAATTATGGAGCAAAGGAGATGTATTTGTGGGCTTGAGGGAGAAACATGATGTAGGCAAGTCTCCTCAATCGCATCTGTATGTTCAGCATGTTCATGGTATACATGTTTTCCACTTAGGTCTTAACCTGGGGGCTCTTCACTCAATAAAGGGATAATGATGAGTTAAATTGTATGTACAGCTTTATGGCATGGGGTATAATGGCTCTGCCCCAAAATTTGGGTGTAGCAGCACGGACATGGAATGCCTAGTTGGGTTGTGTGGCTACAAAGGGTTAAGAACCCCTGATTTAGTTGGATCTGCAAGGTTGGAAGTCTCTCTCTCTCTCTCTTTAAGTGCCATATTGATTGACTTTGGCGATCATGCTGTTCCACAACCCTCGGTTCCTAGCCTTTTCTATTAGCATCACTCCCAGTTCTTTCACTCCTCTCTCTTCTAACAATTCTGTAGACTGTCCATCCAATGTATCCTCCTTCTACCCCTACTCCTCCTTCCCACAATTTTTCCTGTCAAAGCAAGAAGTGTAATGTGACCCATGAACTTCAACTAGTAGTTTGGACCAATGTTTTTTTATCATTGTCTCAGCTTCCTAGAGATCGTAAGACCAACTGCGAGCGCGGTCTGCAGATGTTCGGTCAGCTGATAGATAACAAGACATTCCTTCTGTGCCTGATACAAACCCTGGAAGAGCAACGGACCTTTAACCTGAGGGACGTGAGTGCGGTCGCTTCTCTTCTTATGGTGGTGCTTCAATCCAAGATGGACTATGCTACAGACATCATGAAGGTCTTACTGGAAAGACTCATAGAGAAACATCTAGAAAAAGACCGAGCGAGGCTACTCATGAGAAGGTAGGGAGATATCTTAAAAGACATATTATTAGAAGAATGGGGGGAAATGAAAATATATGAAAGTGGAGACAAACACTTTTTCCCAATGTAAAATGTAGGAGTGGCATGTACAGAGACAAAGTGAAAAAGCTGAAACTTAAATGAGGACATTAAAGGCCGGCTGTACTAGTTCAGCCAGAAGGGAATAGACCATCCAGCTAGCCAGCAAGGTCACTGTGACAGGTGGCTATCTCATTAACTCAGCTCTCAATTAACATAAGAAAAAGAGGATCATGGGGGACCAACAGGCACTGATTGGGGAAGTTTTCTATATAGAGGGAGCAAGTAGCTACCAGTAGGACAGTGTACCTTTAAGAATATTGAGAGTTATCTATATAGTTATCACCAAGCGCAATGAGCACCCATCAGAAGCAGACACTGGTGCTATACAAGAATTCATCATTATCATCTTCATCACCTGATACAGTAATTGTCAGATCACGAAATATAGATATTTTGTCACTGAAAAATCAGTTTGAAAAAATTTATTGCGATTCAACCAAGACAACATGTATATCTTTTTCTCTATTGATATCCGATTCTTGACTGATGTTCATTTAATCTTTCTTTTTTTCTGTTCAGGAATGAGTCTGTAGCAGAGAAGATGGTTAGCAACTGGCTTTCCTTCCTCTTGTATAACTTCCTAGTGGACAGTGCCGGAGAGCCTCTCTTCACGCTCTTCTACGGTATCAAACAGCAGGTGGAGATGGGACCGATAGACTCCATCACAGGAGAGGCTAGATACGGTCTCAGCGAGGTCAAGATTATCAGGCAAACTATTGAAAATAAAACATTGGTAAGTGTAGCGTCATCATTGAAATTATGAGAAATGATGACAGGTAGACATTGTTCTGAATTAGTAAAGGGATGATGATGTGATGGTTATTTTACCTAACTGCTAAGAAAGCACAAATGCTTGTAAGTAAGCAACCAGACGGCCGACGGCTTTAGGTCCTCTCCGAGGGGCCTGGTAGTGAGGATTAATGCCTTACCAAGGGGCACTAGCGCATCAACTTGGTTTCGAACCCGGGTCACCGGATTATGAGACCACTGCTCGTACATAGACACAAAGACACATCCAAGAGAGAAGAAAGCTTGGCACCATCTGTCTCTATAATTTGAATCCTCTAAATTCAACATCTAGCCCTTCTAACATAAAACTTGTTATTGATACCAAATTCTGAAATTCTATGACAAAGTAGCTCTCAGCCAATCAAATGCCATGATTTCAGTGGCTTATAACAGTAAATGTAACTTGTTATTGATAACAAGTGCCATGAAACAGGGCTCAGGTATTATGTAGAGTAAGCTATATAGCAAATAGTCTCACAGTGGAGTGGATGCTGAAATGTTACTGTGTTATGTTGCAAGAAATTAGCTGCTCTTATTCTCTGATAATTAATTCATTTTTTTAATGATGATGTCTGAGGAATGTGCTCTTTTTTTTCTTTCTTTTTTGGTCATAAGATACTTATTACATACTGATATATTTGAGCATTAGAATCTGTAGTTATAACCAAGCATTTATGTTGTCTGTGACTAAAATCGTTTAATTTTGTCTACCTTGTTTTTTTGTTTTCAGACCATCTATGCTATGGGCCTTGACAAAGATGCTGACCCACTGCAGGTCAAAGTTCACACGTGTGACTCCATCTCCCAGGTCAAAGAGAAGATCTTAGACTCCATCTATAGGACCACACCCTACAGCCATAGACCACCCAAAGAGGAACTAGATCTAGGTAAGTTGGTCCAAATTAATGCTTGCAACCTTGGAATGCGCATGAAGCTAGATTTTAGATCAATGGAGTGAATCATAATGGTCATGTTCCAACTTTTGGAAGGATCTACAAATTTATTGGACCCCAAAAAGGAGGATCAGTTGCAAGGTAGGTGTCATCATCATCATCATCATTATCATGACCTGGAAGCCGTGAATTGCTGTGCCAGAGCCTGTGTGGAGCACTGGATGGGACTTGTGTAGTGACTCGAATTGAAGAAGATCATCATCATGATCATCATGATCGTCATGATCATCATCATATCATTTGCTACTAAATTGTCATGAACATGCAGACCCCATGAATGGACTGGTTTTCTCTTGTATAGATCATGGAGTGTATTGTTCAGGGCCTGTATTCAGTCAACTCCCTGCCTGAAATCAATCAGGCAAGACATTTAAACAAATATAAGTTTAGCTATTTGTGGTATATCTATAAGATGCGCATGGTCATACATGAAATATCATCACAGATTTTCAAAGAATACCATCTGTCAGCCTTTCATAACTGTTTGGCCGTTGATGTTTTCGGCATGCCCAAGAGTAGTGCCTAAAGAGAAAGGTTGTTTGTGGTATTGTTTGAACACCTATTGAACCATTAAAGGTAATACAAAGTTTTGGGAAATTTGAAAATTGGGTGGAAAGTGATTTTTTACAATTTTGATATATTTGGATGCCCTTGTGGATGTATTATAAGCACAAGAAAAATTAGCCCCTAAAACAGTTCTCCTTTCGAGAAAAATTGAATATAAATGTAAATAAAGGTAAATGTAGATAAATTTCAATTAGCGCCTACGGCCGTACAATGGTAGCTGTGACCATGAAAATCTCAGAATATGTAGTTGTGATATATAATTTCCAAACGGGAATAGCTAATTGGTCGATTTTAGTCAAGAAACATTGTTTTATAGCTTAATTAATATCTTGACCTTGAGAGGGACCTATATAACATAAAGAGTTTATTATTTAAAATTTCATAACTTTAGACTCGATTTCAACCGCAACAACGATCCCTGAATATTGTAGGATCGCATATGCTTCTAACATGTTCATTTGAACCAAATTCATGACCCCATCCCAAAACTTTGTATTACCTTTAAGCGCATATGGGCCTAGTTTCTAGGAAGGTGCCACAAATGAATTGTTTAGATGTCATTCTGAAACTCAGGCAAGCAGGTTACTGAATACAGGCCCGGATAATCAGAAGTAGAGAACTGAGCATTTTGAGTCAAAGCATGTTTGATAGTGTACTAACCCGTACCCCCACCCCCATATATGCTATATCATGACTCATGCATTGACCATGAAACTGACTCTGACCGTTCATGACTGACCGACTCCACCGACTGACGGACGATGAACAGAAGACCAGACCTTAGGTAAGTTCCATACTAACCCTAACCCTAACCCTATTTCTCCCCCTGTCTAGCTTTGGTGAGAGGGGTTGACTGGGACGCTGTGACACATACCAAACACAGGAATATATACGCCATCAACAAGGCGCCTCCGTACAGTCACAGACCATGCAAAAATTTCCAAAATCTAGGTAAGGTGCATGTCTGGGTGCTGCGACTCATGCTCCAACGATGCTTGCTCCGGGCTTTATTCTTTTCAAAGATTTAGGGTTAGGGCTAGTGTTGCAATGGGGCTTTTAATTTTTTTTTAAATTAGGTTTTGGATTAGGTTAGCTGTAGTGGTTGGTCCAGGTTGAAGTTAGGATTCGATTTAGTGTTGGATGTTGACCGCGGAGCAAGTGTCGCCTGAGCATGTCTTGTGCAACTGCATGTCTTCCCTATGCATGTCGACTAACTTCTAACCTTGTAGCATGCCCATGTATGACAGCTATTTGATCAAAGATTACATGTCTCATATCATCACAAAAGATTGAGGTCGTCTCTCCCAACGACTTCATCTTTGACGTGTATCTCATACATTGATGAGCTTATTGCTACTTCATTTATTTATCTCAAGTTTCTCAGTAGAATTAGTATTTCTGTTGAAATTTTGAGTAGTCTGGACTGCTTAGCTTGTGCTATGCAAGGCAATTTATTTTATACTTCTGTATAAATAGCGTGTAGGTACAATTTCCCCATGGATTGTAAGGGTATCTTCATAGATGTGTTCTTTCATGTTTCCTCTCTTTGTTTCATCTCTTTGTCTCTCTCTCTCTCTCTCTCTCTCTTTCTATCTCTCTTTCTGTCTCTTTCTCTACCTCTCTCTTTCTTTCTCTCTATCTCTCTCTCTCCTTTTCTTCTTCACCACTCCCCCTCCCTCTCTCTTTCTCTCTTTCTGCCTATCTGTATGTGTATTAACCTCTCTCTCTCTCTCTCTCTCTCATCCTCAATGTATAGAATGGAGATGCGGTCTATCAGGGAGGAAGATTCTACCGGAAGACAATGGTGCTGTGGATGGAGACTGGAAGAGATTAACAATGCTCTCAGATGAACAGGTAAGAGCATTATGTAATCATTGAGCCTCATCCAGAGATCTGTCGATAGTGAGGTTGACTTTCTGTATAAATGCTTATAAACGTTGATCCAATTGATTTAAATCGATTTATTTACCAACAGCAATAAATTTCATACAATGATTTTAAATATACAAAAACAGAAACTATTGGTTTGTAAAAGGGTCCAGATAATAGCACATGTGCTAGTTGAGCCTTACCCCTTAAACAGCTAAACAAAGTACATGTATTTTGGTACAAATCAGTTTAGAAAACATAACAAAACAAAAAATAAAGAATTTACTATTACAATCAATACTTTAAAAAACAAGAATACTCAACAATGTCTTACAATATACAAATAATAATGTGAATTCAATTCAAATATAATAATTGCTGTTTAACATTATCTTTTTAATGCGTGAAGTCACTTTCTCCTTTTTATTTATTATTGAACTACTGTAACTAAATTAAAATAAATTTTATAACCTTATTTCATGTTTTCTTAGTATTTACTGTAAATATGACTATAGTAGTCTCTGGAATTTTGCAGTGCTCTTCTTTTCTTTTCTTTTTTACAATAAAACCCAAATTGCACTGAATTGAATTGGAGTGAATTATTGAAATTCCTGTAATGAGTATAGTATTACTTATGTTGATTTAAAGTTTGCTTTTTAAAATAGCAATTACTCATTTCTAAATGTCTGTAGGTTACAGGGACTGCAAATCAAATTGAAACTTAATGATATGATATTTCATGATTGTTTTTTGGCAGGTGCGAGATGGAGATACAATAGCTTTAGTACCAAAGCAAGGTTTCACAATGTCTGCCTTCACATCACCTACAACAGGCAGATATAGTAAGTTGAAATCATTTTTATAATACACTCTACTATACTAATTTATTTCCAATATCCATTTTATTCTTGTATATCTTTATTATATGCTCTCTTTCTTTTCTCTTTCTTTTCTTTGTTCTTTGCTCTCTATCTGTTAATGTCATCATCACTGATATATGTCTTCTTCTTTTACATATGTACTTTTAAATGTTGATTGTTGGAAAAACAAATTGCCACTAGTGATCCATGGTATGTATAATATTCATTAGAAGTCTTTGAGTTCTAGTAATGACACAAAAATGTCATTCTCATAGAATTAAATGGAATTCACACTGATTATTTTCAAATTAATCTACCCTAATGAGTTTGACAGCATTCATATTTGTTCAATAATTGAGTGAGAAGCAAAAGAAAGTTCCGGCAACTAAACTGTCAATATAGATTGTTTTCTCTCATTACTGGGTCCCAAATTACTTTTCCACATATATTAATGTGCATTTTGTGAAGTCTGCATTTGAAAATTGTAATGATAATGAGCAGGCAATTCATAATTTCAATTTGACTTTAATTTCAATTTTTTTTTTTCCTTCTTCAGCTGCGAGTCCGTGCCGATCGACCACGCCCATGCTAGGTTCATCGGACGTAGAGAACGGCTTGAAGCTGTGGCATCTAGTCAAACAGAGTGATCATGATAACACAAAAGGGAATGAGAAGGACCACAAGATGATGGCTGAAATATATCTACCAAGATTACTCACAACAAAGGTAACATAGTCACAGCAGCTTGTAAGAGTCTTTCATCATGGAATCGGAAAAGTGTTACTCAGAACCAATGGCTGTAACTCTTTACATTATTTTTTGGGTGCTACATTGTCCATATGTATCCAAATAGCATGAAATTCTAAATTACCCTTTGTTAAGTGCTGCTGAATTAGCGCTTTGTATCTGCTCTATGAAAAGGCACAATAAAAACGTTTTTTATCATTTTATTAGCATTTAAAAAAAATGTTATACTAGATAGAAGTAGGTCACAAAATTTTGCTCATACTCTGCCATTTTCAGTGCAGTCAAATTTAATGTGCCTTGGTAAATCAATGCGAAGAGTCACACATTTTTTTTTCTGAACCTGAATTATGCTAACCTTTGATAAAGTGAAGAGCTATACAGTGCAAATGAGCAATTGTTTTTTTAATGAGATAACACACACATAATGGCTTTTGACCCACATTCATTGCTTAAGCACAAACTGGGTACAAGAGGATTTTGACAATTTTTTTAAAAGCCTGCCGTTCAGTCATCCTTGCCAGCACAATCATGAAAATGGTATCATTAGAGAGGGTATTAGTTCTTCTATACAATGAAATATGATTTAAAGCCCCGCTGCATTACTTATAGCCACTTGCGCCCTCTATATAGCAAACAATGCCTAATCAGTGCCTGTTGGTCCCCCATGATCCTCTTTTTCGTATGCTAATTGAGAGCTGATTTGGTGAGATAACCACATGTCAGTGACCTTTGCAGGGTGGTCTAATTCCCCCTGGCCAAACTAGTTCAAACAAGCTTTAAGGTCACATAGGTTATAATTCTTTAATTAGAAGCTACCAAATTTGGGTACACTTTTTCTTTTATACGCCCTGTATAATGCAGTGTTCTTAATTTCTCAAATCCATGCTTTTCCTTTCTCTCTCAGGTTACGTTACAGAAGTTTGTAGACGATCTGTTTGAGACGATATTCAGCGTGAATTACCGTAGCAACACCCTCCCACGTGCCATTAAGTACCTGTTTGATTTCTTTGAGGACCAAGCCAAGCAGCACGGAATCACCAACCCAGAGGTGGTCCATTCGTGGAAGAGCAACAGGTAAGATGATGCGGTTGTCATAGAAACAGAATGGTGGTGGTGGTGGTGATGAGGGGTAGTGATAATGAATTTTGATCTCTCTCCCTGGCCTACACTTTGTGTGGTGTGGAGTGATAATGTTGCTTGTCTTTTCAATGGCCAAGAAGAAAATTTATATAGTGGCAAGTAATATATAAAAGATAACCAGCTGAGATACCCTTTACTACCTATTTTGAACCATCTTATTCCCTGTTTTACAATTATTAAAAAGATAATGGTTAAATACTTCATGCAAAGTTTCTCATCACTGTACAACACTTAACAAAATATGACATTAATTTGATCTTTCAATTACCACTTGTTTTTGCTCATTGAAGAAAGCAATGTTATAATGTGTAATCATATACAAATGTTTCTATCACCCTTTGAAATTGTCTTCATAATGTTCTAATTTGATTCCTCCTTCTCTTTTTCCCTCTCTCTCTCTCTCTCTCCCTCTGTCCCTCCCTCCGTCTCTTTTTCCCCTCCCTCTTTCCCCCTCCCTCTCTCTTCTTCTTTCTATCTGTCTCTCTCTCTGTCCCTCCCTCTGTCTCTCTTTCCCCTCTCTCTCTTCTCTCTATCCCTCTCTCTCTTCTCTTTATCCTCTCTGTTCCTCCCCCTCCCCCTCTCTCTCTCTCTCTCTCTTTCCCTCCCTCTCTCTCTATCTCAACATGTTTATCATACAGCCTTCCCCTACGTTTCTGGGTGAACCTGATCAAGAACCCTCACCACATCTTTGACATCTACAAGTCAGACACGGTGGATGCCTGCCTGTCCATCGTGGGGCAGTGTCTGATGGATGCCTGCTCTGTATCCGAACATCAACTCACCAAAGACTCACCTTCTAGTAAGCTACTCTATGCCAAGGATATCCCCAAGTACAAGGAGTGGGTGGCAAGGTATGTATCTCTAAACCATCATAGATCAAGCAAGAGACACAATACGCTATTATACTTTACAGTCAAACCTGCTTTAGTGATCACCTGTCTACAAAGACCACATTTTTTGTTTCCCTTGAAAAGGATTTCTCATTGAAAAATGTAGTAAAGGAACCTGTCTACAAAGACCACTTTTTGTGTTTCCCTTGGGCGGTCGCTATAGACAGGTTTGACTGTATTATATTTTCATTGAAAATGGTATCAACAAAAATGCATGAGCAGGATATTTGAATGACCTTGTAATCTGCTCCTATTTTTGTTTGGAACAAAATGTATTTTGAAGGGCATATTTCCATTTACAATTTAACATCAAACACTGAAACTGTCCACATTCAGTTAAATTTAAGGTCATTGTTGTGCTGTCGCTGGTAGTTTATGGAATGCTGCAATATTTAACATTGTATTCACAACAATTATACAGTGTATTTTAATTTTTTTTTTTTTTGGGGGGGGGAATACAGTTGGTCATTTTTCTTCCCTCCTGTCTCTTTCTCTTGCTTCATCTCTCACTCCCTCTCTCCTATCTTCTCTCCCTCTCTCCCTTCCTCCCTTTCTTTCTCTTTTCCACATCATTTTGCCTTTGTTTGTAAGCTTGTAGTGGACCCTTATGCCTACTACATGCATCTTTATCATGTTAAACCCTTTAATGCCCTGGATTATGTCATTTGTCCACAGTGTTACATTTTCTCTGATAGTAATGTGATATTATTATTTTATATAATTATTTTATCTATTATAATTGTAAAAGAATCTGAATTTTGGCCATCTAGCTGCAAATATGTTTTTTAATCAATAAACCATCTTGAATGTATGAATAAATAAATAAGTGAATAAGCTCTCTTAATTTATACTTTGTGATATACTTGCTATTTGATGTCTGTTGATATGTTTGTATGTTTGTCTGTCTGTCTGTCAGGTACTATGACGACATCAAGAACATGCCACCCATCAGCGATCAGGACATGAACGCTGTGTTAGCCGAGCATTCCAACGGTCACCAGTATGACTTTCACACGCTATCAGCTCTCAATGAGCTCTATCATACCTATGCTAAGAAGTACGGTGAACAAGTAAGTCAAACTAAAATCAGTCTTCGTAGGATTGTAAGACATGTGTTGCAGTGACGATTTGCTCAACATTCACTTTCTAATAGTAACCAAATCCTCAATTTCTAAACAGATGATCAGCAAAAGTTAATTTCTTCTTAAATCTGACCAAAGAAATGATTGCCAAAATAATAATTTCAAGATTATCTCAGTATTTTGATTGATAATTACCTAAATTTGCTGTTTTGAATTGGGTTATTTTGAGAATTCTTCTCAAAAGTAAGACCTGTGTGTACCTGTTTGCAAGTATAGAGTCAAGGGGAGTGTTTCACAAAGACTAAGATAGACTTAAGTTGGACTTAACTATGGCAGGATGTTCATGCTACTAGTTGCTCTCACTATTATGATCTTAAGAATATATTTTTTCCTTCAATAATGAAGTATCAAAGAATGTAAATTCTGCAGATTTGGGACCATGGTTTGTACGTCCCTTGAGAGGCCAATGCCAGTAAATGGTGAGAGAAAACAGTGGCATCAGCGGTCTGCCATAGCTACGTCTAACTTAAAGTCGATCTTAGTCTTTGTGAAACACTCCCCAGGGGGTATATCATCGGCGTGTGGTTTGAAATCTAATATGTCATAACTCTTTTTGCTGATGTTATTCATAAGGTACACACGCATGTTCACGTTAGTAATCCTACTTCCAATTTCTTCTTTTGCAGATCTCTGAATCGTTACAGAAGGACGAGTTTGGTCTGAAGTACAAGCTAGCGGAGAAGTTTGAGCATGTTGAACAGCTCATGATTGACAGTGAATCTAATCATACCGTATGACATTCAGGACAATCTTACACGTGGTCTTGTTGCAATATATATATATTTTTAAGAGATGATGGAATATCCCCTTGATGATGATGGAATATCCCGTTGATGTTAGCCTTTGTGAGGATGATGTTTGAATGGATGATGTCGCTGGATGGTTGATGGACGTCTTTTTTAGCGATGGAAATCTTTTGAAGGACATGACAGTGGAATTGTCAACCATGGATTTCTTGTTTCATTTGTCTTACGTTGATAAAGAAGCTTGCCTTTTAATTGTATACATGAGGATGTAGTGTGGATGGATGGCCGTGATTAGACCAAGCTGTCTTGGAAGTTTGAGCTTGGGTCAGTTTGGGCGAGTGTCCGACGATATGTTCTTCAAGTAAGACTGAAAGAGTTTTGACGATGGTACTTGAAGAAATATTGATTTAAGTTTGTGATATAAAGCGTGCATGGGACATTACTTTGAGTTGTCCTGTCGAGAATTACATGTGCCATGTCATGGGGCGGTTTGCCCGTTGTGTCACAGTTTGTTCATCGTGCAGTCATTTTAACATTTGTGCAGAAGTACCTGTATCTCATCGTTGTGGTTATCAAAACTTTGTGACATTATTTATTGTGCCTGAGTCAAGAAAGATATTTACGGCTTAAAAAATGATATAATTGGTTTATTACAAATGCTGTTAAAGTGTGTTATCAAATTACCAGATATTACTGCAAAGCAAATAAATGCATTATTAATGTACACCAAATTCATTTGTGATAATTCTACTTTTAAGTAAGCAGAAACTGTGTACTTTGTAGAATGATAATTATTTTAAAGTTCTCGAATTAATTTTGATTGCATCAATATGTTTCATTATATCTCTTTGTATATTTGAAATTTGCAATTTTATCAGTTCATGAATTAGTGAACTGAATGATCTGATATTTCATTGACATGATTAGTTTTCTGACTATTGCCCCTAATATGAACAGTTCTTTCATCATTTTATAGTTTAATTGAGGAGTTGCCTCATAAAGTTGGTTAATATCTCATACAAAGTTGATTCTTATAGCTCTAAAGGAGACAATGTTTAGGAAAGTGTGATTAAACTCATCTAGGATAAAACACATTTTTTACAGTGTAAGATTTCTCAAAGGTGCTCTTTGTTTATGGATCTGAAATATCTATTGACTCTATCAAACTTTCAGTGCTCTTCTAATAGTATGGAATTACATAATTATGCAATTCTATGTTTTCCCACTTTGTTTTTTTATTCTTTTCATTCATGTTTCTTTTTTTAAAGCTAGATCAAACTAGAACAAAAAGAATTCTATGTTGTATTGTGTTATATTTGTTTCTTTTCTTCAGTCAATCTTGACTTTTACTCTGTCCATAGCCGAATTAATACTATAACTTTGCAATCCAGTTGCCTTAATTACCATAATGGTAATTTTTGGTTTTCTTTTCCTCTCTATAATATCATCTGATTATGAGTGTGTTAACTTGAAGATCTCATTTCTTTGAGTGTATATTTTCTTTATTCATTCTGTATCTGAAACAAGATACGTAATCTTCTATCCAAGATATGTAATTGCCAAATCAAATCGTGTTGTTACCTCTACTCTTAACAGGGGTGTGAAAACTGAAAAGTTATGTTTGCTGCCTTCAAGGTTATAAACTTAATGAGAGTTTATATTTCATACTGAACCAAAGTATTGAAAATAGAAACCAGCATTCTGTAAGGATGGAATACATAATGTGAACCAGTCCAGAGGATACAATGGAGTGTACTGAAAAGAAAGTGAAAAAATTTCAAACAACAAATCTCTTTTTTTTTTAATTGAAAAAAAGAAAAGTAATTGATATATTTCACATGATACTATTAAGCTCATGAATATAGGATGGTATACCAGACGAAAACAAATTATTTGGAAAAATATATCACATTTCTCTCGCAGAATACTTGAAAGTAGAAAAAGACAAGAAATTGTTTTAAAATGTGCTCATTGACGTTTTTTTTTTTTAATATGAAAGAGGGCTTTGGCTGCAGTAAAGCAAATATATGTAAAACTCAAGTATTCAGTGACTATACATCTCATTCTGTGGTCATATATTCGGAATTACCATCAAGAGATAATTACTTGCTAATTATTCAAATTCATTTTTTTAGCAAGAAACAGTATATTTGTATGATAAGAGAAGTGTCCTTGTCATGAATATAAATCCCAAGAGTTATATCTAATTCTTCATCGAATAATATTATTAAAGAACACAAAGTATGAAATCATATTCCATTCATTTGACCTGATTATCAAGTTATGAAGAAGGAGGTTGCAACGGGTCTTGCAATTTCTCATTTTTATTATGGAAAAAAAAGGAGGATTTTTTTTTTAAAGATACAGAATCATACATATAATACTATTTTCTCTTGATTGTGATTCGCCCCAAAAGTGTCCTCCTATGTTCTAATAACCATTAATGTGGTTTTAATATTTAATCATGGTTTTACACTGAATTTTATTCATATAACACTTTTATCATGACAATTTTTTGTTACAAAAAGAATTCCCTTTTCAATGTAGATGTAACATGATACAAGCAGCTTTTCTTAATTTACATAAAGTGCATTATTTATATCGTGTATAGCAAAGTTGTGGTGCAAACCTTGATTTGTATTCTGTATAGCAAGTACAGAGCATCCTCTGGGTGTGCCCTCGTTATCAAAGCTTTTTAAATTAGTAAGAAGAATGAATCGATCTAATCAATAGAAAACAGACATGATTAGATTCACTTCCCTTATTCCGAGACACAAAGTTACCATGTTGGGTCGTGTTCTTTTACCCCTGGAGTGTACTGTAATAACTATTTTAAACTGCAATGGTAATCTCCTTTTAAAGGTGTTTTCTAAGTTACCTTTTTAATATCGCTGTTGAGAGCCTGAATAGATTAAAGGAGGTAGGATATGTTAAGAATTTTCTCCTCCATACCATAGTTCAATATTGTATAGAGAAAAGGTCTACACATCCACTGCTGCATGTAGTACATTCAGTTTAAGTGACCCTAAGAAAAATTTTAAGTGGTTTAATTCTTTTTTTTTTAATGTAGTTATTTTTCCAAGGAAAGTCGTGGCTCAGAATGTTGATTCAATTTTGGAAATAAAACTTGTAATATTCCTAGAGAAAAAGCAGAGTATAAATGGATGTTATATCTGTATAAATGTATGTTTTTTAACTGTATTTTTGTGGAACCTCGAAAGAATGAAACTGAGGGACCCTACAGAATATCTGTAAATGATTCAATGAATAAAAAGAAATGTTTTCATATTAAAATTAATTCTACTGTCTTGTGATTTCTTTTGTATATTAGGTATATTTATGAGAAATTACTTCTTGAGTAAAGATTAAGGGATACAAAGATTTTCAAACATTTTACCGAAGGCCATTTCAGTAGCCTTGATTATCATCTTATAAAATGTACAAAATCTAAAATGATGTATAATGAAATCCAGACATTTATTTCTATGAAATATACAAAAGGGATGATTTCTTTTAGTCTTTTCAAATGTGTTTAAAGGAAATGAAGAGTATGTTAAAGTAGTTGGGCACTTGGACTATTATTATAAACCAATTCGGGGTGCATTCAGCATTGTAATGAATTCAGATAGGAATTAAGTTATCTACCCCTCCACAAAAAATAGGGGGTGGGGAATGTTAGCTACATTTGCAAGTAGTATTGAAATTGGTTACTAATTTGGGGACAAGTTTTGAAGCCTGTCCTTGTATAATGAAGCAGCTTTAAAGCCTAGTGGCTTGTAATCTCCTGATTAAAAGACCTCCATCCTTCCATTCTTTCACATCAGCTTTAAATCATAAAATATTTCTTTTAAAGCCCCACTGCACTACTTATATCTACTTGCGCCCTCTGTATAGCAAACAATACCTAATCAGTGACCATTGGTCCTCAATGATCCCCTTTTTCTTATGTTATTTGATGAGATAACCACCTATCAGTGACCATGCAGGAGGTCTAATCCCTCCTGGTCAAACTAGTGCAGAGATGCTTAAGTGATTTTATGATTATTCATATTGAATAAATATTTCCCAAATTCTTATTTTTTTCCCTTGATGCCTAATTTACATCATCATCAATAAAGAAAACAACCCTGTGTTGCAAATTTAGTAGTGGAATCATCAGGGGAGGGCTAGCCTCTACAACCCCTCCTAATGGTATTTTTCTTTTTATGAACTTGTGTGCCCTCATTCTTGATACTTAGACCTTATTGGATGGTCTTCACCTGTCATGAGGAGAGGTGGCTCTTCTTCTCAACCCCCCCCCTGTCTGTCTCTCTTTCTCTCTCTCTCTCTCTTTCTCTCTCCCTCTCCTCTCTCTCTCTCTCTCTCTCTCTCCCCCCCCCCCCCCCCCCCCCGTCGAAAATATTGCAGCTGCCTGAAACTCAGCTTGTTGAATGGCAAGTTGGAAGACATTTCCGGCCAAAACAGAAATTCATATATATAAACGCAGTTTCGATAGAAAGATATGAATGAAATTCGACGGCATAGACCGGCAGTCTAATACAAAATGCACAGATTCAATATGGCGGCATGGCAAAGCTTGACCGACCTAGTTACAGTAACCGCGCATTACGTAATCGCCCAAACTGGCCTATTTAATACAAAGCTTTTAAATATTCTCTTGGTAGGCGGGGGTACACACTATAAAAGAATTTACTCATACATGTACTTACATTTATGACGATTACATGTAGATAAGACTTTCTTTTTAAAATGCTTAGAACGAGGCCGAAGAGGAATAATTGAAATGAGATTTAAATAGTAACTAGAGAGAGAGAGATAGAGGATCCATTCGTTACCGACCATACTGATCTGAGATTCATCCGTTTCAGTATTTGGTCACTTTCTCAAGCTGATAGCCATATTAAAGCAAAACCAGACTATTTAACATCAAATATTTTGGTATCAATTTATGTTCACAATTCAGTAATACTTGATAAACGTATGGGACATACCTTGCTCTTGCGGCTCTTGCCCAGGGAAGAAGTTTTGTTTTAATGCAACTCTGGTGTTTACCAACAAACGTTAAAAGAAAATAGGTCTATATGTTGAGGAACAAAATTAATGGTTAAAGCTCTGAAATGGTACAAAATTTGCAATTGAGCAACTTTATTATTGTGCCAATCACGTAATAGTATGGATGTAAATGCCAACATTCCCAGTGTGTTATGAAACCTTTGTTTACATAGCACTGACTACGTCTGCAAACACGAAAAACAAACCAACCTTGTCAACCGCATAAAATATATAGTACCAGTATTCTTACAAGTAAGATCGTGCGTATTTTGTGTCTATGCATGGTCTCAGAAAGATCATTCCCTGGAATTAAAAAAATGAAGTTTCTTTCCATCACGTTGTCGATGTTGAACTTCATCGTTGGGGTGATCGGTGAAAGTCCTCGTGTGACGGTCAACGAAGGAACACTAGTCGGAAAGACGGTGGAATTCAGTGAGAATAAGTTCATCAATATCACAAAGAATGTCGATTTATTTCTGGTAAGTAGACCTATGATAACTTATAATAACGCAAGTCATTCATTTTCCACCAGAGATAGCCAGGAGCTAAAGGGCGGCAGAGAGGCGTTTTTTTTTTGTTTTTTTTTTTTGTTTTTTTTTGTTTTTTTTTTGGGGGGGGGTTCCCCTCTGTCTCATGAATGTTTAGGATTGTCATCGCCACATTGAACACTCTTTCGATGAATATGAGCTATATAATCATTCCTATGTCGGCACATTCACTTGAGCTGCCTTCCACTCGACTAGATTCATGCTAATACATCTGTCGTAGAAAGTTATATATCACAAAATATAAGTTATAAATTTTCGTGAAATCAACGTTTACTTCTGCTTAATTTGAATTTACCTGGAGGCGGTTAAATATTTACTTCTGATTAATGTCTTTTAACAGTAAATACCATGATCGACGGCATTTGAAATGTCGGCCGTTAGAAAGAACGAGTGTTGATCATGACACTATATTACACAGTATATATATTTGTATAGAGTTAGATGAACAAATCGTTTAACAGAATGGCAACCAAGGATGGGAAAGAGAAGAAGGGGAAGGCAGAAGAGAAGATGGAGAGATGACCTAACATCATACATGGGAACGGCTGCTTGGACTAGGACAGCTAGAGACAGAAGCGAATGGAAATGTTATGAGAAGGGCTTTGTCCAACATCTGGATGAACTATAGCCTGATAGATAGATAAATATAGATAGTGTCTTGGCTACTAAAAATGTTTTCGTTTCAATTAACCTTACTTTTTTATTTCAATTTTTTCTTTTAAAAAATTTAAGTAATCATTATGTAAATTAATTGTAGTTTACAAAATACCCCCCCCCCCTTTTTTTTGGGGGGGGGGGGGTGGGCGGTCAGAATATATCACACGCGTGACCACAGATTTTTCCCAAACCCCCTCCAAACAAGTTTTTTTTTTTCAACTGGTCAAAATCGAACAATTTTCGATTTTTTCGTGCTTTTACTGGAAAATTTACCCCCTAATCAAGTTTAACACCCTCAAACAATGTCTCAAACCTGTAAAATAAAGTCCTTGATAAATACAACATATGCAGACAAAACAAAGCATGAAAACACAAAGTCCAGGCAAGGGTATCCTAAATGCGTTTTTATAAACTCTACAACAAACATGTCGACACCCTAAATGATTCACGCTCTTCAAACTAATTTTTGTTTACGTTTTGGGGGTCGCGCGTGTGTACAGCAATATATTTGACTCCCACCCCCCCCCCCCCCCCCCCCTCACTGCCATGAATATGATGAACAAAATGTTGAAGTAAATTGGCAACAAGCTCTGCATGTTACAGTGTATACATCGTTGTGATTATTGCAGGAGTGGTTCCAGTAGGTCATTTCACAAATTCAAACAACCAGATAATAACCATTAAACAGTTCTGTTTAAAATTTAAGCAACTCCTTTTAAACAACCCAGTTGTGCAGTAATACTGAATAAACAACAGTTGCTTAGTAATTTAAACATTATCGTTTAAAATTTAAACAACTTGCTTTAAACAACCGAGTTGTGCAATTTTATTACTAAACAACTGTTGTTTAAAAGGTTTCCTAATTTTTAAACAACTAAGTGTTCAAAATGTAAACAACCTTAATTTGTTTAATTTTTAAACAACGTTGAGCGATTCACCGGTTAACTCGGGGTTGTTTAAAATTTTAAACAACTTGTTTAATTTTTTTCTAACAGTGTATTTAGATCAAGACCAAATCAATCTTCATCTATCATGATATACAATTTTATTCAAACCACAAATTAAAGATAAGTTCGAAACAACATTAATTTTGATAATATTACCTTAGCTGTCTAAAGATATAAAGAATATATTTACATGCTGTATTTTCATAATTTTGGTGTATCTTGTTGATCTTTATAGGGTGTTCCATTTGCCAGTCCTCCTCAACGGTTCTCTCCTCCAGGACCGATGACGTCATGGTCAGGTGACAGGAACGCGACCGAGTTCTCACCAGCATGTCAACAAGCCCAATCCAACGCCCTCTATTACCCAGTCATGTCAGAAGACTGTCTTTATCTCAATGTCTACTCACCAAGCCCGAAGGTATCTTTTCATTTTACCGTTAGTTGGGAACCGGGGTAAAATGCAATAAATTATTGAAAATTTATTGCATTTTTCTGTTTTTTTAAATAAATTTATGGAAACTGCCCCCTACCCTAGCCCCCGCTGCGTACAGTCATGGTTCAGTGACAAAGCAATGGCCTAGCAAGTGTGAGGCCCCAGGATGAAAACCGTGTCGATGCGCTATATTAGTGCCCTTTTGTGGAAAATTAATCCTCATTACTGTCATTTATGACTTAGGTCATTTATGGCGTAGGTCCCCTAGTTGATAAGCATAGTAGCATACACATGCTTTAGCAGACACGCAAAACACACATTGTCAAATTATTATTCAATAAAATCTGAGAATGTATACTTTTATCTAGATCTATTATTTTTTAATTATTTTTAAAATAATTCCATAAATTGGGGTAAAACAAATATATTCCACCTATATGAGCGACAGTGTATGTCATTATCATTTTTGAACATTGAAAAGATGACACATAAGGCTAAGGTTAGTTTTAATTGGCTATAATAACATAACTCATACAGTATGTATTCAAATGACTTTGAATTGAAAAAAACGGGAAAATATAAGTTTCCTATCACATATGAATTCTTTGACTGTTAGGTTTTTACTTCATTTTGTTCGAACACATCAAATATTTCCTCAAAAATAGAAATACATATTTTGAAATTTTCTCTTGATATTTTAGTTTTTCACAATAACCACAATCGTGATAAATATGACAAATTAAGAGGAATGTTCTTCGGTTGCTTTATCACTGCAAAGTTGTGCATGGAGGAAATCGGGAAACTGAAATTGTTTTGATTTACTCGCAGTCGTCTGGACTACCTGTCATGGTGTGGATTCATGGAGGGTCGTTTTCAGCTGGGTCGGCTATGGACTATGATTACTACGGTGTTCCGATGGTTGCTGTTGGTGACGTCATCGTAGTTACCATCAACTACAGACTGGCCATCTTTGCACAGTTTTCAACCGGTAGGTTTGATGGTCATTGAAGATTTTCTAGTAAGGGAACTAGCTGTCACAAAAGTTTAACCTTTTTTTTCCCCTTTCATTTATCTATTACCTTAACGGAAATGTTATTTTCTTCATTATTTTACCCCAAACTAGACCATGTGAGTTATTACCCAAATGGACCTAACCACCTGATGGATATTATTATCAAAGAACAGCCATTGACCATCTTCAACTGTTTGACAAGACATAATCAGTAGATAAGCTTTGGTATAGATCCGTGTTAGCTGACTCATGAATAGGGACTTTTAGATTCTGCACAACGAGAACGCGGACTGCCCTTTTAAGGCATTGTGACGTCACTGCCAGTGCTTTAAAAGGACGTCACATTGCCTTAAAAGGGCAGTCCACGTTCTCGTCATGCAGAATCTAAAAGTCCCTAATAGTAATTTCGAAAAGCTTGCAAGTATTCGAAAGTTAACAGTAAAGTTTTATACTTCCGAAATCCTCCCGTTTGTGTAAATAGTAAATATAACGAGCATGCATGTAAACACAATTATTATGATATAATTAATATGTCTGATTTGTTTTACAAAGAGGACTTTGAAGCTCCTGGTAACTATGGAATGTTGGACCAGGTTGCTGCTTTGGAATGGACGTATAACAACATCGAAGGTAAGAGCGGTCTATACTCATCTCTAAAAATCTTATTTGAAAATGTCTATTTCTTTATGACTTTTGTTCTGCTATCGCTCATTCAATGTGTTGTGTATTCTTGCTTAAATTTAACAACGACTGTCGTGTAAACGAACTCATGGTAATGAGATAGTTAAATGAGAGGCAATAGAGGTAGGAGCTAGGTCTCGTGATATTAGGGACTTTTAGATTATGCACGACGAGAACGTGGACTGCCCTTTTAAGGCAATGTGACGTCACTGCCAGTGCCTTAAAAGGCCGTCCCATTGCCTTAAAAGGGCAGTCCACGTTCTCATCGTGCAGAATCTAAAAGTCCCTATTACTATGAGACACATTAATGATAGACTAATGCGCTATTAAGGCGTTATGTTTGTATTCCTTAATCCACAACCAATGCATGTAATTCGATATAACTTATTCATGAAAAACAAAGTCAAACAAAATTATATCCTTAAATAAAAAAACCTCCCCTTCCCGAAACAAAAAAGAAATTTGGATCTGCAATATCTTGAACAAACTGGTATTTCTTATCCACGCCACTATTTATCTTTCTTCAACTTCAACTTCGTGCACTGAATTTAGGGAACTTCGCCTCCTTCCTTGATTGTTAATATATATTTCATGACAATTATGTTGGTTTTGTCTTTGAAGGAAATAAATGTTTATTGAAATTAAATATTGAAAATTCATTTGACAGCCTTTGGAGGTGATAAGGACCGAATCACTATATTCGGAGAGAGTGCTGGAGGAGCAAGTGTTAGTTTTCATGTTCTCTCGAAACTCAGTCGAGGGTTCTTCAGTCAAGCCATTTACCAGGTTTGTCTTCGATATCATTTAACTTGGATTAAACATTTACTAAACTTCACATGTTCTTCATGCCCGATAAAAGTGAGAACATAAAAACACATCTTAATTTAGGGATCATTTAACAATGTTAAATCTGAGATACACGGTCCTACATGTAATATTGAAGGCTTGAAGCCCTAAAAAAAATCGCGCTTCAAAATGATCAAGATGTGCCTCAAAAAAGTAAAAAATCTTTGAGTGACCGGTTTTACCATACTCGTTTTCCCCAATAGACTGTAGTGTTATGAAAACCGTTCGGCGAACGGTTTTCAATTTTTTTAATTCCAATCATTAATATCTTGATAATCAGACAGGCGATCGGCTTGTAAAAGTCATGGAGTTCCTGACTGACCTAAAAGTTTATAATAATAATTTCAGTATGAGCTAAATCAAGGATTATTTCTAAAGGATCTAAGACAAAGTTACCGGATCCCTTTAATTTAAAGGGAATCGGTAACTTTGTCTTAAACTAACACCGAACGATATACTTGAACAAATTATTTGTTATGAATATAGACGAAAAAAATAGATAACCAATCACACATTTTCCTTGGGGGGATGGATCGTAATTTTGTATTTCCCCATTAACGATATTCAGCTTTAATTAGGTACCTGACGTAAAGTGAAATAGATAAACGGATGAACGAATTTGCAGATAGAATGATTATCTGAAAATACAATCTGAAATTAATCGACATCTAAAATGTTTATCACTTTACAGTCAGACCTGTCTATAGCGACCACCCAAGGGAAATACAAAAAGTGGCCTTTGTAGACAGGTGGTCTTTGTAGACAGGTTCCTTTAGTACATGATTCAATGAGAAACCATTTTCAAGGGAAAGGGCCTTTGTAGACAGGGGGTCACTAAAGCAGCTTTGTTATCATTGATGCCATCAATTTACTTTCTCAAGAAAGTACAATTATAATATTTCTTTATGATGATAATTATGATTGACAGAGCGGAACAGCATTGAATCCCTGGGCCTTCAAGCACGACCCTGCTGGAGAGACGGAGAAGGCTCAAGAGCTTGGACGATCGATGGGTTGCGATGATGTATCATCTACTGCTGCTTTGGTCTCCTGCTTGAGGAACGTACAAGATCCTGCAGCACTCACTCAAGCTGCCGATGTGGTAATCAATATTTATATAATAATAATAATAATAGCTAGTTCTTATATAGCACTTTTCAAGACCGAAGGCCCTCTCAAAGCGCTTTAAAGATATATATATTATTACCCCGGTCATCGGATTCAGGCTTACCCGCACACAATGCATGCACATTCTCCACTCCCTGGGGAGCATTCCAGCCAGGCGTCATTTTTACGAGCGCACACTTGCTAATCTAAGCACATAAGCTTTCGCATCCTACCGGGTACCCATTTAACACCTGGGTGGAGAGTGGCAAATGTAGATCAATGTCTTGCCAAAGGACATTAGTGCCGCGGTGGGACTTGAACCGCGGAGCTTGTGATCCACAGTCCGTTGACATATCCACTCGTCCACGACACCTCTACTGTTATGTTATATTTAATACAGAGAAAGAGAGAGAGAGAGAGAGATACATGAGGAGGGAAGAGAGAGGGGGAGAGGGAGAGAGAGAGAGAGGGGAGAGGAGGGGGGGGGGAGAGAGAGAGAGAGAGAGAGGGGGAGATGATGGAGAGAGATGAGAGAGAGAGAGATGATAGCGAGATGATAGCGAGAGAGAGAGAGAGAGAGAGAGAAAGTTGTTATCAAACAATCATCGAAAGACGTTCTATTTAAACACAATTATTGTTGATGATTCTCGAAATAAAAACAAGGCTTGTTGATAAAATGTCAGAAGAAGAGAAGTCATGCATCGAAAGGGGTCTACATACAAACGATTTTTTTTTTTTTTTCTTCAATGATTTCATTTAGATTTACCAGGCAGCCTATCCCGTGACTTTGGATGGAACCTTCTTAGAAGATACCCCAACCAATCTTTACAAGATGGGAGACTTTGCCAACGTACCAGTCATGGTGGGATTCAACAAAGATGAAGGAACGTTGTACATTTTACAAGTTCTTCCCGAGTCCTTCGGTAGCCCGCTACCACCCTATATCAATCGCACTTCCTTTGAAAATTTCATCCGATATGTCATGATTTACTATGACCGCAACGACGAGATCGTCAATGATGCCGTGTTCCAGGAGTACATTGACTGGACGATGGCGGATGATGGTGCTGCTGATTACTTCCAATCCACAGTTGATTTCGGCACTGATTTCGACTTCGTTTGTACATCAGATATGGTGATGAGGGTGCACGCACAAGCCGGTGGTACTGTCTACAAATATTACATGACGCATCGTCCATCTGAGTAAGACATTAGCAATAGAGTGGGTGCGCTCGTGTGCGTGCGTGTGTGTGCGTGTGGGTGTGTGTGCGTGTGTATGCGTGTGTGTGCGTGTGCGTGTGTGCGTGCGTGAGGGGTCGCTATGCCATTTTGAAAAGCAAGTTTGCCCAACAAGTTACCAAAACAATTTCCAATTTCAAAACATGATCTACTAACTTTACTTTCGAAAAATCAACCCAAGTCAATTCTTAAAAAACCTGTGCGCCACCTGTTGAAATATGCGAATGTTAGAATAACCTATACGTAATTCGAAAATGATGACTATGGGATATACAATAATGGTATTTAAATTGAATTAAGTTGATTTTTCGAAAGTAGTTACGATCATAATAAAGTAAACAAACAGTAGCAGTTCTGCTATTAATTTTAACTTGTTTTGATTCTTCTTTTCACTTCTGCATCAATAGGCCTAATCCTAGATTTTGAATTTTTGTAATTGAATATTGATCACTTGTGTCAGTATACTTTAAAGATTTAAGTTATTAATTTATCACTTATTTCCATCCATCTTTTGTAAGCAGTTTTTTTTTTTGTAAGCAATTTTTGATGATAATCTAAATCTATTTACATAAATTTGATTTGATTTATATTTTGATATGATTTCTCCCCATTTTTTCAGGAGTTTATTCAAGTATGGTGATGTAATTCCTAATATTCCTTGGCTGGGTGCTGGGCATGGGGAAGAGTTGACCTTTGTCTGGGGTCATCCATTCATTGCAGAACTTAAAGATATCCATGGACACAACTTGACGGACGAAGAAAAGGCGCTCTCTGTAAAGCTTATGAAGTTCTGGACGAACTTTGCAAACTCAGGGTAAGGCCATGCATATCAACTGTTCAGAGCCAGAAGGACGTTAACTCTGCTTCAAAATAGAGTTATATGTGAGTTAAAGGGGGTGTAGCATGGCAAATACTGGTTAACGCCATCTACGACTTCTTTTGGACAATTGCATGTAAACGAATGGACTTGATTATCGCCCAACGCGCGCTAGCGTTCGCAAAACAAACCAAAGTTCTCCTCATGATTTGGTTCCGCGTATATGTTGCATACCTGACGTGAATACTGCGGTCGAATCGTCCGTAGTCGTATACCCGATTAGCCCCGAGTCAGTCGACGGAAAAGACACATAGCCTCGTCATGCTACACTCCCTTTAAAAGCTTATCCTGGCTCCAAAGGGAAACTGAGTTTTCATTGCCATAGAACTAGATCATTCATCCTAAATAATGGTCTCATGCCCCCAGGCCCGTCTCACGTAGAACCCTAATTTAAGCTAACTATCGGATAATCATGTTTCGGATACGATTTTAAGAAGGTATGATTAAAATCTGTAACAATCAACCTTGGGCTTTGTACCAATACGAGGGTAAAGACTCTTGAAAATTCAACCAAAGGCAGTCTGGATAACCGTGTCATCGCCTTTTAAAATGTGCGAACATGATACGAAGTCTTGTTCAGACGGAGGCAAGTTACCCTGGGGTAAAGGTCGTGTTAATAGCTAGTCGGGGTAAATATGGTTAGGTTAGTGTAAAGGTCGAAGTAGTGACCGTCTGAGCGATGATCATGTTAGCTACGCCTACCTTTACCCCGACATAATTACTCCTTGATTTTTCCAGGAGTAACTCGCTAGCACGACTAGAGGGTGGCGTAAGTTGACTCTGTGGATGCTTCACCCAGGAGCATTGTGACCATTCACGAGCTATCTATACACAGAGTTTGGCAAACTTGGTTTCACTGGGTCACAGCCTGGCGTATATTCTTTTGTTTTTTGCCTGCTTATCAAAGCAGTAGTCGCCATATTGTGTCCAACTCGAACCGGGTTGGCCCAACTCTGTGTATAGATGGCTCTGCGAAAGTTACGCTGGTCGGTGGAAGGTCGTATTAACTCGCCTCGATATTGCTTTCAGATGTAGCAGAATGAGCCGAATCAGTTTCTTTTGGAGACCGATTCGGTCTATTATAGCGCCCATTGATGAGATCATCATGGCTTCGATCTGGTCGCTAGTTGGGCCTTCTTACTTTCTTAAAGTACACTATAGCAAAGATGGGCCGCAGATCATGTAATCCCTTTGAAATAAATCAACGTGATCTAGGCACAAAAAATATACAACCAGAGCGCAAAAATTTAAAAGCGTGCGACGTCCAAACAGTATCTACTCTTTCGTTGATTTACAGCAGGCAATATTCTATCTTATGCAAGTCATTTTAATCAGCTACAGTTACGTCGTTTTACATACGCCTGTCCGGTATGTCTATCATCAGCGGATTGTTATTTCTCGTCAATAACTTTACTCGGTTTGAATATATATTCTATATAGTGCCGTATACCTATGTCATTGTGTTTCATGGTAATCTTCGTGTCGAACTTTGGTGTTTTATTCATGCTCTTTTCGAGAGTGGAGAGCAAAACAGCCTTCTCTTACACTTGAGTCTACACAAATTCAAGAGAACAAATGCACAAACACACGAGCTTTTTTGTCATTCTCAACACCCTTTTTATTTTTGTATTCAGGAATGACAAACAAATTATACGATTTCATTAAGCAACTGCTCGAGCAGCATTTGGGCGATGGTATAATTCGTCGCTGTTTTCACGAAGTGACGGTAGTAAAAAAAAATTGCATTCACTTTGCGTTACGATTTTCCTCACTACCGTCACTTCGTGAAAACAAGGACGAATTATCAATACCGTCGTCATCCACTTCAGAGATTGACAAGTCCATTGTGCTGCTGCTGGTCTCTTCGAAGAGATCCCATGTAAAGTCCGATAGTTCAGATACGGTAGTAAAACTCGACTCATCATCGTCGCTCTCATCGAATAGCGAAGACCAGTCAGAGATCGAACTCAAGCTGTCGTCATCATAACCGCCGTCGTCAGACACTGCTGAAGGAACGGCCAAGTGGGGTTTGGTGTTGATGTTGCAATCCTCGTCAACTTTAGGAATATCAAAGTTTGAAGCTCCACTTGCAAGGTGGGACTGCAAGATTAAAGAAGGGAAAGAGAGTGAAAAGATGAATTATGATCGAGAATGAACAATTTGATTTTCCAGTAAAAACAGCAATGGGAACTCGAAAGTCCATTCTAGTCTATAATCCTCCCCCCCCCCCCCCAAAAAAAAAAAATGACTACAATTTGAAGTGTATTCTGTCTATTATTTACACTACTAGGCATGACACTGATAATTGAAACAATTTCAGAAGAGGATTCGACTTTTGGTATTGCTCGAAAATAACTCACCTTTGCAATATCATCAACTTTCACTGCGACTGGACGTTCGTCTTCAGTAGATGCTGTAAATAGTAATGAGAATGTCGAAATGTCATTCTCTTATCCGCAAATCGCTTTTCGTTCATTCATTTTTCTTCAAAAAAACTCATCGCATCTTGGTTTTCAAATGAAACGACCTCTATCTCTATCTCGTTTAAGTGGGAATGTAAATAGTAAAATTTCATTTGTATTATTTAGATGTGAATGTAAAATCATATTCTATATAATAATATTAACATGCAGATTATTTTATGTATTGATTTTGTTATTGTTTGTTAAAAGCAATGGAGAAAATAAAATATCATTGAAAACAAAAAATACTAGCTTTCGTTAAACACCTATTGCACGCGCCCCTGCCTTTTAATAATCTTTAAGGATTCATCTTTATAATGAGAATGCCATCTATCTCATTGGATCTCATTCATTTATTTACCTCGAACGCAGCAGCATAATTTTCGAAAACCTGTGGTCACTGTCTTTCTGAATCGACCAAAGGATCGACGCCTTCTCATAGACTGATTTGGCATTGTGAAGCAAGCAATATGTACAGACATCTGAATGCGAGGGGAATTCAGTAAAGAATGGAGCGTTAGCAACACATTTTCTCGAAACGTAAACATACCGGCGCGTAACGCATTGTGATATCACGTGAGTGGTTACTGCGCGTCGATTGGATGAAAGTTTGCGCGATGGGCAGGAATCATTGTGATGTCATATCTTAACGCTTGGAGAGTTTACGCATTGACCCATATTAGTAGAGGCGCTGGCCTTTGGACGCGAAAAAGCATTGTGTCGTCACATCTTTTTTTCCGGTTGTAAGATTGCACGTTGCCCTGTATAGCGCTGATTTGTTTGCCTGTCGGGAGATGGGGGGGTGCAGGAGGGGCTGGAACAATGGTTGTTTTGATCCGGTTAGAGGTGGGGTAGGTCATGCTTCAGACTGACAACTTTGTTGTTGTTTTAAAGCTGGAAAAGAAGGCGCATTTCCAGATACCGAGGGGGGGGGGGGTTGACATTTTCGAGATATGGAAGGATAAAGATTTCCATTTTCCCTCCTTAACTTAATCGTGGCAAGTTGTTTAGAGTAAGAGCGTGTGGACAAATTAAGTGAAATATACATTTACTGCTGCAGGGATTAACTTACTCCGACTAGCAAAACCCCGTCTGAACAAGACTAATCCGAAAATCAACTCTATGGGATATACAAAAGGGTTTTGAAATTGCCCTTGAGCTTATTTTTCGAAAGGCTTTGCGATCATGTTTACGGCCGAACCGAAATTGCTCATGTGGCGACATTATTTTGCTGCGGGCTTTATTTTGATAAACATAATTATGGTTAGGGTTGCAAGCGGGGCATGGTGTAAAGGGTGAGAGTGGGGCAAAGATTTTCGTCTAGGGTTCAAGGGATGATTTCGTTTAGTGTAGGTTACAGCAAACTCTGTACTGTTTGTAAGATTTAACTTTATTCAGCTGACATTATATTATTGACATTGCTTTTGTAGAAATCCCAGCAAGCCAAGTATGGATGAAGAGCCTGGAGAAGAGGAGGATTTCTGGCCTCTGTATACGATCCCTGAGCTCAACCACAAGGAACTAGCCCTGCAGCTAGGTGAAGGCAGAGCTCTAAGAGCCCGACAGTGCCATTTCTGGAACGAATACGTGACAGCACTTCAAGCGTTCTCAAGTAAGATTTTAGAAATTAGTTATTCAAAATCTCATCGTCATGATGTGTCGTAAAGTGTTTAATGCATCCACAATTAAATTCAAGGGACTATGTTCCTGCACTGCTTTTATTGCAATATTGTTTATAGCCGTGGTGCATCAAATATATAGAAAGCAAAACTTGACATCATTTTTTTTAATTGACTAATCTCGGCCTTCGTGTGCCTAACCTCCACACATCAGAGATTGGCTTGTTTCACCATTTAAAAAGTGATTTCATTTTCAAGAAGTGATCAAAAGGTGGTGAGGACCAAATTTCTTCCTATTTATTTTAGGATATTCATATTACGATACTCTGCATCATTCTTGTAACTGCAAAAAGGGATGCAATGTTATTGTCAAGACTGGGATAAAATGTGGAAAGATGAGCACATACAGCATCCAATATCTGTGAGGGGCTACTTAAGTCGAATTATGTCAATCCATCTATCCCACTAAAACACCGATTGATGGTATGATTTTTATCTCCAATATGTTTATATTTCAGGTTCGATCGATGAAGATCAGAAGGCCTGGCGTGAGAGCTACGATGATTGGAAGGATGATATGACTGAATGGCAACAGACATTTGAAGAATACAAACAGCAACCAACATGCAATTAGACACATTCCCTAGCATGTTCCTCTTCTTTTGGAGATATTAACATCATTAATGAAATCAGTTATTCCTACAAAAACTCATATTAGAATGACTTATAATCCATTATGAGAGACTGCGCATGCTCCTCCTTTACCATGTATACCAGAGCCTTCGCTATATAGTATATAGTCTAGTCAATGTATTTATATTAATATACCACTTTATAATTTACAATCATTTTTTTTTTGTTAGTGATATTTTTTCGTACTCTTATTACTTATTACTGAATTTTTTAATTTACTGTTTTAACGCATTTTTATATGATACAATGTGAACCAATTATTGTTAGTCTTTGGACTTTTCGTTGGTATATTTTTTATAAAACCGAAACGGAATTTGAATTGAATAAGTTTGTATTTTTCATTCAAATCATCAAGACCATAAACCAAATCGTGTAATCGTGTATCAAAGCCAAATAAAGCGTCTACCATAAACTTCAAATTAACTTTTTAATTTTAATTGATTACATATTCGTAAAGAGAAATCCAACCATGATATCAAAACTATTCTAGAGGAAAGCAGAAGAAGTAAGTTGGTTAAAGTCGTAAACTGGTGAAATTTCGAACGAAATCGGTCATAAAATGAGAATTTAAAAAAATATTAAATGCCGTAATCACGATTATAGGTACGGGCTCTTCAAATTGGCTAAATCGGGAATGTCACTGTGAAGAAGTGATGGACAACCGTACCCATTTTTTCCAACACACAAAAGGCTATAATATCAATTTTTCAAAGTTTATGACGGCAATTTTTTATAAACTGATAAGGTTCCTACTGCATGTCAAAGGTGCCGAACAATTCTCATACTCTTATACTCTTATGAAAATATAAATCCTCTGTTCTGAATGTGATAAAATTTAGGTATTTTGAGTAAACATGGGAATATCAAAATATTATTGAAGGAAAATTATGCAACAAGAGAGAATCAAAGTAAATATTGTATTATTGCTTATGAGGATCGATCTGTACATGTATATTCCTTTTAATTAACACAAAAGTATGATGGTCGAAACATGACGACTTTCAAGAGTACGGGAGAAAGAAAGAGAAAGAGAGAGAGAGAGAGAGTGTGAAGAGGGGGCGGGGGTAGTGAAAGGAGGCAAGGAAGGATGTCAGAGAAAAGCAAGACAATTTTAATGTGTTTTTTGTTTAATGCCATGTGATTTTGTTGCTTCTGTAAATTCTATATTTTTATATTATTGCCTTCGGGATCAATAATGCTAAGGGCATATTGGAACGTTCAAGATGAGAAAACAAAGAAAATCATTGAAAATTTTCATTTTTGGCAAAGGAGGCGATTTTTAAATATATCCCAAATTTCCCCTAACGCTCCTTTTGGAAAACAAATGGGGATCAACATAATTCTGAAGGCATATTGGCATGTTCATGATGAAAAGAGATTTCTAAACTTTTATTTTTCGGCAAAATGGTGAAATAACATCTTGCCGTTATTGCCAAAAAGTGGCGATTTTCGGATTTTTCCCAAATTTGCCTTAAAGCCCCTTTTTGGGGGAACAAGCGGGGATCAATATAATTTCTGAGGACAATTTGGGACTTATTTTAATTTTTGTCAAAAAGAGGCGATTTTCAAATGTATCCCAAGTTTGCCCTAACGCCTATTTGGGGGAACAAACGGGGATCAACATAATTCCGTGCATTATCACTTTTAGCCGTGCATTATCATAGCCGTGCATTGTATCTTTTAGCCGTTTATCATCCCTTTTAGCCGTGCATTATCACTTTTTAGCCGTATTGACAGTTTTTTCAGCTACATGTAGTTGGTTAGATATACATTTATAAATAGCTTTAGAGAGAGAGAGAGATTTCGAGGAAACAAAGAAAAGTTTCGTTTTTGGCAAACATGATGAACTAACCCTTTCCGACAAGAGCTGGCGACTAGACCCCTTTAGAACACTACTGTTATCTCCTTGGTTGACGCATCCTCTTATCTGGTGAGGGATATGTTATACATATTTCCCGAAAAAATGCTATTATATATACTGGGTAGGAATCCTTTTAAAATAGATCATCGTCTTTATAATACATACCTAAGCAATACATTTCATCACATGAAATTCACCTGCTAAGGGTTCGAATCCCGACACTGCACTAATACTCTTTGGCACTTGCTACTCTCCACCCAGGTGTTAAATGGGTACCAGGTAGGACGCGACCATCATTGTTGGTCAAACAGTTTTTGAGCGTCAAGTAACGCCTGGCCGGAATGCTCACCAGGGATCGGAGAATGTGCACACAGTGTGTGCGGGCAAGTAATTTATCCAATGACCAGGTACTATAGTATATCTGTAAAGCGCTTACAGACAATTTTGTATTAAGCGTTATATAAAAGCAGAATATTATATTATATTAATAACAATCAGATGATTAATTCAAAAGCTTTACATAGATTCCATGCAATGGGTCACTGTCTTGTTTGACCGTTCACCATTTTCTGAGGCAAACTTGAACTTTCGCGAACTTTCCAAGCTAGAATCTTAGCGTGACAACCCATGACGTGTTTTTTTCTTCAGATGTTTCAATTACACTTTTGCACACTGCTTTCCATTTAATAATTAATTTCATGATAAAGATAGAGCTTTTCACGCCATTAATTACTATGAAAGTAAAGTTCTTTCACATCATTCTGACAGTTTGTTCACCTTTTGAGTGCTGACTTTGCACGCACGTATAGGCACACACTATACACACACCCACACTCACATCCTCAGATAAACTTATAATAGAAAGAGGAAAAGATATACAACAATGTAGTAAGAAATCAAGTTTGATCGATTATATCTCCATTGTCATGGCAATTTTCCTATGGGCATGATGCTTCAGAAAGTCGGTGACCAAACAATAGCGAATCTTGCCTGACATGTCACCATAGTGCATGAATTTTTATTTTAAATTCTTTAGAATTTGGCATTCATGGATGACCAGTTGGAAACAATATCTCCGCTGTCATTTACAAAAATCACTCTCTGTTTTGTCAAATAGAAAGAAGAGTACAATGCATAACTCTACCAGTGCTCACCAGTTTGTTTTGCACTTTTCACTTTGAACCTGCCCCTTATTCTGGTGTACTGCTCACTTTATGGCTGCAAAATCATAACAAATGTGATATCATTTTTAAAGAGAAATAAACACACTTTCTAATGATAATAATGATATCAGATCGATGATTAAAAGAGAGCTATAATCGGTCCAACTTGAGTTTTCAAACTCTTTTAGGGTTTATATACATTACAGAACCTAGTGAGGATTAACAGAATTTCAAAATATTTAAGATTCAAGTTGATGAACATCGATTGTAGTATAAAAAGAGCTATTCTAAAGACCCGTTCACTTCGATTTGATCGATAGAGCGCTATATGATTTTAATATACAACATATTTTAAAAATATAAGTGTTATTCATTCTCAACTCATGGGCTGGATTGCCCTTATCAGCTTATTGTTTTTAAAACTGGTCCAAGAAGCACTTGCCCTCTGAACCCCTCCCCCCATTTCACCCGCCAATGAGGATACAGAGAAAAATGTAAGAAAAGAACATTAAGACGTCCCCCCCCCCTTACGGAAAGAAATTAAAACAAAAACCTTACAAAATTGATGCTGTTTTGTGATTTTGTTTTTTGTAATATAACAATAATTATCAAATTCTTCATGTAGATTGAGACTCACACATTTCTCACAAGCAAAATACTTGCCCCTGTTGTACCAATTTTTCAGAAGAAAAATGTTATTATACACTTGGTAAGAATGCTATAATAGGTCACCGTCTTTGAAAAGCATACCTGAGCATTATATTTCAACACATGAAATGCATATGCTGAGTAAAGCCAGATGAGTGATTTGAAACCTTTACACAGATTTCAAGTGGTCATTAATTTTGCATAACAGTTCACCATTTTCTGAGGCATCCCAAATCCCGTTTGGGCGATAGCTTCTTGATTTGAACTTTCGCGAACTTTCCAAGCTAGGAGTTTGGCGAGACAACCCATGATGTTTTGTTTGTTTGTTCAGATGTTTCAATTACAAATTTTCACACTGCCTGCTATTTGAGATTGTATGCCTTTTATTGCTATGAAAGTAAAGTTCTTTCACATTATTCTGACAGTTTGTTCACCTTTTGAGTGCTGACTTTGCACGCACGTAGACATACCCTGTACACATCCACACTTATACCCTTACATAGCTGATATCTAGAGAAAGAGAGAGAGAGAGAGAGAGAGACGGCCAGAGAGAAGGAGTGAGAAGGAGAGACAAGGTAAGAGACTAAAGAAAGTATAATATCCCCCCCCCCCCAAAAAAAAAAAAAAAAAAAAAAAAAAACAACAACAACAAACAAACAAAACAAAAAAAAAGTTTGCGAAATTCACTACACTTGTTCGACTATGCATTCTCATTGTCATATTGCCCGTACTTTTTCAATAGTTCATAAAAAAATTATACTTTTTTTTTTTAACCTTTTAAAAATCAGACTCATGGTGTGCATTGGAAAAAATGACAAATAAGATAACAATGGATTTAATCATATTTTACGTTGTTATCTCGCATTTATCAAGTATGATTCATCGTCAACTGCAGAAGGGAAAATGCACACCTGTTTCTCGGGGTGAAAAAGAGACTTAAATGCATCTCATCTCACCTAACCCATCATCAGATCTGAGCTACTCTCTTCAAGATTATTACTGTCAAGTCTGACTCAACGATATAAGCTGGTGAGTTTTCTGCTTTTCAATAAATTGTCTGTCTAGAAGTCTGAATCTTGTGATCTCTTTAACTGATAGATCGAACTATATTCCAGCATTCAACACTAGCTAATATCAGAAACGTATTTTTTTTTTCTTCTTCTTTCTTTTGGTATACTCTCATTACTTATCATTTCTATTTTTTCAAATACAGTTGTTATTATTTTTGCAAAATATATTACATTTACTTGTAGAATGAGAAAAAAACTGTATTCCACTATTTCGTTCTTTTCTACAAACCCTTAAATATTTTTTAAAATATGGAACATATAGTTGCTTTAAAAAAAATCGTCTCGATCTTCATAATAAGAAATGGCAGTTATTGTGTTAAGTAATTTTGTTTATGAGAATTGCTTTAGCAAATACATTAACAAAATATAAAAAATAAAGGCAGTTATGGAAATTAATGTAGATGTATTTCACAATTTTGGTATTACAATCATATTTACTCGAGTGTTTACCATACAAGGTGGGGAGAATTTAGTCAAATCTCACTTCCGCTGTATATATTATTGGTGTTGAAGCAAGCCCAACTCTGAATACATTTAAAATGAAAGAAATACAAACGATTACGTTTGTTGTGAATAGCAGTTATTAGTTGTATATATATATATATGCAATCAGGTGTTAGATGTTAGTTGTTAGGTGATAGGTGTAAGGTGTTGAGTGTTATAGGTTAAAATTCTTTATTATGTCGAAAGGGACCGGCACCACATAAGACTTTATTGTTCTTTCTTGCCGGTTTCCTTATTTGTATATATAATTGTATTCTGTGTTTATCTTTCGTTATGTTATTTGTATGTTCTTTACTTATCTGTAAATATGAATGTTATAATTATTATGTTTTTATATGACGAATGGAATAAAATTAAATGAAAAATGAAATGAAGTAGGCCTAAAAGTTTAAAAAGTTGTTCTTTACTCTTTCTTTTGGTTTCAGTCAAGATGCGTGTTTTCATCACACTTCTGTTGGTGGCTGTTGCCAGTGCCGAACTTGCCCCACTTCTTAAGAACACCGAACCCATTCCAGGAAAGTATATTATCAAACTGAAGGTATGCTAATTCATTTTGAACCAGTAAATTTATAAACGGGATTTTATAATATTTGTAAAGCGTAGAGGAGATATTTTAGACTCTCTGATAGTCATGAAAATAATGGATGGTCTTGTGAAATCACAATATAGGGAGGGCGTAATGAAAATCGCTTATGATTGCAGGCTCCTGCACTTTTCCAACAGAATAGTTCGGATAATACTTTGAATTTATGATAATATGTTATGGAAATATTAAGTTTCGTATATGTACATATATTATGTAAAAAAAACATTTTGACATGAAGACATTTTTGTTTGTATATTATGTTGTATTACAATTGTATGTTCTTTGTTATTCAGTTATATTATATTTGGAAAAATTCAGAAATAAAAAAATCAAATCAAAGATTAATACTGTTACAGCTAAATACTTTACAAATACTCTTTTTTTTTTTTTTTATTTATAACACTTAATGCTAAATCCTTGATGTTTTTTTAAATAAATATACTTATCACTTTCATCAGCTGGTAATGTTTCAATATCAAATTTTTAGTGTATCGTTTTTGGTAGCTTTGTATTGCAAAATTTATTTTGTTTTTGTGTGTTATAAAAGGGCCAAACATTTAGGAGACATTAAAATCACTGAATAGACATACAGAAGACGAATACATATACATAAATGAATTTATATTTTGACAGGATGGTTTCAATGTCGATGACACGGCCTCTCGTGTTCGTCTATCCGGTGGACATGTTCGTCATATCTATAAAGCAGTCATCAAGGGATTGGCTGCTGAACTCACCGATACGGTCCTTGATGCTGTAAGTTTGATTTAACTTGATCCATTTCTCATTTTGTGTCTACAGGGGGTGTTTCACAAAAACTGATCGACTTTATGTTGAATATAACTATATGAAAGGCCATTCATGCCACTGGTTGCTCTCACTATTGGTCTTTCAATTATGATCTTTAGATAATATCTTTTCCTTCAATAATGAATTATCAAATTATTGTTATGTAGATTTGTGACCATGATGTGTACGTCCCTTGAGAGACCAATGCCAGTGAATGGTGACAGCACACAGTGGCATGAATGGCCTGCCATATAGTTAAGTCCAACTTAAAGTCAATCTTAGTCCTTGTGACACACCCCAGGCCTTTATCTGCCATGTCATTGTAGCGATGGGGTGAGGGATGGGGCCAGGAGGCTAATCTATATATTTACAACTACATGTATTATTTTTTAGGTATTTGCCAATGTCTTTCAAAGTATACTATACTTATGTTGCGAACACATTTTGCAAGTATAGGATATACGTTTGTCTTTTATAAAATATCAATAGACCCCGGTTGAGTATAGTTTCATTTTGCTGACAAACCTGGGTGGACCATCATGACATTCACCATCTTCGTAACTTCGATATTGATGTAATTACAGTATACTGTTTTCTTAAGATTTTTTTCTTCAATGTCGCTAACTTGGAAACAGATATCGTAACCTACGAAAGGATATAAGCGACTGATGTATTTATAGTTCGATGATGACATTATTTAATGTAACTACTACCCGAGCGGTATATATATTTTTCAGGGGCGGATCCAGTGGGGCGTGGGGGCGCGCACCCCCTGTTTTACCCTCCAAAAAAACATCACATTTATTTACAGTTTACTCATTCAGAAATGCCTCAGAATGTACCACAGAGCATCTAAAGGTTCATCATTTTCCGGGGCCCTTAAGTGGGACCCCGGACCCCACGCCGTAAAGGCTTCGCGCTCGCAATTTCGTACATGTCACGCCCCCCTCTTTTGGAATATCTTGGATCCGCCCCTGGCTTGTCCTACCTAAAAACACGTTATGTATGCAATTCGCATCTTGACTAAATAATTATTGAAATACAATAGTTCGTACAGGTGAATGAAATAATTTGCAAACAGGCACCAGGGGCGGATCCAGGAATTTCTTCCGGGGGGGGGGGGCACACATGGGGGCACACGGGGGGGGGGGGGGGGGTAAGAGGACATAATTATATATATATATATACGACTCAGCCAGCCGCTGAATAAGCGGGAGGGGGGGGGGGTAAGAGCACATTTAAACAAAAATTTGCTCCGAATATTTGAAAATCGTGCCGGCTGCAAATTCGCTCAGAGGGGGGGGGGGGGGGGGGGGGGGGGGGAGTGCGTACTATTTTTTATTTTTTATTTTTTTTTGGCCGGGGGCACGTCCCTGTTTTTTAGTACATTTTTGGCGAACTTGGGGCTGATTTCAACATTTTTTTTGGCCGGGGGGGGGGGGGCACGTGCCCCCTGTGCCCCCTGGATCCGCCACTGGGCACTTAACAAAGATTGATGCTTTAAAGTTTATTACAATACGAAACTCTTCTATTCTATGCACAATACATTGTATATATTTTATTTTTTCATAATAAATTATTGACCCAGGTGCGCAACCTCCCGGCGGTGGAATACGTAGAAGAAGATGGCGTCTATCGTACTCAGGACGTAACCTGGGGTCTGGATCGTATTGATCAACGCTTTCTTCCACTGGACAATAGTTTCGATCCTTTGGGTAAGGGATGATTTGCAAAATAATTATATAAAACATATCAATTACACTGTTACACATAAGAGACCCAATTTGGATTTCCTTAGAGAAAATTAAAGAGATAAATTACATGCGACTTATAAAACAATCGTTCTGGATTTCATCTACTCTCAGGGGTATATGGTTCGATTTATAGTGTTACGATTGAATTCTAAAGCTAGGTTATGGGGTTAGGTTCATATAGTGTTAGGGTTAGAGTGTAATAGAAAATGATCGCGTTGTGTCGCAGCTAGATTCAAGATTACCTTTATTTCTTCATTTCTTAGCATTATGTTACCTCAATCAAAAGAAACAAAGTGAGTATGACGTGTTATATATATATATATATATATATATATATATATATATATATATATATGGAGAAATGGGTTTTTTTATAATCAAACAATAACATAATTATGTTGTTTTTCAACATTTTTCTCCCCAGGTGATGGTGGTTATTATTACACTGTGTACGTTTTGGATACCGGCATACGTGACACACATAATGAGTTTGATGGCCGCGCTGATCACATTGAGGATGTTAACTTTGCCGGTGATGGAAAAAACGTAAGTTACATAATTATCTCAACCAAATGTAAAAGATATATAATACATTTAAGTTTGAACATTTGCTTTTTAATAGTAAACCTTTTATTATATACAAAATGTTTCCTAAAATCAATTATGAATACACTGAAATATTATACATCTGCTAGATCACACCGAGAAACTATATAGTATATGATAAAACATGTGTTTTCGAATAACGATCATTTACCTTGAATTTCCTTGATTTAGACATGTTAAATATTGTTGTGAATTTAAAAATCCTGTCGCAGATAATGAAGGGAATAACAGAGAATATGAGTAAACCAATTCAGTACATATTTTTCTTTTCAGGAACAGAAGTATAATATAAAATGTGAAAATTGAGCTTCAGAGAGAGAGGAAGCTCAGTCATTTCTCATTTTATGTTCTTTTTGTTGTTTAAAGTACGAATGTAATGGGCACGGTACCCACTGTGCTGGAACCGTAGGATCGAGGAACTATGGCGTAGCCAAGAGCGTCCAAATCAAAGGCGTCAAGGTTCTCAGTTGTGAGGGGTACGGTAGCGTCTCTGGAATCGTCGCGGGTAAAATCAAATCACTCATATTTGTAAAAAAAAAAATTTAAAAAAAAAAGTTTTATTTGTTTGTTTGTTTGTTGGTATGTTTGTTATTTTGAATAAAGTGTATAAACTATCTTCAGTCGTATACAGGTACCATGGTCTCGTGCGGGATATTTATATGGGTCAATTAGTGGTCTACAGGATTCGAATCCGCGGCACTATATATTTATAAAGTTTATAAAAATTTGTAAAAACTTGAAGTATAAAAAATATTGGTTAAATTGTACACAGATCTACCTTAAAGCGCTTTAAAGGGCTCATTGAACAGCTTTGAACAGAAAGTTCATTATTTATTTTGTAAATGCCCATGTCACTTTCAACTTCGATATTTTAGGGAACTTTTACATTCGGTGTTACTTTGTATTAATTGATTATCTTGAAGTCCCAAATCAGACAGATACTTTGTGGTCATCTTTTTCTTTTTCTCATTCAATATACTTTCTTTTTTTAAATGTTCGCATTCTGTCTGTTTTCTCTATGTAGGATGTGAGTATGTGATGGGTATAGCTACGAAAGGATACTCTGTCGTTTCTATGTCTATTGGAGGAGGATACTCCGCGTCCTTTAATGCCGCCATCGATGCATTGTATAATGCACAAATACCTGCTGTTGTATCAGCTGGTAATGACAACAGGGATGCATGCCTTCAGTCTCCAGCTTCGGCCGAATATGTAAGAACTGCATAATTATTATGCATGATATGTCTTTTGGAAAGGCATTAATCTACATTAGTCACTCCATACCCAGGGGAGAAATGGGGACCTGGTAGAATGACGAAAGCATTTGTGTTAGTAATTGCCATGGAGATGGTACACATTGTGCGTGAATGAATACGATGACGGTATTCCGTATTAAAGCGCTATATAAATCCAGATTATTATTATCATTATTACTATTGTATAAACAAAAAGGGGCAGCTTCGATGAGGCACATTAACATTGAGACTGAGGGTATAGTCAGATAAAAGTTTCATTCTTTTTAAGTTCCAAAGGGGCAGCACTAAGACCATTGCGACAGAGAGTTGTGAAATTGGGAATTGTCTAAAGATGGCGGCAGCACTTTAGTATACTTCTTTATCCTCCCTGTACGAGCACTGTGTAGTAAGGCTCCATGTAGAAAGGCATTCTGGGAAGGTTGAGACGCTCGTGGGAGAATGGTTCGTAGGTTGAAATGGTTTATAGTGAAAGTTTACCTTTACAGTAATGCAATATGTCTATATGAGCAGTTGAGTAGGACATTTATTGGTATTAAAAAGGTCACACGTAGTATGTAATGTGATTTATCTATATTAGGAAGTAGAGCTGTTGGTGCGTAAGTAGTGGGGCACCGTCCTACTCCCTAGTATTGGCATTAAAAGCAGGAGAACAGATACTCTGCTCAATGAATATTGATAATAAGCTAACTAGGGCTCTTTTGAGGAAGGTAAGTATATTTATATAGTTTTGGAGTACAGCAGCATAGTCGGGCCACTGTGCCCTGGCCCTCTCAGAGCGCGCCCGTCTCCAACGGGTCCCATAGCTGTGGCTTAATTTTATCATTAAAAAATAAATTCGTCTCTTGAATTCCGTCCCAGGCAATCACCGTTGGAGCAACGGATGTCAATGACAAACGTTCGTCATTCTCAAACTATGGAAGTTGTGTGGATATCTTTGCTCCTGGTACTTACATTGAATCGACTTGGTACACCAGTGATACTTCTACTTACTTCATGAGTGGAACGTCCATGGCATGCCCCTGTAGAGATATTGGTGTGTGTACAACATCATGACATAAAATGGTAAGTGGACATTATTGAATGAAATGTAATATAAATGATAATAAATGAACGTGAATAAATGCGATGTACATAAATAGAGCTTACGACAATAGTAGAAATGAAGTCGAAAGTCCAATGAAGATGAAGAGAGTTGAGAACGAAAGAAGGGGCTCACGCGATGAAATGTGCGGAGGCTTGATGGCGGAAACGCGACTTCGTTGACGTGGTTGAAGAACCGTGAAGAACGCGATGTCGTCGCCGACGCTCGTGATGATGATGAAAGTAGATGGAGCTCTCGGGCGAGAATAGAAGAGAAGAGAAGAGATGTGTGGCGCTCGATGACGAAAGCAGTGAGTCGCTTGCTGTCGGAGGCCAAAGAAGAAAATGCAGACATCAAAGCCGGTAGTGGTGCTGAGACGGTGAGTCGCTCGATTGATAAGCCGAACTTTGATGGTGAATGTTTAGATGAGCTGCGGTGAGTCGAGCTCATGTGAATGAAAGACTACCGGTGAAGAAACTGGCAGCTCCCAGCGGATAACCAAGCACCATATATGTCGGAACTAGATTTAACTGTTCCACTGGAAGACTGCAGCCCGATGAACACGGCAGAGAAAGTGAAGATATGTGCCGATAGAAATGATAGGCACAGTAGAAACAAGCCCGGAGAGGAAATCATGCAGAGACGTGTTGACTCAACTGAGATGTAAGCAGGAGTTGTTGACTCGACCGAGATGTAAGCGGGAGTTTAGAAAACCTCGTGGTGATGAAAATACGCGGGTGAACGATGCGCGGAACCACGATGCTCGATTGGAGGAATAAACACACGTGGTACGAATAATGAATATAAATAAATACCGTGATGGAAAAATACTGGAGACATGAATTAATGTACGGTGAAAGTAGGGCATGTAAGAGCCGCTACATTACTCCCCTGCCAGAATTGAAGCTGTGTATGCAATACACAGATGAGAGGCGAAAAAGATATAGATGAGCAAAGTACAAAATGTCACAAGAATCAATGGCTGATAAAAATGTAAAAGTGCATGTATTGTATAGTGTATGCAGTAATTTACAGCAGCCTAAGAAATGTACAAGCATGGCATGTTGAAAGAATGTAATACAACAAGCATGGTATGCGAACGGCTGTTTAGTTGCCAAAAATTGAACAGTGAGTATTGACATGGTATGCATCGAATAAACGTGGATAAATGCAAGAGCATAAAAACATTTGATACAAAATCCAGAATGAATGCATTTTATAAAACATTGCTAAGTCCAAAAAGTCAGGGAATAATAAAATCGTACAACCAAGCTGCCAAGTAAACTCGGGATCACCAATGTAGAGATATTGGTGTGTGTACAACATCATGACATAAAATGGTAAGTGGACATTATTGAATGAAATGTAATATAAATGATAATAAATGAACGTGAATAAATGCGATGTACATAAATAGAGCTTACGACAATAGTAGAAATGAAGTCGAAAGTCCAATGAAGATGAAGAGAGTTGAGAACGAAAGAAGGGGCTCACGCGATGAAATGTGCGGAGGCTTGATGGCGGAAACGCGACTTCGTTGACGTGGTTGAAGAACCGTGAAGAACGCGATGTCGTCGCCGACGCTCGTGATGATGATGAAAGTAGATGGAGCTCTCGGGCGAGAATAGAAGAGAAGAGAAGAGATGTGTGGCGCTCGATGACGAAAGCAGTGAGTCGCTTGCTGTCGGAGGCCAAAGAAGAAAATGCAGACATCAAAGCCGGTAGTGGTGCTGAGACGGTGAGTCGCTCGATTGATAAGCCGAACTTTGATGGTGAATGTTTAGATGAGCTGCGGTGAGTCGAGCTCATGTGAATGAAAGACTACCGGTGAAGAAACTGGCAGCTCCCAGCGGATAACCAAGCACCATATATGTCGGAACTAGATTTAACTGTTCCACTGGAAGACTGCAGCCCGATGAACACGGCAGAGAAAGTGAAGATATGTGCCGATAGAAATGATAGGCACAGTAGAAACAAGCCCGGAGAGGAAATCATGCAGAGACGTGTTGACTCAACTGAGATGTAAGCAGGAGTTGTTGACTCGACCGAGATGTAAGCGGGAGTTTAGAAAACCTCGTGGTGATGAAAATACGCGGGTGAACGATGCGCGGAACCACGATGCTCGATTGGAGGAATAAACACACGTGGTACGAATAATGAATATAAATAAATACCGTGATGGAAAAATACTGGAGACATGAATTAATGTACGGTGAAAGTAGGGCATGTAAGAGCCGCTACACCCCCATGTCGCTGGTACGTGAAATGAAATTGAAATTAAGTATTTATTAATTTGTTTTTCACTGGTGAAAGTTTACAGAGATAAATTTACAAAAAGAAATAATCATAATCAGGAACAGTTACTGTAATGATAAACGTTCTTCCACTGGAAAATAAGTTCGATCCTTTGGTTAAGGAATGTATAGCTTTAGTTGGGTAAGTTACGTGAAATAAGCTTCGTATGGTGAGGATGCCGACAGAGCGAGAGAGTTAAAGAGGATCAATTAGGCGGAGTTGATTGAGCAGTGAAGAAAAGAGAGAAAGGGAGAAAGTCAGCATCAGATCTTAGGTGATAATTAAAAAAGGAAAAAGAATACAATGTCATATAGTAAATAAATTAAATATAGTAAACAATCAGAGCGATAATTGCCAAAGGGTCTGAGATGAGAGGAAAGCAAGGGTAAACAAATATTAATAATTAATTTACAGGACTGTGAGGTCTGCGATGCTTTCCATTTTACAAAATTAATGAATGGAGTTTGGCATTCCCCTTTCATTTTCTTCATTCTCATTCTCAAATGATTTGAACTTTTTCTCAAAACCAAATTCATGTTGGAAAAATCCACTGACTGATCGGGCATGGAAGGGCCAGTGGGATTAACTAAATAATTGTCTACAAATTCAATATACCACTCCCCCCCCCCCCTCATATACCCCGTTTACGTGTTACAACCGACAAAGTCTTTTTTTTTTTGCACAAACAACTTTGCAGGTGCCGTCACTCTGTTCGGCAACCTTTTCAACATGTTCAACAGAGCCTCAATGGACAAGCTCAGTGACCTAGGACAAGACTCTCCCAATTCTCTACTCTACGTGGGACATGACTCTGCAGAATAATCATAAGTCAAGATCGAGGGCATTAAAGGTATGAACAGGGAGTTTCAATCCCTAGTATGAATCAGCTTTTTTTCAGCCGGTGTGCCGCGGCACCCATCTCTAGGGGTGCCGCGAGAGAAATTTAGTTAAAATCAAAAAATTGTTTCGGAAAAACGTTGGTTTGGTGAAAAACAATTTTCAGAAACTGATAGTCTATGTATAGTTTCATGTGGAAATAGCATTTAAAAGATAATAAAGTCTTTCTTTTTCGCTTAGATCGCTGGCAACATTTTGACAGCAAGGTGCCCGAATGTATATTGCATTTTTAAAATGTATAATGGTCATGATCTCGATACACGAATATGAGGAGATTTGGGCATCTCATTACCCAGATTTATCATGTTACGAGCGTGGTAAAAAAAAAGTAATTTAAATGATGTAATGTGTATTCGGGCACCTATATATAACTTTTTGTACTCATGTCATTCAGTGGCCAGGTGCCCGCAGTCAGTACTTTATATATTTTTTAGTGTTGCTTACAATATGATTTGTACCATTTTAAAACTGTCCCCCCCCCCTTTTTTTATCTTTGAGAAACAAGTGTGCCCATGCGTATGTACATGACATTTGACGAATGCCAGAGTGATGCAAAATCAATATTCTGTGAAAAAATGATGCACTTGGGAAACTTTGTATTTCTTAAAAGGATGCCGTGAATAAAAAAAAACACGCTGATCTAATCCGTTGTCAATGTGCTTGACGTAGTGACTGCTTCTATAACTGGCTCACAGTCATTTAATTTTACGAAAATGATTCCCAAGAATTGCAACAGAAAAATATTTCAACTCTTTTTGTACAATAAAAATGCACTTAATTGTAAAAAGTTCTAAGTTCTAAGTGTTTTAATGTTCCTACTTATACGAGGATTGGTATGTGCATTATCATAATTCTTGAAAGACCTAATTTTTATAAAAATATAATGTATGTTTGAAGAAGAAAAATGTTTTTACGGGTTTATTATTTATGACCTCTTTTAACTTCACATTTTTAATTGTGCATGTATAGGCCTACATCATCTTTTTAAAAATAAATATTTCTTTCGTTTTATGATTTAAAAGACTATTAAAACATTCCTCCTCATCAGCGGACAATATAGTGAAGTTATAAGTGCATGAAAGGGGGGGGGGGTGATATCACTTTGCTTCCATTGGCCTACTGCAAAATTATAATTTTCTTAAATTAATTTATTTCAAGATACCAATTTCCAAACTAATAAGAAGGGGGAAAAGTTTTCAATATCGCATATTACTTTCTATATAACTGATTCCGTTGTATTTTGTTTTCTTATTGCAGATGACAGCATCATTCTGATTTGATGGACCAACATAAAATTAGATATAATGAGGACTCTACTTCTGTTTGAAAAATTATTCTCTTGAAGCGAGCTTAACATGCACAATGTATTCATTTAAATTCTGTTAATTTCTCTTGCATTATGTGATAAATCAGGCATTACACGGTGTTGTTAAAAGAAGGAATGGGGGGGGGGGGCTCTTTTTCTCTAAGGGTAGAACACAACACCATCAATATTCTGTTTGAGATATCGACATTTTCAAGATTGCATGTACTTTGATTGGTTTATTTTATTTTTCTTCCGGCCCCACTGTTATTTGGCGATTTATGCCACGTGTAATGACTGGTTTTTCATTTTTCTTCAAAGTTTACCAGTCATAGATGATGTTTGATTAACTTTGATTAATCTCGAAATAAAATCGATGAGAATTTATAAAAGAAGACCAGCGAATAAGACCTTATAATTTCTCTTAAAGATAAACTTTAGTACTGGTAATGCGATTGCATTGTGAAAGAAAAGGTGTGGAAAGGATCAGAAACAGTTGATCATGTAGCATGTAAGTATTGGTGTGCACTGCAAGGTTCTGGAGTCATCAAAATCATCATAAATTTGGCAGAGTCTTGGTAAAGTAACAATCACTTACACAGAAAGATGTATATGGGACAACACACATGGTGTCGGGGCTATTACTACCCTGATTTCCTTATCTTTCTATGCTCATAACTCAGCCAGTAAACATTTTCTTCCAAAATTGTTTGGCACATGACATTTATTTGTAATCTTGAACATTCAGTGTAAGTTTCGTTAGATTCTGTGAGAATTCATTTTCTTTTTTTACCAGAACTCAAGTTTATCTTTAACTTCAATCCTATGAAGAAACTTATCGTTTTGGTTTAAGACCACTTATAGCAGAAAATGAGGTTTTCCTTCATAGACTTTAAAAAGTATATATAGGCAGTTATTGAAATAAAGTAGGCCTAAATCTGTGTCATTTATAATAAAGAAGTCCTGATCATTCAAAAATAAAATCATTATAAAGCAAAACATGTGTCATTTTTGTGTCTTGATCCATGCCAGATATTATGTTAGGAAAGGTGCTGATGAATCCTTAAGTTTCTTTTCTCTTTTGAGGAAAGAAAGAAAGATAAAGATAGATAGATAGAGAGAGAGAGAGAGAGAGAGAGAGAGAGAAAGCTAAAAAGCTTATGATGAAACAGAAGGGGGTGGAGAGGGTGGAACAAAAGACAAAAATGTGTACATAAGGAAATGAAAGACATCGGAATTAATAAGAATAATTATATATATATGTTGAAGGTTTTTTTATGAAGATAATTTTTTTTAGTATTACAACATACCTGAAACTGTGGTCTGATGATATTATGAAAATATAGAAAAACGGATAATGAGCCATGCACTGACGTATTGCATGGTGTGTCTGTGTTTGGGAGGGAGGAAAGGGGGGGGGGCTTGGGGTTAGTGCTAAAAAAAAGTTCCACGCTCCCTCCCCCTTCCCCTTAAAAATGAACAGAAATGGAAACGAAAAGGAAAGGAGATATACGTTAAACTAATTTTTTTAAAGAAGAAGATAAAATAAAGGAAAAGAGAGAAAGAAAGAAAAAGAAAAAAAGTTTATAAGCCTTTATTTAATCATTTTAATCACTGCCACTTACTTTCGTAACGATTCTATTGGTCAAGGGTAAGCCGACACTTTTTTTTTTTATTTGGAGTCCAAAAAAAAAATCGCAACGACTCAGCCGGCCGAAAAGTCGCTCAGTGGGGGGGGGGGGGGGGGGGGGGGGGGGTATACCGACCCTTTTTTTTGTGGAGTCCAAAAAAAATCGCAACTACTCAACCGGCCGAAAAGTCGCTCAGTGGGGGGGGGGGGGGGGGGGGTCTCGAAATTTGAAAATTTGACATTTTGTTTCGTTGGGGGGGGGGGGGGATAAGGTCACCTTTTTTAGGTCAGCCATTGGCATAAAAAAACAACTTAAAAGGGGGGGGTTCACGAAATACATACACAAAACATACACTTACAACAACAAAAAACCAAGGGAGGGGGGTTAATCCCAACCCCCCCCCCCCCCCCCCCCTGCGTACGCGCCTGACTTCTATTAGTAACTTGATTGTATTTTCCGAGCATTTATTCTACAAACAAGCAAACAAGCCTTATGCATTATCAGGAAAATTCTTTCAAAACTGAGGGAAGTATACAATACTATTTGGTTGGAGGGGCGGCAATTCCGAGGAATTCTGAAAATGGGCAAAAGGACATTTTTCTACAGTTCTGTAATTTGAAAATGGCCCAAAGCCCCCAAACATGTGGAGCAATTATGTGCAAAGACTCAATGCGGTATATGATATATCAAATACATTGGATTGGGGGAGAGATGTCTCGGCACTGCACTTGACTGGTATTTTCAAATCGCCCTCTACGGGCAAATTAGTAGATGCATGGAAACAAATTCTCGGTTGTGAAATTCCAAGCCAGCAAATTCTACACACCTGACAAATCGCGTCCCGTATCTATGAAAAGGCTGGTTACCAACAGGAACTTCGAGCGTCATCTTACTCTATCTCGTCAATATTTCTACCTGGGTTTTGATATCGGTATGAGGTGACATTCAAGGAGAACATAATGGGAGAAGAATTTATAAAGAAAACCCAGGATTCTCTGGGGAAAATCATTAAAAAACCGCCGATGACGGAGAAGCTGCTGAAGAAACCACCATTCAGATTTCTACACGACGTCTTTACAGAGGTAAACAACATGCAGGTTGCCATTCAAATCAATGCACTTATATTTAATGCAGATGTTAGAAATCTGAAAAGATTAGACCTGAGTTTAGACTATTAATATATTTGTATTCAATTTATTACCTTTAATGCTATATTCTTTGTATTCCATGTGAAATGAGTGTGTCAATCATGTTTTAACTTTATTTTATTGCTTGCCATGAAAATTGCCTGTCATTGATTCTCATGAGACATGACACTGAAGTGCATGGCAAGATTGAATGATCAGGGACAGGTGCCCCTTTCTCGAAACCGTCATTCTTGACTAAATCAGCGGTAATATAAGCAGTAAACTTTTGTCTGCTACGCGTTTCGCCCTTTTTGCCATGTTCAAGGACATCATTCTGAGCTGAGTAGGTCTAGACTAGTAAAGTATGGATAATTGATCGTAGATTTCTATATTGACACCTCTGACCAGTGTCGTATCTCTGTCAAAAAAATTTGGCGCTTGTTCACAACTGTGACCATTTGGACCTTTGACTCCAGCGTGGAGATACCTATAACACAACAACAACAAAATTTAAATTTTACACAATTGATCAAATAACGATCATGATTTAAAAGTCGTTATCTTTCTTGCTTGCCTCGGCCTCGTGTCAATTTTCTTATCTTTTTTGGAGTATTTTTCCTAAACACAAAGATACACTTTCTCACAGGTTTCACGGCGAACCACTGCAAAATACAATTGATACTGACAATAGGCCGGGGGTGCGTGAAGTTAGCGACTGTAATCTCAGACCCTCATTAAATTCATGCAAGTAATTAACATTATGAATTGATGATGATCATTACGGTCGCTTACTTCGCGCACGGCCTACTGTCGGTAAGCACTGGTTTTGTGCAACTTGCATCTTTTCAGCACTGACATTTGTGTTGTAAATCACTTTGATATAAACTTGTTTTACAGATCATACGAACGACGGGTTTCATGAAGGGTCTTCTTTCAGAGGCAGAAATGGATTCTCAGAATGTCAAGGTACTGTAGGTTCAATGGATTTCCCCTTTAGAAAACTTCCTAGGTGATATCATCTACTAGGGTGTCTGAACGATTTTTCAATTTTCAATTTGGGATCGTTTTTCACCATTTTTGTTTGATATTTGAATAAAAAAATGTTATCAGAATAATACATTTCAAATTTCAAGTCTCACCGATGTTTCTATCAAAAGTTACAGCCCCTCCAAAACGCTGGTATATTCATATCATTTTGGTCAAAATCGACGAAAAAGACGTCCACGCAGAGTGATGTTGTTTTGCTAAATTTAGCCAAACAGCTGTATCGCGCGATATGCAAGCGTATGCATATCGTACGCATGCTGCTAAGCCAATCCGCGACTTGCAGCTTGAGCTACGCTGTCTCCGCGACATGTGCGATTGACTAGTATGGTTGGCGTTCGTCGCACAATAAACCCGGAAGTGAATGCACGTTATAGTCAATGGCAATATCGCGGAGACAACGCACGTTGTCTCCGCGATATTGCCATTGACTATAACGTGTATTCACTTCCGGGTTTATCGAGGGAATTGCCAACCATAATTTCAATCACTATAATGTGTAATTGAATTTGGGGTTTCGTTCGTGCGCGGAGATGTTACGCGATGTAACCATGGTTTGGACTGAGCGGAGCGCACGCCTCCTAATTAGCTGATCCACCAAATAGCGAGAAGGATATTTTTAAACTGTTATCAGTTGTGATCCCTGGGGGCTAGCGAAAATATAATCACATAGAATTGTTCCTTAGGACTGGGACTACTTATCGGTCTGGGCGTCATATCTCAAAAGTGACAAACCTCAGAGTTAGCCAGGACACAATGTTTAAATTGCTGTTTTGACCAAGATATTTTTAGAATTTCGGGGGCTACGCCCCTTGGGAAATATTGGAATTCACCTGCTCTTTCATATGACACCTCATTCATTGATTATCACCTTCAGGATCACAACTGATAAAGGTTTGAATCTCGATTTGAAAAAAAAAAATTGACCTTTTTTGCATGGTCGCGCAATGCACGTAGGCTGCATAGGGATGCGTGTAATCTCTATGGGAAGAATTTTAGCACACAACATCGGGTGCGCGATCAGACACCCTACATCTACCTGTACACACATATCGAATGTGAATCAGTAATACAAATGTTAATAGCTTCATTTAATTGTATTGTGTACATTGTAAATGTCCATCCCATGGGCTGCTCAAGGTAACTACAATGGATTAATAATATTAATAATAATATTTCGCTCTTATATAGCGCTTAATACATCTAGGATGTCTCTATTAAAGCGCTTCACAGATATACCCCAGTCATTGGATTCAATACTTGCCCGCACACACTGTATGTACAATATCAGCTCCCTGGGGAGCATTTCAGTCCGGCTATATATCAGTCAACTCGATATAAATTAGCATTCATCTAACATTTCAAATTTAGTTTTTATAAAAAAGTTCTTTAAATTCTTCAGAGAGAAAAAAAAATGGTAGAAATTCCTTTTAGTGTCGGAGCGTATCAAATTGCTTTCCTTTTAATGCGCATGTACTATTCTGTATTAAATGTATATCATATATAAAATTGAGAAAGCAACCCAAAGTATGTAAACATATCAGTAGACAGTGAAAAAATTCATAGATAGCTTTTAAGTAAAAGAAGTGAATTTTACAGCAGCAATTAACTCATATATGTACAGTATATCCTTCATTTTAACAATTATGCCATGCAATGTTCTATTCACAGGATAAAGATGCCAAAATTGCCCTGTTACAAAAAGTCGTAGATGTTGTTGGTAAGTCGTTATATATTTTTTCCATTTTCATTGACTATTTATAAGTAATTCTTGGGAATAAAGTGAATAGTACAATCCTACAATTTTTATTTGAACTTTATTAAGAGGAGAAAATGTTTGTTTCCATGTATTGTCAGTGCTGTGAATGGTCCAATTGATAAATAAGACATTCTCCGAGTTGAGAAGGTTCCTACCCACTACATGTACAGAACAGGCTTGATGCAGACCCAGTGTCAGAATGGATAAGAGTGTTTCAAACAAACCCAGAGATGTGCATAACTGCCTTTTTGTTAATAGTATTTTTAGTAATATTCATTGAGACTTCACTTGGCATTGTTCATGTATAGAGGGGAAAAGAAAATGTCTGTGGAGTAAGTAATGCCTATTTTGTCGATTACAACTGCTTGTAACATGAAGCGCAGTAAAATATTTTACAAGAATCATTCTAAATTTATTGAAATGTGAACTATCCTTGTTAATGAAAATAAGTGCTAAAAATTATAAGATGTATGAAGACAAAATGGTTATTAGTTATCTAAAAGTATATTTCAAATGCTTTTTTCTTGCATATCTATCTAGCCAGATGATAATATTTGTATCGATTTCGCATCTCGGCCCATTATAGGCTAAATCCCACTTTTGTAAATTATATACAGTGTATGTAAGAATACAGATGCTCTGAACATTTCTGTGATGCTGATTGTTGTATTCTAGCAATGGTGACTGGTAAAGCCTTGTCAGTAAAACCGTCCAAGATTGTGGCTGGGCATGAACCAGACAAGACAAATGAACTCCTTCAAGCATTAGCAATAGCCCTATCCAAGAAGGTGAGTAATATCTGTATTAAAATACAGATAATTTGAAGAAAGATGTATTGAAATACATCTTTCTTCAAATTATCTGATAGTATTGTAAAATAGCCAACCAATGAAGCATGTGTTATGAACCTCTGTTAGATTGCTGGTTAGGGAGCTCATGCATTGCCAGACATTTTCACTCAAAAATCAGTCAGAAATTATAGATTAGTTGTGGAAAACTGCACATATGATAAACATAGTATGGTATACAATGAAAGACCATGTTCAACAACTTTCATTTTAATTAATTTTTGTGCAGGCCTTAATGATGGAAAAGTAATCTTTTCCCTGATTTTATGTCCCCTTACATGTCTAGTGATAGGCCCTCAGAGAAGATGTGGATCTAATACCATCAGTTATTTATGAGGGCTGTATGATCATTTGAGTCATTTGAGACTTATAAATCATGATAAATTGTGCTGTATTCTTTAAAATCACTTTTAATGTAAAAATACGGATTTCAGGGGGTTTTGGGACAAGATGAGCTCAAGTGATATCTTAATTTTCTTAATTACATAACAAGATTATAGAATAAGCAGGAATATTCCTTTTTTTCCCATGTTGGTTACTCTAAACTTTCCCACAAATAAAATTAATTTGTCTGTTTTTTCTTGTGGTCATGTTAGATGGATAGTTCAGAATCAGTCAAGAAAGTACTCAACGGAGAGAAAGGCAGTTCGGGGAAGCCTCCAAGACCAAAGAAAGATGATGACAAGAAAAACAGAGACACAAGTGCAGATAAGAGAAATAAAGAGAACAAGGATAAGGTAAGACTGCTCTGAGCGCCTCCATTAATCCACAAGCATAAATATTTTAAATTTTATGTTGTTAAAAATATGTCACAAGAAACATGTACATGTATATACATGTATCTCATAAAACCATTACATTTTCATATTTTTACACATAATAGTTATGCTATTCTTGTAACTTTGCATTTCCTGACATAGGATTTAAACTTATGCCCCCATTTCTGGTATCCAAGATGTCTACTTGTAATTATGTGATCATTATATAGTCGGAGGTGTCCATTTTTGTTAATCTGTTTGTATTTTTCTGGTCCTAACCACTGATCAAAATTAATAATCCAGAATTAATTTCTGTCAATCAAATGCATTTCTATCGCCCCAAATTAGCTTTAATAAAATTGATATTTTTGTTTTGTTTTTTGGGTTATTCCATTCCTGAATACAGGAAAAGAAAAGCAGCTCAGACAATCGTGAACGAAGTGGTAGCAGAGACAGGCTGAAGACGGAAGATAAGAAGAGCAGGGATCGCAGTAAAGATCGAGAAAGAAGCAGCAAAGATAGAGAGAAGAGCAAGGATAGAGAGAGGAGTAAAGACCGGGAAAAGGACAAGTCTAAAGACAAGGAAGAGAAGAGCAGATCGAAAGATAAGGAGAGGGAGGAACGGAAAGAGAAGGATAAAAAAGAGAAGGAAAAGGAAGAGCGAGACAAGGAAAGGAGAGAAAGAAGGGTGAGTATACTGGTTTGAATGATTATGGAACTTTGGAGACCTAAGAGAATTCAATCATGACCAGTAGTATTATATTCATTTAGCTGCAAGTCTTTGGGCCAAGACCAAGTACATAAAAAACATGAGATTAAGACCACTCCTGTACTTCTTTGACTTGTAGCATCTAGGAAAGTGCTATATACAACATAAAAAATTGATCCAAATAGAGTACCGAAGCTGTGACTTCATAAAAATCTATTTTTAGAATTTCTCAATTTTTACTTCGTTTTCCGAATCAAAAATAATGTTCAAATATCAAAAAACAAATGAATAAGTTTGGAAAATGAAGTAAAATTGAGAAATTCTAAAAATAGTTTTTTTGATGACATCACACTTCACCACTCTATATGTACTTATGCATCTTCTTTTAACACTATATCTTTCACTCTCTGTCTCTGTCTCTCTCTTTGTCTCTACCTACCTACTCTATCTTCCTTTTCTATCTCTCTCTTTCTCTCCCCCCCCCCCTCTCTCTCTCTCTCTCTCTCTCTTGCCTCTTCGGCATTCCTCATGAACGATTCCTCATAAATTGATTTTCTAATTCATTCCTATCCCTCACAGAAAAGAAAAGATGAGGAGGCAAAGCAAGCGCAGAATGAGGAGGAAGAGGTGAGTACTGACCATACAAACGTACTAATGATAAATGTGATATTTATACCCCATACCCCTTTATACCTCATGTTATGTCAAACCAAATGTTTCCCTATAAATTGAATGTCTGTCCAAGACATCTCAGTAGATTGTATGTGCTTTCCTTTAGAAGAAGTAATAAATATGTGGTGTTGTGCTTCTTTGATATTTTTTTTTTTTTTTTTTTTTTTTTTTAAAAGATGCAGTAGTTAATTTCTAAATGCCACTCATCTAAAACCAGTGTATTTCAAGTAGACTTGCCAATAGTACTGTGCATGATTCCTGCTTTGACTGCTTTTAAATGCAATTCATTTGAGAAAGGCGTTGCAAGCCATACAAAGTGATACATATACCGTTTATAGAAATATGTGTGAATGACTCATCTCTTGGATTTCTGTTTGCATGCTTATCCATCTTCTCTCCTTCTCTTTTTAATATTGCCAACCCTTTTCTTGCATGATCTATAGAGTGATGAATCAGAGGTAAAACTGTTGTGTATTATAAAATGCACTTATCCACTAATGTGTGCTGTATTAACCCACTATATACACATCTTTCAGAGTGTGTCCATACGACCCCCCCCCCCCCCCCCCCCCCCCCCCACCACCATCTATTTAAAGATGTAAAAAATCAACTTTGTTATAGTTTAATTACGGTAGTTTTCCAAATTGCCAAAATGATACATTGATAGACATTTGTCTGTACCAAATTGTTTTCCTCTTTTCAATCACAAAGTCAGTCCAGAAAGAGAAAATTTAAAGCATAAATTATTTTGTCACTCACTGAGATTCACAAATTTTACAATGAAGTAAACTCTAATTGAATCAGAATGAACCTTGTATGGACACATGCTATAAACACTGAAGAGCCATCTTTTGGGCTGTTCAAATGGATGGCTATGTCATTAGAGCTGTTTCATTATGCACATCTGCTTTTATATAATTTGGAATGAACTTAATGGGGGATGTTGGCTTAGTAGTGCAGAACGGGACCCAGAAGTGATAGCAAAGAAGAGTAGATCATAATTGAGAAAACCCAGAAATGAAGATTTCACAGTTGTATTTTCTCTTTAAAATGTTTAGTATACCTTAGATTTATACATTTAGATTAATATTAGCACTTCCATCACTTTAGAGAAACAAATACATACATGTACAGGTATGTCTAGTTTTTGTGTAATCGTCATCATTGTGGTATTAGTAGAAAAAGACAAAATTTACCAGTAGATTATTTTATGTATTTATTGTTTGGTAACATTAATCAAATCAAAACAAATCAAATCATTTATTTCCAAATTACAACATCAATTAAAAACAATATGTAAAAAACAGTCAATGGGCAATAAAAACATTATAAAACTATGACATTTCAATCAAACGATTAACAAGGGTGGAAAAACAAGGATAGAGCACACATTTATACTAAGACCCCGTTCTCACTCACTTTAAAAGTGGTCTTAGTTAGACCGCTCCAGAGGAACGGGTCTTGAGGAACGGTTTGCGAGCGTTCACACTCCGAGCAGTTTTTATGGTTCAAACCGCTCCACGAGTCAAAGTGGTCTTGTTGCTATGGCAGCTCAGGTAGGCGGGTCAATTTTTTCGCGCGTGGAATCCAAACCCTATGTCACCTGATGTCCCGTTCGCGACGCGTCCCGTATACATATATATATGTGTAGTGCCTGCCCAATCGCTCATCGGGCGGAACGTCACTTCCATTCAAAGTACGCTTTCCGTTCACATTGCACGTTAGAGCGCTCGGGAGCGCTCCTTATAAGACCCGCTCCTCAAGACCACCTCGGAAGGTGGACTTCTGGAGCGGTCCAGAAGTCCGCTTCCTGGACCACTTTGAGCGTTCTCACTCACCTAAGAACCGCTCCTGAGGAGCGGGTCTTAGTTAGAGCGCTCCAGAGCGCTCCAACGAAGTGAGTGAGAATGGGGTCTAAGATACTTTTAACAGGGATTTTGGTATATAATTGTTATTACTTGTGTTGCTGTATGGATAATGTCAATGGTATTAAAAAGTGTGCAGTGCCCCCTTCCCCTTCCTTCCCTGTGCCTTCCCTGTGCCTTCCCTGTGCCTTCCCTGTGCCTTCTACATGCACCCCTTGCCTCCCTTGTTGCTCATTATCATTTGAAGTGCTAATTAGTTTCCAACTGATTGGTCAATTAGTTCATTGATAATGGAAAACATGTCCTTGCCTGATTGTCCAGAGACTATGTGGTACACTTCTTATTATCCATCATTGTATCTTGTTATTATTTGAGTTTCATTCTTAATTACACACCCGGGAATCATCTTTCATCTCCCAACATTTCTTCATGTTCCTTAATGGCTACAATTGTCTTCATTTGTGTTTGTGATGATTCATTTTGGTGCTCCCACTAAGCATAATTTGCTTGTATTATAATAATAGAGATTTATAACTAGTGTCAAACAGATTTAAGGTTATTCACTACATGAGCAAACCTTAGAAATATATCCTGACACATTTTGTCCTCTGCGTTTCCTCATGATTATTAACATCATATTGCAGTGCAGGTAGTACTACTTAAAGGGTAATCATGATATCTACGGTAACACAGAAACATACTCTGCTAGTACCGAAAATCACTGAACACTTGGTTTATTTTGTGTTCAGCAAGTTGCACATGATGGTTATTGTTTGCTATGTGCACATGTTTGAAAGGAATTTTGTGTGTAATAAAGTGACATTTCAGATGTGATATTTTTTTCCCATGCACGTCACATTTAAATATTTTGAAAGCAGGTTGACTGAAAATTCTATGTGAACAGTTAATAATATTTCATAGTACCAAATAAATTGGCATTATTTTATACACTACTTTCTTTTTGGTTCATATACTCTTCCCCCTTTAAAAAAAATAGTTTGCTAGTCTATCTCGCAGGCTGAAAAAAGATACAGTCCATTTTATTGAGGACTTTGAAGTCAGTCTAATTAACTTTCGTGAAATGTCATTAGAAATTGGTGTAAAGTCTATTCAAAGGATTTGTGATATGATTACAAATATGATATGTCTACCATTAACATGTTCTGCAACACTCAGGTGTAGTTATTTTATAAAGGAAAAGTCAGCATGAAATCATGGAAATAGTATTATGAGAGATTCTTCAAGAAGGAGGAAACACTTTATTTATTTCATTCATTATTGTGTGTGATTATGGGCTAAGTCAAAGTTCTTGTATCAAAGCAGTATGACATTTCTTCCTTTACCTTCTCCGTTTCCTTTCTACAAATCTAGCAGGACTTAAGACCACCAGCACCCGAGGTATTCAGCTTGTTGTTGTAGTTGTTTTGAAAATAAAATCACTAATACCTAATAAACTTAAAATAAAATACATTTAACATCATTAATATGTCACCCATTCTTGAAGAAAATCATCAAGCACATTTTGGGTGCACTAACAACCATTAGTGTTTATGCTGAACCAAGCATTATTCATATTTTAAATGTACAGTTTTTCAAACTAATGAGTTCTCTCTAAAATAGGAAATGTGGAAATAATGCTTGTATTAAACCGTCTTCACCCTGACATAACATGCACTAGTAAATGAGAAAGCTATTGATGATGTGGTTAACTTTATAATTAGCACACATGGTTTCAACATTCACCTAGTAGTCATTGAATAAGATTAACTCAATTGATCCAGTTATGCAAATTAGTCGTGAAATTAGTCATGAAATTTAACATTCAAAAATGAAAATTATGCATTTCATGTTTATGACGAGATGATTGCATGTAAAATAAAGAAATGATATTACAGTTTTGGATATTTTAGCTATGTGCTCAATGCATTAATTGCAGTGTTTCACCAAGATAAATAGATGCTCAGTATCTGCAATTTTACATTATTTTGCTCACATGGTAGACTTCATTAAAAAAGAAAGATAAGATTATCTAAATAATTTCTTTATCTGCATTCACAAAATTCATGTACACTAGTATATCTGGATGGTAAGTAGCATTTTGAAGAGAAGGTGTGTTATTGCAGAATCCTTGCTATTTAATTTTGGAGGCTTTTCATGATGTGGATTGTCTTTATCTTTTGGCTCTTGATATGACATACAATGTCTATCAACTTGATGCAATCTTATCCCATTTAAAAAGAATCAGATTGTTTTGTTTAATGGGAGAAATGTGAAAGAGTGCCTCCAATATTAATATTGTTTGACTCTGTAAGAATATATTAAACTTTCCACTGATGAGTTGTTTTTGATATGTTGGATTTCCGAGCATATAGTTTAGGGATTCGACACCAGCTTTTTAGAATACATTTAGTCAGAATGAGGAAATATCATATACATGTACAATATATGTACTATGCAGACTTTAAAACCTGAAGTTTCATTAAATTAAGTGGTAAATTGAAGAGGATTATTATTAGGAACCTCCCACCAAATGAAGACAAAAAAATGGAAACTAGTTTTCAACGATTTTTTGAATGATTAATTCCAGATATTTATTTTCTAGACTAAAACAAATATTTGTATGAATTTCAAAATAAATTTGACCATCTTATCTGTTGATATGAGATCAGCCTCCTCTGCGGCGATATGAAAACAGTGCTAGATTTTTAAGTTTTGGATCCTATAACTGCAAAATTTCACATACGATATCTGAAAGATATATTTCAAACACTAGCCAAGTTTCATGGCATTTTGCACAAGTCTGCAAAAAAGGACTTTGTACCTTTAACCACAAATATGAAAGGTACTCGTCATCATTCCACATCCATGTTGTGAATTACCCGGTACACTTCACCTGGTGAGGATTTGTTGGATACAATATCCAATTTAAAGTCCATCACACTAACACATTTTCTTGTTTAACCTGAAGGGCCTTCAATTAAGAGCCAATTTACACTTTCATTAGTTTTATTGTTGATCATAATGTTGAAGAGATTGTTTTGTTGTTGTTGTCACTGAACAGTGAATTGATGTTGAAGTAGAGTTCTGGGAAATTTCTTTTCAACATAAACTTGCATGTTTGAGTTTTTGGAATAAACAGCTGACTCAATGCATAATCTTAGACTAAATGAAAAACAACAGAACGCTTTGAACTTTCTACTACTAGTAACATATAGTGTTGTTGTTTTTATTTTGTTTTGCTTTTTTGGGGTCAAATAACATATAACCCTTCATTTTGCTGATAAATTAACATCAAATGTGAAATTATGTTTCCAAAGAATAATTTTTATATTTGGAAATTCTGTTTTCATATTAATTTTACCCATGTTACTGTTGTGGGGCAAATGAATATAAGGCTTAAAATCATTAACATTTTCTACACAAGCATGTATGGTTGTACTGGTTGTAGTCAAGGATACACAACAACTTATAATTTTTTCCCTATTACCAATTCCTTGTCATATCTGCACATAGCAAGAGTCTAAATTTAATGATGAATAATTGCCATTCATAATTATTTCCATGTCATTTGAATTATTGAGTGGTTTGAGCCATTTTAAAAACAAACAAAAACAATATACTATTGTGATTTCCCGGCACTTTCCTACCCGATGGTTTGAAAACTTTTGAAAGATATTTTGTGTGTGTTGAAAATCGAGAATTACATGTTTTGCTCTTTGAATATGGACTGTGAATCTTGATTGAAGTACATGTTAATAGCTGTACAAAAACATAATATTACATAGTACACTACAACGTGTATGTGATTTTGGATTAAGATGATAAAGATTACATATATGTCAGATGAAGATGAACTAATTCTTTTAATATCAAGGATTATGTTTTTTGTTTTGTTTTTGTTAATCTGTTATTGTCAGGAGTTTGCTGTGACTGCTGTACTATTGGTGGATGAGATGTCTTAATTGACCCATTGATTATAACTTGATCTTAGTTTAACACGTACACTTTCCATAATAAGATGTCTCTGGCTGTAGTACTCAATGTGTTAAAAGGTCTTGTACTGATCAGTAAAGGGTCTTTGACCGCAGGATGTTCATATCATTTGTTGAGTGGCAGAGGGGCATTAAATCAGGATAAATTCTTGTGTTAAAAGTTAACACTCATCAATTAGCTCTAGCAAACTATGTTGTGTTGCCTTACATTATACTACACTTGAATGTGCTTATGAAACATGATCTTGGTTCTTTAAGACCATCTTGGGCTGACGATGTTAAAGATTGTTTCTGTTCATTGTCTACAGGGTGAAGATGTTGGAGGTAGTAACCGCATCCCTCGGCCTTCATCAGCCAAGGGTAGCAGGAGAAGACCTACTAAAGACGGTGATGGTAAGTCCAGCATAATCCCATCAACTTTTGTGAAATATCCTGTTTAAAAAAAATGTTATTTTAAAATATTCAATAAATCTTTACCAATAAGTTCTAATTAAGCAAAGCAAAAGGGCTTACTTCGAATCAACGGGTCATTGCGCCGGATCGGGTAGTCGCGTTACTCAGCCTTTTGTGAAAATATGCCTCTTTATTCGTGACATTTCGGGAGGGGGGATGTTTGTGAAATAAACCCCTCTCATCTACAAGTGGTCTGGTCCAATTTACCGGACACTTTGTGAAACCCTCCTTGCAAATCTATGAAAGGTCGTGTAACTCGACCACCCTACTGGACCCGATGACCCGATGATTTGAAGTAAGCCCAGCAAAGGTACTCCTTATCATTACAAGTGTTAAAGTAGTGGAGGTATTGTTTTGGTAACACTAACAATATATTGGGCAATAATTTTCAATTGAAGTAGATCATTTATTTGTGGTTCTGTGGAATGACTTGATACTATCAGTGGGTATTTGTCTGGGAGTAAGTAATCCTGTTGGTCATTGTTTCAGAGGGATCACCTAGAGGGTCATTGTCCTAATATGAATCTATGATATTTAGATTAATGCCGTGGTGAAGATATTTTTTTTTCAAGGAAAAAAAAAGGATCGTATAAATTCACTGTTTCCTGAACCCTAGAAAAAGATTTAGTTTTTCTTGGAGGAATCATGTATTAGTAGATTATTTCTTCATTTCCATCATTATTTTTATTATATGAGTAAATGGGCTCCCATTCAGTTGTTACCCTTACCGCAGCGAAGATAGCTGCTGTTTGTTGTTCACAAGCCCAAAATAACAGCATTGAAGAGTTTGCACTTTATGTATATTTAATATGAATGCAAGCATGCACAATGCAGCCAAATTTCACATTATTTACGTGGGGGAAAAGGTACAAGTATTCCCCACTTGATGAGATATAAATGTAGTTCAATATCTCCCTTCATTTTGCACATGTACATGTATACATTGTGCAGATATTCCAAAATATTTATTCAATATTAAACAAATTCCTACCATACAAATACATGACATCATATTTACAGCATGTTGTAACTCACAATTGTCTGTGCATATATACTAACACATGAATTAATACATTACGTCCCTTGATTTGACTATTGTATGTATTTCTGTTATGATTTTATGTACAACAGATTCTGATGGAGAGGGAGGTATGACTATTCAAAATAATTCTTGTTTTTTGGTTTATCTTCTAGTAGACAGACATCCATCTTTTTGAGCTAACAGTCATAGATTTTGCGACAATTTCTAAAACTCCTTCTATTTCACTCATTGCGTTTTGTAATTTGTTTTGTGTTCAGTTTTCTGCAGCATCTATAATAAATCTTTGAAGCTTAATGAAATACAGATTTATGTCATGAATCCAATATAATGTTCTGTGAAACGAGGAACGTTGGCTTGCCTTATACACTTGAAACTTTTGCAAATTTTTGCAAGTGGGTCAAACTTTGAGATTGCCCAGAGCTTTATGATACAAAGTTATTAAATCACAGCTGACAAATAAGTTTCTTCCAGAAGTTCTTCTAACAAATATTACCAGTGTAAAAAATTCCTGTCACAGAGTTGATGGTTTTACAGTAGTACATAGATAGACATCCACCACTCTTGAGCTAATATTTGTTTTTCATTTGAGATGTTTCTCTGTCTGTCATCATGTGTGTAATTAATATTTCTTTAGTTTTCTTTAGCTTTCTTACATTGATCTTTTTTCACGTTATATTGCAATTTATTTCTACTTTTGGTGACCAAAAGCAGATTCGCAATCACTAACACTTGTTTCAGATTCTGTAATTGTTCTTTGAATATACACAAGACATTGCCAATGTGTTTTTTTGAAGAAAATATTTAAAAGTCTATGAAAAGTGCCTAAAATTACTTTCTTGGTTCCAGTTGAACTGAACAGTTAATGCATGTTTTCAAATAATATTAATTGTTTCACATTAATATTGTTCAAGAAAATTTGGAAGACTAGATGTTTGACAATGGAGTATGTTTCTCCTGGTAAAATAGGGCAGTGGCGGATCCAGGGGGGGGCCAGGGGGCCCGGGCCCCCCCCCTTGAGAAAAAAATCATGTAAAATCACACGATTTTTTACCTTTTTGGGGGGTTGGGCCCCCCCCCCCCTGGCGCTCAAGGGGGGGTGCAAATTTAAAAATTTTCAAGGACCAAAAAAAAAAAAAAATGTGCTCACTACCCCTCTCTACCTCCTCTCTCTCTCTTTTTCTCTCTCTCTCTCTCTCTCTCTCTATATATATATATATATCATGTTGAATCGTTTTTTCTTCTCTTTTTACAAACTGCACTGATCAATATTTCAGTATTGCATACCATGCTGACTCTGTTCTTCAAGAAAGACTGAATTCATGCAGGATCACTTAACCATATGATTTTCTAAATTTGTGTCATTAATTCACATGATATTTGTGTTTCCTGTTTGATAGTCACTACTGTTTGATAACTTGTATATCACACTCTTCACTATAAAATGCACCTGCCTTCTAGCAAGGCTGATTGTCTATCTGTATTGTATATGTGTTGCAAAAGCTATTCATAATATTAAAGGACTTCCTCTATTCAGTATGGATGAGACTGAGAGCCTTAAAGGTATTACAAAGTTTTGGTATGAATTTGGTTCAAAAGAACATATTGGGAGCATGTATGCGATTTTACATTATTCAATGATCGTTGTCGCGGTTGAAATTGAGTCTAAAGTGATGAAATTGTAAATAATAAACTCCTTATTTTGTATAGCACCCTCAAGACTGATATTACTTTAGCTCTAAAACAATGTTTCTTGACTACGATTGACCGATTTGCTATTCCTGTTTAGAAATTATTTATCTGGACCGCGTATTCTAAGATTTTCATACACCTTTTTAAAATTGATAATAATTTTTACTTGAAAATTTCCAAGTGGGGATTTTCAATACACTTGTTCTATCTAACCTTCTTTAAATGCAATGATACAAATCAAATCAATATTGAAAGTCAATGAACCTCTACTTTGTACTTGCTCTTATTAGATTTTCATTTGTTTCCAATCAGTATTATCATTGTATTGTTAGTAAACTATCATAATTAGGATTACCATTGTTCTACTCCACATGTGTTGTTCCTGTTGCTGATGTATATTGTTTAGATAACATATATAATAAATTCCGCCTTTGATTTGCTAATGTGCAAATTGGTATGTCCTATCTGTACAGCACAGTGACAATTTTGCTTAAAATTACATTCTATCAGGTAACAAAACTCAAAGGAATTTAATAGAATCTTTTTTTAATCTTGTTGATTTTAATGAATAAACTACCGGGTGAATTTTATATGGGTAAAATTTAGATTTTAAGAGAAATTGATTTATAACTTTAAAAAACAACAACACCAAGGTAACATGATATATATTTGAGATGACTAATCAAAAAATAGTAATAGGTTGGATGTGTTGCAATAAACACAACTTAAAGTAGAAGAAAGAAAACGGAATAATTTTTAAAAGATTTTACTATTACATATGGTACCGGTATTTCACTATCCCATTCAATTCTTGCAAGCCAATCTGTGAATCTAACCAGAACTCAAAGTGGCTGTATTGTCCATCTACATGTACATGCAGTTGTTCAGATTTTTCATGAATAGTAGGAGTATCAGTAGAAGTAATAGTATAGACTTTATTGTATATCTTTTATAGCACAAGGCTAATTTGCATCAAAGTCTGTTGCACAAAGTGAGAACAAAATTGGTAGAGGACAAAAGTCCTTTCATTCAATACCCAGCTTCAACAATATAGTGTCCAGAGGCAATTCACGTTAATTGCCTCTCTTAGGAGGGGGAGGGAATGGACCTGTGACCTTTGACATTGCCTTGCAATGCATTCATGCAGTGAACAGTGCCTATGAGGGGGTAGGAGTACACCCCAGAGAGTGGAGATGATGTACACTTGCATTAAGTGATGAGGGGGGGGGGGGTAATAATAACATTGTACAGCACAATAGAAGTATTCATGTAACGTGCTGTATAAATACAAAATTTATTACTAAGTGTATTATCATATATAATGTGTCATATTCAATATAGACAATATATTTAGCAATGAGCTGACAGACATTGACTAATATACTTATTTGTGCCACATCTCAGAACTTGATGGACGTCAGGAGAGTGCCAAACATCGGTCTAGGACCAGTAAGGAGAATGGCGAAGGTGGTCTCACTGCAGATGATGCACTACCCCCTCAGGTCGCTGCAAGGTTAGTATCAAACATATCTATGATTTTAAAAAAAACATCCCGATTTGAAGATGACCCCTTTCGTTTGTTGAAGATTGGTTCTATGTACTCAGTCATTCAGTTCAGTCATTCAATTCAGTCATTGAAGTTAGAGAAGCATCTTGTCTGCAATTACCTTATCTTTTTGAGGAGAGAGCAAATTAAATGGAATACAGTCTCATTTTACAAGTATAATTGAAGCAGTTGATAATTGACTTGTTATACCAGGGCCCCGTCTTACAAAGAGTTGATACCAATTGCAGCTTATTTGCGATTGATATCAATCGCAATTATGTACATAAGAGATAGGAGACTGCAAACTTGTGATTGATTTGGATCAGTCGTAAGTCTTTGTAAGACGGGGCCCAGGAGACCCTGTCTTACAAAGAGTTGATATCAATCACAACTTGCGCATAAGAGATATAGTAGATTGCAAACTTGTGATTGATGAGAGGACTTGTGATTGACTTGAATCTATTGCATGTCTTTGTAAGACGTGGCCCAGCCTCCGGATAGAACGTTTGAAAGTCTGTAATTATGAGCCCTATGTAAAAACTTCCAAAATGTGTCCAGGTAGCTTGTTAGTGTAGATCTCTTGTCATACGAATATAGAACATTATGATAATATTATATAATGTGTGATTACAGTCGTAGGATGGCCCGTCCCAGCAGTGCAAGACCTGCTCCACCAAGGCTCAAGAAACAAGATTCTACAGAAGATACTTCAAGGTGAGTTGTCTTCCATGTTTGATCCTCAAATCGTAGACCCTTGAGCAGAGTAGTGATGTTAGTGAGAACATGATATCTTCTGTATTGAATGATATTGTGCATACCCAGTGCTCAAGGTCTGTGTCCAACTTGTAGATGGGGAGTGTTTCACAAAGACTAAGATCGACTTTAAGTATGCTCTCACCAATATGATTTTTAGATAATGTTTTTTTCCTTTAAAAATGAATTATCAAAAAATTTAAATTTTGTAGATTTGTGACCATGATTTGTACGTCCCTTGAGAGACCAATGCCAGTTAACTGTGAGAGCAATCAGTAGCATGAATGGCCTGCCATATTTAGGTCTAACCAAATTGTAATATATCAGGGTTGTGTTGATCAAAGGAAAAGCGATTGTGACTTGTTCATGGTGTTAACAGTCTTAACAGGGCAACTATTAATTCACGATTGATTCACTATCTTTACCATGCAATGACAGGTTGCCACTACCGTGTGAGTCAAAAAAAAGTTTACACCTAGAAAATTGCTAATTATTTTTAAAATAATCTATGAACAGTACATTATTATACATCTTATGAAAGATTGTCTTATCCCAAATTATCTGGTACCATTTTTGTGTGGTATGTGTTCACGCTTGGATGAACAGGAGGCATTCTTTGGGAGAGTGCAAAAATTGACTTGCGCCAAAGACTTGAGCTTCAATACGTGTTTGTTTCTGTATATGTTATTGATAGGTTGTCGCTATTTTCATGGAATCTATTTCAAATATTGAGCTTTCAATAATACTTGTTTGTTTCTGTTATGGTACAGGATCGGGAGTGGCAAGCAGGTATCGAATGTGATCGTTGACAACGGTCATTCAGATGATGAAGATGATATCTTCGTAGTGGAGGATACTCAGCCATCTATGGAGGATGAACCTAGGGTAAGATCTCACTGCATTTCTCAAGTTATTCTAGAGGATTCATCAAATCAATTTAAATCAATTTAATTCAATTTAATTCAATTCAATTCAAGGGTTATTGAAAACATGTGTCGCAGCCCAATGACTGAATTGGTCATGTGTACAATTAAAACACTAATTGCATATTTCAAACAAAAAACACAGCTACAATTGGTTTGTCAATATTGAAATATATATAGTTAATATGGTAAGATTGCTTGGGCAACAAAAACAAAAAAACAGAAGATAACATAAATTCAGAAATACGGAGGAGAGAAACATGAAGAAAAGAAGTAAAAGTACATTAACTTGATAGGAGAAAAGTAGCACACTCTGATGTATTAGATGGATGGGATTAGGCTCTGCCCCCTCTTGCAACATTCATCATCTCTCAGAGCAGCCAATATTGGAGGAGTATCGGCTATTGATGACAGCAGCTATGTTATCTCTTTCATGTCATAGTGCATTATTGACAAAAAAAATACAATCCATTGATTAGATTGGCCTCTGGATATGCCCAAGAGTATTCAATTTACATGCTTTAGGCTTAGGTTTAAATCACTCTATGACTTTTAAAACTTTTAATCACTCAAGCTGCACCTTAATGTAGGACATTCATGCTATATATGCAGGTTCTATGGAAAGCATATATCACAACTACATCATAATGTGTTATGCTGTACACAAGTCGAATATTATTATTATCAAAGTTGTCTTAGAATACATTATTGACCTACTAATGATAACTAATCTCCTTAAAAATGGTTGATAACCTCTTTAATCCAGTCTGAATGTGATACGATTATCTTGTAGCCCCAAGCAAGCGATTCTATGGAGGACGATGGTGAGCATGGAGGCCTGGTCAAGAAGATCTTAGAAACCAAGAAAGAGCTGGAAGGATCACAAAATAAGGAAGATGTAAGTTAAATAATAATAATAATAAAAATGGTGCTTATACAGCACTTACCACCAAAGTCTCTAAGCGCTATAACAAACAAAATACAATGACAAACAATGACATATTAAACAAAACAACAACAAGAATTTAAATAAACCTATAAATTACAATACATATGAAATGTACATCAATGTGAACAGAGTAAGTTATCATCAAAAGCAATTTTGAATAAGTGTGTCTTCAGACAAGTTTTGAATTGGTTAACAGTCTGACAGTTTTTGACATTTAAAGGTAATTACCTTGTTTCGTTCTGTTAGGAGCATCATGATTTTATATTTATATTTTATTATGTAAAGGCAAAGTATGATACACAAATGTAAAGAAAGGTTCATTTATTTTGTTATGGAAAGGTGTGGAAGAAATATCTGAACCTTATCATCGGTTGGGTACATTTATTTTGTAAATTCAAAGTAATCCAAAATTACCATCTGGCAGGTGTAGGATATAAATAAAAACTGGCAACCTTCTCTTCTGATGGTATATAGGTTTTTTTATCATAGCTTGAAAGGAACGCTTTATCTGTAATGTAAGTTTTTTTCAGTGATATTACAGTCAAACCTGTTGAAGCGACCACCTGTCCGTTAAGACCATATTTTTTTATTTTCGTTGAAGATTGGTTTTTATTGGAACCTGTACTAAAGGAACCTGTACATATAAGTACCATTTTTCTTGTCTCCCTTGGGCGGTCTTTATATACAGGTTTCACTGTATAAGTATTCAAAAATTTTAATTGACAATTAAAATTTTTGTGAGGCATCTTAAATGTTTACATGACCCAAAGGTTTACTGGTGTACATGTTTTATGTTGATTGCAGGATAAGCCTGTTGTGTTGGATCCGGCCAGACGTAAAGAGCGTGAGCTAGTCCAGCGTGAAGTAGAGAAGCTACGTAGTGCCATCCAGACCTTGACACGTAGTGCCAACCCTCTGGGAAAGATCATGGACTATCTGCAGGAGGATGTAGATAGTATGCAGAAGGAACTGGAGATGTGGCAGAGGGAGAACAAGGAACACGGTCTGGCTATCAAACGGGAACAGGGGTAAGAGCCAGGCTTAATAAACCAGGGCAGCATTTCACGAAACAGTCATAAGTACATTGACATCCCGTTCAAATGCATTTATTAAGTTTAACACACGTTTCAATGGGATGTCGGTGAACTTGTACTTACGAAGGTTTCATAAAATGCTGACCAGCTTACTAATATATTCAAATTCATGGACGTTTCTTTTCTGGGGAACCTAGTGACGAGTTATTCCATTAACCTGTTATTAATGAATGAACTAAAATACTTGGAATCCGGGCTTCATACATACCTTGTTGCTATGTCAGATAAGCTTTCAGGTTGTCAAGAACAAAAAAAGTATGCACAAAATTTGAATATGCTAGTAAAATGGTCTATAAGATCATGTTTATAGAGAGAGATTTAGCAACTCCTAATTCAGCTAGAGATGTCATTGCCACAAATTTCCCTCTGCCAGTATGTTGGTATACACTTTCCTGATATTGACACTGTGTCGACGTTGTTGCTGAAATGGCATGGGATTGTAAAGAATGGAATCAAAATATCTTCCAGGAACTCTCAGATGATTGATATCAGTCAGTTTGTTGTTGAAGATTCTGCTGCAAGTAAACATGTCAGTTATGTATGATGTGTCATACAAACTAACTTCCCCACTTGACCAAAACTTATTGAAATGTACAGACATACAAGTAAACAATATTTTACTTACTTTATTGGGCAGGCAATGCACTTCTATTTAATAATTTCATGTCTACATTGTATATGAAATAAGTGATGGCTGTAAAGGGATGGTTTCCCTATGTGGACAAAAGCAAAATCGTGTTTTTGTAGATTCTATTAAATATTGTGTGATTTGCTTGTTTTTTGCAGGATTACGGACTCTGAGTTGGAACCTCTTCAGGCCCAGTTGGCCCAGCTAGACCAATCGATAGAGGACCAAGTAGACACCATCGCTGCAGTCAAAGCAAACATCCTTAGGAATGAGGAGAAGATAGGCAAGATGGTCAATAGTATAGCCTTTACAAGATGAGTCATTACAAGTAATTCCATCCTCTTCAATCAAGCTTTTTAAGTTTTAACCGTATAAATCTATGTGACTTAAAAATTCCTTATAATTCAAAAAGCCTCTTTTATATACGATACATGTGAAATTTATTGTTACTTAAATGATCACCTCTCACCGATAAAGGATGCAAAGTTTTTGACTGGGATGATGGAATATCGTTTTTCTGTCATTCCGTTTATACTGAATTAACTCGTTCCTCTAGATTGAATACAAAAACCACCTGGGTCCTATTTCATAACACTTGTTACCAATGACCAGTTACATTAACTTTTTTTTAAGCTAGCGAAATCCTTGCATTTGAACCAGGAAATGTTGAAATGGTGCGATGAGATAAATCACCTCGTAATAACTTTAAATAGTTTAATGATACCATAGAATGGACATCATGAATGCAGTAGCTTTAGAATTTGTTGATATAATTGTTGACACCTGTGAAAAGCTTTAAATGCCATGTTATTACGATATGTGTACGTCGGTATCTTCTGTAATATATTTCTCACATGACATTCCTTTTATATGTCTGTGAAAAAAATATATTACTGTATTTTAACACAATGAATATTTAAGTGAATATATGTTTTATTATGTTCAAAACATGAATATAAATGTTTCTATCAGCATTTGATAAGTTGATTTGAAACAGGAAAATGAGGTTTTTTTTTGTTGTTGTTGAATTGAGTGTCGCAATTAGCTGCCTTGCATTATAATATAGGGCAAAGTCTCCGTCCCAAGAACTGCCCAATACTTCTACTCTACTAGTCTGGTGATCGAAGTAGGCGAATAATTCAAATTCTTTTTAAAGACTTGGTTAAATTGTGTATTCACTGCAGATAGCAATGCATATTCTGAGCCAATTACCTATAGGTAAAGGAAAGGACTTGCTTTTTTTCTTCTTTTTTGTCTAAACAGAATATATTTGTGTGTGTGTGATTTGTAAATTGTAAATATGATGAAAATGGAGGAAATATTTGTTATTTTATCAGTTAGAATAATAAAAAAAACTTTCTATGAAAAGTAGTGATTTCGAAATTCAAATCAGCCTTCTCCGGATGATGTGTATGATAAAAGATTTTCTCAAATATTTATTTTATATCTAGAATGTAGTACGGCATTCAAATCATTAAAATGATTACAAATAGATAGGAAATGTTTCTTATGAAACAGGGCCTGTTAATTTTGTCACCAAATTTGTGATTAATTTTCAAGAACTTGCACAAGATAAACTTTATGTAGTTATGTTCAATATTTGTGCTTTAATTAATGACCAGAAATATTTAAACTACCTAATGATATTTTCTCCTCTTGTGTTGACATCGAAATAGCTTAAGAATAGTATGGAGTACTAAGGATATAAAAGTGTATTACATGCAGCTTATCAGCTTTGAGATGCCTTTGATGACAGACTAAAAATGTGAAATTATTTGGACAGTCTCTTGCTGAAATATAAAGTATATTATGGTGTTTGAAACTGTCATAGAACATGTTTTGTTTCAATTTTATAATTGAACATTGCATTTTCTTGATAAATACATGGAAATATAACGCTTTATGGAGAAAAGTCAGACATTTTGAAAATCATTCTCTGCTTATAAGACATTCATGGATTTTACTTTACTTGTGTGTCTCGTATGAATATTCTATGGTTGTGATTATCACAATACTGTTGTGTAGTTCAGAATTTATTTCGCTATTTTGGTGTGAGTATAATATGTAATTATTCATGTAATCATTTTTTGTAATACATGTATAACACACTATCCTCAGTACATACTCAGTTTATACATAGCATAAATGGTTTATAAATGATAGCACTTTGTACATTGTATATCAGCTCTATCACCTTGAGGTCTTTAATATGTAGTGATAACCTGTATCTCTTTGGTATTCCCTGTTGGCCCTGATGGTCTGTATTGTCTCCAAGTAATATATCAGATCATATTAGACAACTCACTCCTAGATCCTACGATCGATCCGTCGATTGCAATCAAGTATGATTCATTTACCGGTATTGAGCTTTTCACTTGTATATTTCTTTTTTAAAAAGTGTCAAGTGGTTTCCAGTACTATCCAATAATTTTGAAGTAGCTGTGCACAGCAGTGGGCATAGAAGCTATTAAGTGCGCTTATACTGTGTTTGGGCCAATACTCTATTCCAGCTACATGCCTCGCAGTGCGTGTAGAGCTAATTGCGCTTACACCGTTTGCGGGAAGTAAAGTATAGCCTACAAGACTTGAGATTCATTTGCCATTGGTAGTTACATGGATCAGTATGGAAATGAATCCTATTTAAAATCAAATAACAAGGATCTAGGAGTTTAGTTGTATTAAACAATTGAAACGTGTCTTTATTCGTTCATTCTATGAGCTATCAGCTCTGGTTCAGGCTATTTGTGCACCTATTGCACTGAGCCTGATGGCTTTGTACGATAGATGCACACAGCCTGAACTCCTGCAGTTGCAGATAGATGATATAATGGACTAATTGGCATGCATCATTTGTTTTCTCTATCTCAGTGGTTGTGTTTTTCTGTTAATGTTTCACCTTACTGCTACTGCACATGGCATATTTGACTGAAACACATCTCTTTATTAATTTTAAAGAAACATTCCATGTTGTTCCATTATATTGCATATTAATAAGGATCGCCGATGTACAAAAGTCTTTAATGACCAATATGTCATATGTAATTGCGTGGGTACATGTATTCAAGACTTACGAACTTGCATCAAACTTAATTGATGACACATGACGAAGAGTGTTCATACTCAAGTAGTGGAAGATTCTTACCATCTTATGAGTATGATTTTTGTTTTCAACATAAACTTATGGAGAAACTTATGGTTGTGAATATTGATAAATTATAGGTTGAATTCTTTGTAGAAACTGATTTGTCCAATATTTGCATACATGAATGCATTTGCATGAATTGTGTATTGTCTCCAATATAACCATGTATTCACAGTTTTCAAGAAATTTGTAGAATTAATGGGCTATCAAGGAGTAACTGATATGGTTGAATGATGTACACTTATGTTTTAATTAACGATTTTAAGTTTTATAATGATAATAACATTAATTTGGCAGATTTGACCTTCTTTTTTTGTCAGGCGAATAAAAACGACTCTAGTTAGATAACAAAGCTTCTTTAAAAGTAACTTTAATGAAATGTAATTTCTGAAAATAAAATTATTTTCTATGTGTATATACTGTGAATATGTTCAGAACTCTGTAGATATATACGATTAGCTGATAATAAAGTGAATTGTGTCTTGTGTGAATATATTTAGTTTTCAGTTTGCTTCATTTTGAGTTTGAGTTTTATTTTTATTTTTATTGGAATTAAACTAAAAAACTAATTATGTTTGTACAGATCCTTATTTTTAAAGATCATGACATCACAACTACACCTAAAAGAGAGTGCTATCCTATCTCCTTTCACCTAAGGTCAACTGCGAATTTAACAAGGGGATTACGCTATAAGATGATTTGATTTTTCATGAATATTGCTCCAGATTATTTGTGAAATACGGTCAAGGCAGGGAAGGGGGGGGGGGGGCTGTGATGAAATGTCCGACCAAAGTGTTATAGATCAGAAAAATTACCCAATTACAAACCAACTCCTGATACAATATTTATCTGATTTTTGTTTTCATTCACTTATAATGCATATCAATACAAAATGAGTAAATTCTTCTTACTTCACTCCTTCCAACCTTTACTACAGTTTTTTTTTTAAATAGTTTAAGGGGGGGGGGGGGGTCACATGAAAAAGTTTTACTGGACTACAGAATAAGAAGCATATCTACCGTAAGGGGCGCTAAACGAGCGCGAGCGAGTAGCATATATTGGCACCAAGATTAACGGCGATATGAATATTCATTATTCCCTACGTCACAGACGTGCGGCGTGCGTACTCTGTCATATACACATGTATTCAGTACATGAGTACGTTCGTAAGCATTAGGTCATGTACATTGCTCCGGAATGAAGAGAATCATTATAAAGGACGAATTACTCCGTGAAGCCAAGTACAAGCAGGGAATTGAAAATAGCAAACGTTCCTCGGAGCGGCTATACACTCCCTAATCTAGCTAGTTTTGTAATGATAGTTTATTTAGGATAATGGACATTTAGTAGGCCTATTGTTTAGTTGTTAAATAACATCACTCAGTGTGATTTGATTCGAGATATATCTCATTAATAAAACAGTATAAAGGCTGTATGAGTCTCGAACGAACCATATCGCCACTAATCTTGGTGCCAACACCGTTAAACTATGCTCCAAATTTAGTAATACATTTTGTGTGCCCTATAATGACCCGGGGTTGGATTATTTAGGAGAACAGAAGATTAATATCGTTCAGTTGTTTCATAACATCTCTCAGTTTGATTTGCATGATTCGAGATATATTTCATTAATAAAACAGTATAAAGGCTCTATGAGTCTCCAAGAACGATCGCCACTAATCTTGGTGCCAACACCGTTAAACTATGCTCCAAATTTAGTACTACCTTTTTTGTGCCCTATATGCTAAAGACCCATGCAGGGTTGGATTCTTTAGGAGAATGGAAGATTGATATTGTTGTTTCATAACATCATTCAGTTTGATTTGATTCGAGATATATCTCATTAATAAAACAGTATAAAGGCTGTATGAGTCTCACACGAACGATCGCCACTAATCTTGGTGCCAACACCGTTAATCTATGCTCCAAATTTAGTAATACATTTTGTGTGCCCTATAATGACCCGGGTTTGGATTATTTAGGAGAACAGAAGATTGATATTGTTAAGTTGTTTCATAACATCACTCAGTTTGATTTGATTCGAGATATATTTCATTAATAAAACAGTATAAAGGCTCTATGAGTCTCCAAGAACGATCGCCACTAATCTTGGTGCCAACACCGTTAAACTATGCTCCAAATTTAGTATTACCTTTTTTGTGCCCTATATGCTAAAGACCCATGCAGGGTTGGATTCTTTAGGAGAATGGAAGATTGATATTGTTGTTTCATAACATCATTCAGTTTGATTTGATTCGAGATATATCTCATTAATAAAACAGTATAAAGGCTGTATGAGTCTCACACGAACGATCGCCACTAATCTTGGTGCCAACACCGTTAATCTATGCTCCAAATTTAGTAATACATTTTGTGTGCCCTATAATGACCCGGGTTTGGATTATTTAGGAGAACAGAAGATTGATATTGTTAAGTTGTTTCATAACATCACTCAGTTTGATTTGATTCGAGATATATTTCATTAATAAAACAGTATAAAGGCTCTATGAGTCTCCAAGAACGATCGCCACTAATCTTGGTGCCAACACCGTTAAACTATGCTCCAAATTTAGTATTACCTTTTTTGTGCCCTATATGCTAAAGACCCATGCAGGGTTGGATTCTTTAGGAGAATGGAAGATTGATATTGTTGTTTCATAACATCATTCAGTTTGATTTGATTCGAGATATATCTCATTAATAAAACAGTATAAAGGCTGTATGAGTCTCACACGAACGATCGCCACTAATCTTGGTGCCAACACCGTTAATCTATGCTCCAAATTTAGTAATACATTTT